TCATTCCAATAATTATCTCATTCACTAAATGGGACTTACGATGTTTTAAAATGTATTCAAAATGCATAAAATCGAATTCCAGAATAAGCAAGTCCACAAAATTTGTTCGAAATCATCCTATAACATGAAATACTCATATAACTCACATAAAATTCAATTTGCTTTAAGTTTAGTATTAAAAATTGCAAGCAATGATGGGAAAAGTAACTAAAAAGTTATCTAGATTACCAAATGGTTTTAAAATACTTTATTGACAATTGTTAACCAAAGTGACTTTGGTATACATGGCGATAACAACCATAGTAACTTCGGTAACCATAACCATGGTTATGCTTACCAATTTTACCTAACAATGTAACAATATCATAAAAAAAATGTTCCAATGTTTTTTCAACGTTTTATTTTTTTGTATTTAAATCATCAAATTATTAATTAATTTCTTAGCTGTTGGAAGACATTTGTCTTGTGTATGATTTCGTTAAATTTGTATAAAAAGATAAATTATTTTGATTTATTGAATTAATAACTTATTTGTGACAGTGGAATAATAAAGTTCGTATATAATATACTAACTGGTTAGACTCTAATAAAAATATTATTTATTATATTTAATTTTTAAAACATTTTTTGGTTTTTATAATTATTTAATTCTATTATTCAAAAATAATTTGACTTCTTTACTCTGAAGAAATTTGTTTTTTATAAACAGCAAATTTCGGGGTTAGACTTGCAAATACTTACAAACTGAGACGAACCGATTGGCATCTGTCCGGAGTCGATCGCAGCAAGTTACCGGGCTAAATGAAATTGGCCCACCTTTCATAAAATTGGTCATATCTTGTATATTTACTTGCAAACTTTTGATAATATTTTAGATAAGATAAAACAATGTGGGTGGCCCAAGTTCAGGTACGTAAAATATTGTGGGCACTTTTCAATTTTCTATCGCATTTTTAAACATTCTTTTTCGAAGTTAGCCCTCTATCTATTTTTACTTTGCCGAATTGGACAACTGGATGTTATGTCCGCTGTTTACTGTATGTTCGGCTACTGCATATTTGTCTATTCATTTATCTTCCATTGTGTGTTCTATTAATTATTATCCGAGTTTTTACTGTACTTCCAGTTTATCCAATGTATGACTTGTCACATGTGCACGGTATTTCATATACACCTGCACGGAAAGAAAACATAGTTTGTTCAACTAAATGTATGGTTAATTTATTGTATCCCTATACTAACCATAATTTGAGTTGGGCCAATTATGTATTTTTTTCTCTATGGTGTTTGCAATTCTAGGATTTTATTTTTAAGATTTCGGAATGATGATCTAATTATTATATTAAATCTAAAAAATACTGAAAATACTGAATTTTTTTTTTATCATGTTTAAAAATAAAAAACAGAATCGTTCAAAACTTATTTTATAAAAACAAAATGTCATTTTTATAAAGTATTTGTCTTTTTTTTCTGTACCCTTTAAACAACGTGTATGCAATTACACAATAAACATGAATATTTTATTAAATATTATTTATAAATAAATAGTTTGTTTTATATTATGTCATATTAGATACAATTAAATCGGTAGACGATAGTAATCATTCGTATGTATTTCATATTATTGGCTCTACAGTGGCCGACCGGTCTGGAAAACGAAAGGCTGATCACCCTATGAGAGACTCACCCTGTGAGATCTAATATTTCTAAATAATTTAACTAAGAACGCCTGCTGTACGCTCCCTGTGTTACTTGTCTAACAACAATTCAGCTAATTCTTTGTTTTTTAGTTTTTTTTTTAAATATTTGTTCAGTAATTTAAACATCCCGGAAAAGAAGACCGTAGTTCTGTAATATAATTCTTTACAAAATGTTTAAAGTTCGATGGAATTAATACTTGATTATCTGAGAAAATTATTTTAGGATATCTATGAGTAAAAAATATAATTTTTTTTATATGCTTATGTCTTTAGCAGTTTTATTTTTTAATTGTATTGTTTAAATCCATTTCGAATAATAACTAAACATAATAATATAATAATCTATACCATATTACTGATATAGGGTAATATATCAAACAATTATAACCACTATTTCAAAATGTAGCTTAGGTGACAAATATGTTAATAGGTTATTTTGTTTTAGCATTTTAACCTACTTATATAAGTTCTGGAGTTTAACACATATTGTTCAACCTCAAGTAAGGGAAATCATGTGACCAACAGCCTACCTAGGAGATTCTGTTTATAAAAAAAAAAGAGAGCACCAAAATACTAAAGAAAGGACTACACTGGACCTAAAAGAGTACGTTGAAAATAAATGGGCACCACTTTCTGTCGGTTGTATATTTTTAGTTCAGTTATTATAGTATATGTAGCTGGTGAATGACGTTTGTGTTGCCTACACAGTGCCTTAATATAAACACATGTTAACGAATAAGTAGAAATCTGTGTCAGAATTTTTCCAATTAATATTTATAAAAATATAAAGCCTTAAATAAACAATAGCGGCTGTTTATGTTAAATAAACTAACAACTTACCGCTTGTATTTGCTTCTGTCGGGTTTCACATAATCGAACAAGAACTTCATGATAAATCATGACACCACATCGGTTGAATTTTATACTTGTAATACATTAGTTGTAGTCTATAATCACACGAAGTAAGTAGTTAGAATAAACAACATTTTTTCTAGGCAATATTACAATATTAGGTACTTGAGCGAAATCCTTGTGCGACATCTTGTATAATCTATACGGACATTTGGTTGGCGTAAGTAATTAAATTTGTAGCAATAAAATAGTTGTCATACGCTACGATTCAAAGGAGTGTATAGTAAAATGACATATACTGAAGACAGATTTGTGGTATCTAATTTACTTATAAGAAAACACTTATAACTGGTTTATAACTGACTACTTCCCACTTTGCTAATTACCTACTATACTTATTTAGGTTCCTTCCGAGGAGGTTGCAGCGAAAGCATTACGTGGACTGCTTTAGCTGATTCCAAAAATAAGACATAGTGTGATTATGTTAACGGTATTACTTCATATTATCTACGGCTTTTGAGTTTTCATCGAATCAAAAAATCCCATTTTTTTTTTAAATAATTAAATTTTTTGTAAACGATAAGAAATAATGTCAACTGTCAATATTTATGATGTCGCTTTTCCCCAAAATTGTAGTTAAAGTCTAGTTTTAGTGTATACACATCTCCTAATTTAAATCTGAAGTATTTTGGTGTTTAATGTTTTCCAGATAATCATCATTTAGTAAACATAAATAGCTCTAGTACCAGGGGTAAAAACAGATTATTTTATTATGAGAAAAACAAAACATTTATTGTGATAAGTAACGTGATTTAGGTGTTATTTCATATATATTTTGTAACATTACATCTCCAAATATTCAAAATAATATAATTTAATAAGTAGATACACTTCTACTAATTTAAATCTGAGGTACTTAGATAAAAATATAAAGATTTATTTTAAAAAACGAATTTATATTTTGTTGAATAATGAAATTTTGTTTATCTATTGCAACATTTCTCTAGTAAACTGCAAGTTTTTATTTCTAACTGATCGACAAAAATTGTATTTTACTACGTTGAATATTTAATATATGTTGTGTTAAAAGAGAAATTATATTCAAACAAATGTAAATCACATCTAAAGTGGTTTTGAGTTCAAACCTCACACAAGCACAACATTTTAATGTATTTTTATCATTTCAAAAATGATTTATAATAATAGATATTATTATCTACTGTTCTTAGATATGCGTGTGCACTGTGTAGAGAGTATATTATTAACTTATTTTATTAGGTACTAAAAATCGATACTGACTTGATTCGTGCTTCGTATGTGTAATAATGCGGCTTACAGCTTACTACTGTAGTTTAAGTAATCTTAGCGTCTTCGAGAAAGAAAATAAACATGTACATTTCACCATTATAATAAAATGAATATTAAGACGTTATTTTAACTTTTTTTTGCACAATAGTTCAGATTTGAAATTCTATTGAATAAGGTCCTTCATTTATAGCACTACTTAACTTTAATTACTTAAGCTTTTTAATGATATAACTATATTGATAATAAAAAGTTAAGTTTTACTAAAACCAAAAAAATATGCAAGTGTTGCCATTGGAAATTCGAAAGTCCTAGTATGTACCTAGTTTGAAACTATGATAATCTTAGATATGTGAAACTAGAATAAAGTTAAACTTTTTCGTAGATTATTTTATTCATAGATAGGTATTTAAACACAACAAGTTCAATATCTATGATTCGAACACGGTGGTCTCTGATAATGTTTCACAAAATTGTTGAATTAAAAAACCACATGGCTATGAAAATATGTATAATATGCTACTCGTAACTGTAATCTGTTATTTAACTACATATTTGTAATAAACAAAGCAAAAAACTACATTATAACATATTTGTATGTTATTTTTTTATTAATTTCTATTTACAAATTTGATAATGTATTAATGTATGTTTGTGCAACGTACTGACTGAATGTTTAGTATGTTTATTTATAATACAAACTTAATAGTGTATAGTAAATAGTGTATTTTACAGTGTAATTGTAATTACTAAATCTAGAAATGGTATTTGGGCATGTGAAGGCGCGCCTTATTGCCTTTATAATTTCAGAACTTCCATTATTTTAGCTCTCAATATCGCCTATGCCTAGAACTTTTAACTTGAAAAATGAGATTGAAAGTATATATATTATAACTAAATTCGTATTAATTTTGTTATCTACGCTTGTTAACCTACTTGAAAGCAGTATTTTGTATATATTAAGCCTTCAATCTTCATTTTAGGTAACATTATTTCAATGTCATCAGATCAACAAGAACGAAGTTAGTCTTATTAGTTTTTTTCAATTGTTTTATTTTTTTTTTAATCTTAACAATTTCTAGAGTGATTATTTTACTGTCCGTCGTTTTGTTCAGTATTTATCAAACTGGTCAAGCACATTTTATGACTGACGACTACACTGATCAGATATACGACGAACCTACAACCGAGCAAGCATATTTTCTGACTAACGATTACATTGATCAGATAAACGAAAAAGCTACAACATGGAAGGTAAACTATTATTTCACAATAAGTAATCCTCGCATTATTTTCATATAACTATATTTGTATAACTATGTGTAATTAAATATAAACAACTATAATGATTTTCAAGAATCTAAATACTGTCATAATAGTCTTTCTGTTATTTATATTTTATATTATAATAATATTATTTTTATTATACCTGCACAATTGAAGTAATTAAAAATATTCTTTTAGTTTCTTAAATTGTTCGATACACGCTGTTACGTATTTATAACTTTCATACAGATATTAGATAAGTTTCTTTTGATAGTTTATCTATTGAAGTGCAATACACTATCATTCTTAACATTATATTAATAAAATTGATCGTAGACTCGTTTTGTTGTTAATACTTTACTTATGATTTAATATTGTAAAAATATACCAAAGGTAATGTCTTTTAATGACATTACTACTTCTGACGAGCAAGGCACTGCTAACTTGTTTTCTGACTATTTTTATATTGTTTATTCTTTAGAACGGAATGATGTCGATGTATGTGAACTAGGTATATCTTTGATCTTTCTAATAATATTGGTTTTAGTGTTAATGATGTTTTCCGTGGTCTATCTGCTTTGCGTGGTATCGGGTCTATTGGACCTGATGGTCTTTCTGGTACTTTTTTATTTGAACTAAAGTCAATCTTGGCGTATCCACTCTGGGTTTTATTTAGGCGGTCACTGGATGAAGATATTTTCCCGTCAATGTTTAAGTTTAGCTCAGTTACACCTGTCCCTAAGTCCGGTTGCCCGACTATTGTTTCTAACTATCGGCCAATAACCATCCAATCTCATTTATCTAAAATATTCGAGTCTCTTGTACTAAATGCTACCCAGCCATCTATAAATTGTATCCTTATGAAAGAACAGCACGGCTTTCGCCCTGGTCGTTCTACTACCACTAGTAATCTACTGTTTTGTAATTACATTTTTGATTCATTTCAGTGTCGGTCCCAAGTCGATGTAATATATAGGTACCGACTTTAAAAAAGCTTTTGATTCAGTGAATCATGAAGTTCTTATTCTTGTTCTTAGAGAATCTGGATCTGCTGTCCTGGTTTAGATCATATTTTAAAGACAGATATCAGTGGGTTAAGGTGTTTGGCATTAAGTCCAAACTATTTCTGGCTTCATCAGGGGTCCCACAAGGAGGTCATTTGTGTCTCCTTTACTCTTCTCCTTATTTATAAACAGTGTTAATCGAGTTTTGCGTCACTGTCGCTTCTTCTGTTTTGCGGATGACATCAAATTGCTAATTATAAGTTGCTGTTCAGTTGTGTGTTTAATGTTTTCTTCATTATACAAATATGCATGTATATATATATATATATAAAAGGGCCCAGCCCATATACAATAATAATAAATAAATAAATAAATGAATATTATGTTATATTATATAATATTATGTATCTTGGATTATTTGTTGTCCGTTTAGTTAATAAATAAATAAGTATTGTCTACAATAAGTTTTCGGTTTTCCAACAAGTTAAACATTTTAATTTTTATGTAATATACAATTTTGAAGCTTCAAAAAATATTTCAAACATTAGTAAAACATATAGACATTAAAATAAAAATAGTTAAGTTAATTAGTGAAAAACATCACAAAACTTATTAAGACATAACTTTTGCCAGTTCATCACGTATTTTAATCATGTTAAATTTTAAATAGAAGATAAAATTTGTTTAAATAATATGTAACGTCCATTATTAACATAGATATATTTATTGACAATTATCTAACTTTATGGTGCACGGTTTACTTTAGTAACCATTGTAGTACCATTGTGTATATTTACAATATATAGATACTCAATGGTTTTACAAAGGGTACTAAGGACACTATAGTCAAAACATGTATCTAAATAGTCTAATATATATATAATGTAATTTTGGTACTTCAACAAAAATGTGCCAACAATTGTTATTTCATTGCTATTTTTGTATAAACCAGTAAAAGTATAAACCAATTTTTTTATTTTGCAGAAATTTGTTTTTATATTGTTATAAACTATACAATGTAAGAAACAAAAAAAGCTGACTCTAGTTCAGAAAGGGTTTAGTGGTCTTATAATTATTTATTGTTTAATATTTAAAAATATAGAAATTAAGAATTTTTTAACCCACTAGGAGAAAGACACTCTTAATTCATCATTTAAGACATAAGTGTTGGTATCTACTATCTAGTCATAAGTTATGTCGTATAAATTATGTATGCTTTCTGGAAACCAGTGACAACGCCGTAGTATTTAAGTAAAATAATGACTTGTTTTAATTTACTGTGGCTTTGTTTTTAGGCTGGCAGAAATTTCCCTTTGACCACTTCCGTTGTGTACCTAAAGGGCATGCTGGGATCGAAAGGCGTAGGACTATCGTTGAACGGTCCTGTTAAATCCGAAGATCCGAATTACTCAAATTTCCAAGACATTCCTGAATCGTTTGACGCGAGGGAACAGTGGACAGAATGTCAAACGATCGGTCACGTCCGAGATCAAGGAAATTGCGGCAGCTCTTGGGTAATAATATCATTGAATAAATACTGTTTTCCTGAGTGCACCGTTTAAAAAAAGTGACATTTTCTCCACTTCATAGAAACCAATGCATATGTTTTTAAGCCATCGCCAACACCGGCCGGTATTCGACATGTTCTTGTAAATTTTCCTCGCCTGCCGTTTCCCTATCAACATTATCCAACACTCCCCTCCGTCTCATCCTCCCCTCATTTGTCTGTGATCTCTTATCAATAGCCCTGCGCTATCAGCTGTGTCTTATTGGTTGTTGGTGGGTTTATTGTAGGCGGTGGCGACTACGAGTGCGCTTTCCGACCGCATGTGCATAGCCACGAACGGCGAATTCAACGAAACGCTGTCGGCCGAAGAACTGACCTTCTGCTGTCATTATTGTGGTTTCGGATGTTTCGGCGGATGGCCCATCTTGGCATGGTATCGGTTCAAATATCACGGCTGTTGCACCGGAGGAGACTACGGCTCGGACGAGGTGAGTCTTTGACCGATAAAATCGAAGTACACCTATACACATATGTCTTGACTATAACGCAACTGGTGTTTTGCACTTAACAGGGATGTCAACCGTACCGAGTGTCGCCGTGCACAGTGGACGGGCAAGGATACAACTCGACGTGCAATGACCAACCGTTCGAACGTAACCACAAATGCTCCCGGGAGTGTTACGGTAACACTACCGTCGACTACCACGACGACCACGTCTACAGTAATATTTTCAACTGGTTTTTGTCTTATATTTTTGCTCTGTCCTATAACCTAAGCCCCTTTTGGTGGCTTTTGCTAATTACAGCCAGAGACGCGTACCACTTGACGTTCCGCGCCATTCAAAAAGACGTGCTGTGCTACGGTCCGATCGCAGCGTCTTATGATGTGTACGACGACTTCCTAAGCTACAAATCAGGTAAGAAGAAACGAAATCCATTATCCGGTGATCCGACTAACATACTGTTATGCTCGCAGGCGTCTACGCCAAGACGGATAACGCTACTTATATAGGAGGACACGCCGTGAAATTGATCGGATGGGGAATCGACGACGATACTGATACCCCCTACTGGCTGTTAATTAACTCGTGGAACACCGAATGGGGTAATAATGGAACGTTCAAAATTGAAAGGGGCACCAACCAATGTAGAATTGACGTCTCGACGACAGCCGGTGTGCCATTCCTTATTGAGGAGTAAAAAATATAAATATAATGTCTTCCGAAAATGTATTATTATTATTAATGGGAAAAAGCTTTTGTTATTTTTTTTATAAAGTTTGTTCTAAAAAATATAATTTACCGTAAATTAAAATTTGCAATCAACGTTTTTACCTGTAGTCGCAAAAAAAAATCCAAATTACCTGTATTTTTGTAATTAATTCCGTACTTATGTTATGCCTATGGAAAACACTGACCGATTCACCATCTAGATTAGTAAGTTGTACAGTAGTTTTTAAATTTAAAAAAAAAACCTTCAATGATTGGGAGCTTATTCATTTTTTTGGTAGGAAGTAAGCTTTTTCACCTTTCAAACCATCAAACTACAAACAGTAAGTGTAAATAGTAATTAATGTTCTAGTGTGGTGTCAATTCTGTAAATCGATCCAGAGAAAAAAAAATATCGATACTCCGATCACAAGAAAGTCACATAACCAGTTTTGGATACTTACTTTTAAAGTTTAAAATATAGGACGGGGGGAGGGTGGAATGTAGTATTATTTTTATCTCCGCACTCCACCTCCCAACCTAAATTTTAAACTTAAATAACTTTTAATGATAAAATTTGTATTTAATATATTTAAGTTAAACTTAAATAGTTAAGCCGAAATTTAACCACGATTTAGTTTAAGTGTTATTTGAAAAAATCAAGTTGGCGTTTTAGTGTTATGGTGCAACATAAGTAATTTTAAGGAACCCTTAATCTCTACTTAAATTTTAAGTAGAACTGGTGCATTTTTGGCGGATACTAAATAATAAAACAAATTATAATTTTCGCTGTGTTTACAATTTTAGTTCGTGTTGTCCTACATCGGCCTTACTGCAGTATCCACAATAAAAAGATATAAAAACTTATATATTGTCTAATACTGAAAAATAACAGAAGTCATAAACAAAAGTGTCTCAAAAAAAAAAAACCCCCAAAACAATTGGAATAATTTTAACGAAAAATTAGTGTCTTACCACGCTGTACAATTGGTATAAGATTCAAAATATTGTATAATATATTTATTAATATTTAATTGTAATATTTAGGCGTATAAAACACCTGATTGGTCTTAGTTGTTATAATATTGGTTGATATACCTACCCGTATTCTGTTGAAAAAAACATGTACACATAAATACCTATGTAAAAAAAAAAGTATAACATAAACACACACGTCATTTCATACAATTTTGTACACAATTTTTAAAAAAGTAAAAAACACACGCGCAATGGACAATAGTACACAGGTAGTGATTGTCTTCTGTTTTTAGTTATCGTAATAACGAAACGAACGATTTCGTATACGTTGTACAGGCGTTTAGTGCAACAGTGTAAAAATATATAAATGTTAAAAACCATAAACGCGGTCACAGTATTTAAACATTTTCAGACAAACAACAGTGCGCACGCGATAGACCAAGCATTTGCGGATAAGCTAAGAAAGGCGCACAACATGCTCGACGACGCCAGAAGCGAACTACAACTATGTCAATATGACCGGCATAACTGTTACAAAAGTCACTACAGCTTGGTAGAAGACATAACACGTTTGAAATCAGAAGTCGAAAGTTTAGAAGAAACGTAAGTTCTACTTGCATACCTACTCACCGCTCGCGTTTCGTACTCACTATACTTCTTACTTACATTAGGCGATAGCACAATAACTAATAATATTAGTATTATTAGAATAATACTATTAATAATATTAATAATAATTCGAATATTCGAATTTTCGCATGAAAAAACTAAAAAGAACTTCTCAATTTAAGAAAAAAATAATTTGGTTATAGTAAATGTTTGGAAATATTCTTGTTTGATCTACTATATTACAGCTGCACCTACTACATCATTTTAGTTAGAAATACGAAACTAATTTAGTTGTTTATGAGTAGTTGGATTAACATACTAAACATTTAGTTAGGTTAACTATACTTTTTACGTACGCGTACAAGCTAGTCAAAAGAATAATTCGTTATAATTATATTTATTTTGTTAAAAAATTATTAAAAATAGATCAAGGACACCTTAGTTGTCTCTTAATTATTTTTTTTTTAATCTAATTAATCCTGCAAAGAAAATGATAAAATATTCGAATATTCGAAAAATCAGATAGAATATTCGAATAAAAAATTCGATAAATTCGTTATTCAAATAACGAATATTCGTGCGAATAAAGTATTCGAATATTCGAATTTTTTTTATTCGAATAGTCCCACCACTAGTAGGTAGGTATATCTACGCCTTTAGTAGTTACATAAACACCGAAATATTGCAAGACACCCGTTCTGTATAACTTAATTATAAGAGGAGTACTTTAAAAATAAATAAATTTATAATATGTAATTTTGTGCTAATAAATAATGTAATGATCAACCCAGATTGTAATAAAATAAAAATAAATATTGTTTTTTTTGCCTAGAGTTAACCTTAACTCCACGAGTAATACTTTATTAATTCAGATTTAACTTTTTATAATATTCACACGTGTTCAAAACCTGAAAAAGTGCCCGACTATCAACAACTGTTTTCATGAGCACTTAAAAAAAAGGTCACTCACTATTGAAGATTTTACCGTTTTATTTAGTATAATATTATCAATAAAACTAAAACTGAGTCCAGGAATAGTATATTCAAACAACAACCTAAGGTATCCAATACCTGACACATGCGAGTCGGCAATGAGTTAATTAAATTTGTATATAGGTATTCATTTGTATAATAGTGTAAAATATAACATACATTTAATTTTGCATTAACTGAGTCCTAGGTTAACAGTGCTTTTACAATGTTTACAATGTTTTTTTTTTAAATCCAAGTTAACAGGCATGCATATTTTAACAAAAAGTTTGACGTATTAGTCTCAGTTAATATAATATCATTGTTTATATTCTAAGACTGGCATTGAGTGAGGACGGCGTATTCATTGCGGAAAATACAAAATTGAAATATAAAATTACTCTACTAGAACAAGAAGTGCATAATTTAAAAGTAGACAACGGCAATTTAAAAATGGAAATCGATTCGTTGAAAAAAAAATTTTAATGAAACTCCAACAGAAGACGCCAAATTAATGTCGAGCACTGTACGTAGATAGACAATCATCAATATCATCCAAAATTCCAACATTGTCTGACAATAAATTATTAATAATAATAATAATGATGTGTTTTGGTACAATCATATTTTCGTATTAAACTTTTTTTTAAGTATGTCTTCATTCACAAAAACCTGAAAAAAAAACCAGCACAGAAGGGTCGAGAAGGTCATATGAAATCTTCAGGAATTATAATTGGAGCGATACAAAAATGATACATGAGTCATGGATATGTCCTGATAATTATATGATTATTTCCGATTTCTAATCTCCTTCCGATATATCATGATAGTATAGTCCTAATTGCGTATACCTAATACGTTCTGGTCCAAATTGTGTTTAGTTGTTTCATAATATCTGACCTTAATCGATTTTTTGGCAACATTTATCAATATTTAACATTTCTGATAAATCAATTTCGGTGGTTCGCCTACCTAACAAATTCATTTGACCATCCTTATATATATATATTTATATATCCTGCAACTTGATGTAACTTTATTTTCAGACTGACTCTCCATAATCATCCTTTATGTCGACATTTTCAGAATGACCCCCAGCCATAAAACATATCCATGTCAAAATCGCTTTCAAATACTCACGCTTCGATATGAAAATGTGGATGGTAAAAATTATTAAATATAAATAATTTATTTGCCAATAAAATTGTCATTGAGAGTATAATAATTTAATTTCGATTTCCTCAATGAAAAAACATGACTATAATTTTTTTTTTAATAACAGAGAAATCGATTGACAAACAAAAAAGAAATTATTATTAAAGAAAAAGTAAAAGTTTTACGTTCTATTTATTTTTTCGGTTTCCTTAAAAATTGTTATTAGACTAAACTAGGTTTACTGATACCTGAACCTTAAAATCCAAATACGAAAAATTAAATATTGAAATAAAGAAAAAGTTCTCATTTCTTATTGGGAAAAGAGTTAATAATGTGTTTTTTGGTTTTCACTGTAGGTATGTAATAATATAGCTAAAGGAAATTCCATGTAAATTGGAACTAATTAGGCTCTTTATATATAATTTATAAATAATAATAATGTATATAATTTTTTAAAAATTTATACATTTATAGTATAAAAAAACCATACATTTTTAGGACGTTTTCTCAATTTTGAAGGAATGAGGTTAATATTTGTATTTATTGCCTTTTGAATTAACTTTCGGGTTCGATTTCTAAATCAAATTGATTTCTAAAGATTTTTCCATTAGAACGAAACAGTCAAGCAGTTTCAAAGCTATTGTGGGTTAAACCTGAGAATTTAAATTTTAAATAACAAATCGTTTTTATTGAAAATAATGAGCTATATATTATGTTTCAAATAAAGTGTTTTTTAAGTGAAAACGTACTTTATTTTATTATTTTAACTTTTATTTAAATTTTGAACTTCGATTCGGAGCCGAGAAAATATTATTTGAACAATGATGTTCAGCAGTGCTGTAGGTAATTTTTTTTTTTTGTGCATATGTCTTTAAATCCGCTGAGCAGATTCCTGTAGGTAGCAAGGTTAATATAGACCAGAAAACGTTAATAACCTAAACAAAATACCGTTAACCCTCCTAGAAAGATTGGAAACTTTCTCTTTATTTCTTTTTTTTGAGTGGTTTTAATATAAAAATGACTTTATTAATAGATCTTTAGTGGGGTTATAACAAATACGATTTTCTTAAAATTTAGAAGTCAAACTATCTTTTAATTAAAGAATAACTAAAATAAAAGGGAAAATTCCCTTATGGCTTAGGTCATAGTAAATTTCTAGGTTGCTATGTGCCAGTTAATCAACAATCAACAGGTATATCTGTACTGGCTTTTTCTTATTTAAGTTTGACAAATAAAAATGTATTTGAAATAATAACTTGGATTCATGATTAAATTTTAAAAATTTATTTTTTTGTTTTTAAGTAAATACATTTTTATTTTAATAATGTACAGCCATGTGACGGGTTCAGACATAAAAATATTAAAAAAAAAAAAAACACAACATTGTAAAAACAACACCTTTTTAACTTCGCAACAAAGTTAATAAAGTATAAATTTTAAATCATCCTAATCGCAATTGAAAACTGACAATGAGTACAAATACTGAAAAAGTGTGTGACATAAAAACTATTCTGAAATTTTCAGTAAGTAAATACAAAAATATGTATATTATATAAGACAAGACAATTTTTTTAAAAATAAATATTTATTATTATGTAATTTTAGGTGTGGTATATACAACAATTTCGGTTAACAATATAAAAACATATTTTGTAAAATTATAATGATTTTAGAACACAGTAAAAATATTATTAACAATGAAATGTGTATGTACCCAACAACAATAATAATATAATACATTAATAAATTAACAAGAGTAATAAAATGGATATCAGAATACATATCACAGCAAGGATTCATAATTACTAGAACTAGGATAGAGTAACCAAGTAATAAATGTTCGACAAATCGACTTTTAGCAAAATTCTCATTTTGGCTGTAACAATATATCTATAATATTATAATTGTATGTATCGGACCTTCTAAATATCTAATAACATATAAAATTTTGTGTATATTGGTGTGTACATAAAAGTTTTAAAACGAGTAAGATTTTTTCATAAAAAATAACAACTATTTCGATTGTCAGTATTATTGTTCGGCAATCATCAAATCTGCTGCGGCATACGTAGACCTTTTCACCTTGAACACATTACTCTCGTCCGGCACATAGTCAGCACTATCAGAACTGCTTTCTGATGAATCTTCTGATGAATCTAATTTTATCAACGATCCTATGAAATTTTAAGAAAAAAATGTATATAATTCATCACTTTATAAAACACATTTCAGTACATTTAGTAAATATAAATTTTGTTTTAACATATTTGACGTTTCATAAGTTTGACAAATATAAAACACTCAGTTTAAAATTTCTTTTGTTAGCTTTCGTCTTAAAAAAAATGAATACGTAGTATTTTATTTATATACGTAACTTAATTAATTTGATAAGTTTACTTTGAAAAATATTTACTTTATGCTTGAAAAACCAAAAATTTATAAACAAATTCAAGTTTAAGTTCGAACTTTAAGTAATTTCCTAACAGAAAAAAACAGAACTGTATTTTAGTTTTCGCTGTCCTGTAAAATTACAAAAATGTCATTTACGACCTTTTGCCTATGAGTGCCAATATGCAAAATGTTTGGTTGTATCCTACAATATGTATACTATACAGAAAGAAAGGCCTTTAAAAATATTCGACAACCACTCGTCCTTATCAAATGTTGTTAAATAAAAGAATTAAATGCCTAACTGTTGTGAACAGTAACACCAGTTTCTTTTAATTCTTTAAAAAAATTTAATTAACGATCGTTTGGAAAGTAACACTAGTTTAATTTTAAAAAATGTTATTATTTTTTTTTTCTACAAAATTTACATATTTTGATGTAAATATATACAATTTTTTTTTTTGTAGTCTGTGGAACGTTTGATATATTTTTAATAACTAGAGATCAGCGTTTAATATCATTACTGAAAATCTCTATATTTCTATCCTTAAAGGTCTGTTCCACCATCTCTTTTGTCCAATTCCAAATAGTGTCTTTGATATCATCATAAGTTTGAAATATTCTCTGGCTAAATCAATTTTCAATTTGACGAAAAGGTAAAAATGACTTGGTGCAAGTCAATTGTGAGTTGAGCGGTGTGTGGGTGGGCATTGTCACAAGGAAGTAAACACCTTCAGCCAATATTCCTCTTTGTGTGTTCTTCATCACCAAGTAAGGTGGATAGTCAAACATACCACCTAAACGAGTTGAGTACTCATTCCTGGCTTAGCACCAAGTAGTTTTCACCTTTTCTCCAAATTTGAAAATGCTTTAGTCAGAAACATTTGACAATAAATAAATAAATCAAAGGAGGCTGTTTGGAATTGGGAAGGGAGAAAGTGAATAGACCTTCAAAGAAGGTATATGACACCCATGTTGAAAATGTAATAGAATGACAAATTAAATCCTATAAATTTGAATGACAAAAAAACTAAATTTTTTAAAAATAAACAAACATTACTTTTCTAACGATCCTCATAGTAATTACTCAAGACTATAGAATAGCGATTGGCAAATTCTTAAAATCCGAAAAATTATTTATGGTTTAAAGTTATATACCATGTGATGATGATGATTCGCTGTTATGTTTGTTGTCGATCACTTCTGAGCCAAATAGGTGCCGCCACGACATTGCAAACACGGCAAATGCAAAAAGCAGGTTGGTCCCTATACCAACTAATGCTGAAAACACAGGCCAGTGGTACATTAAGTATCTAAGTCCACTTAAACGAGCCAAAATGGTCATGCGGGCTGCATATATTTGCACATCATGATCAAGGACTTCAAAGTGAATATCTGTAATTGGATGAAGCTAAGGAAAAAAAATTACAAAATGACAAGTGTTCACAATATTTGTAATACATTTCTTTTTACTCTGTCTTCTTCAAAATCAGTGTACATTTCCAACACCATGGACTGTTTCTCTTCGGCCAAACCGGACAAATAAAGAGGAGATTTGACGACAGTGCGTAGATTACGTAATATGTCACTTATGTAACGTATTCGAGCTGACCTGCACGATGAAGAAACCAATTGCCCGTGTCTATCGGCTAATCGAGCACATACCATGAACATACCTAAATTTTGATAAACTGCTTTTTTAATATTGCAAAAAAAAAATTCACATTGTTGCAACATATATGCATACCTACTTGTTCATTGACTGGAGACTCGGGCAGATCCAAATTTATTATTATTCGGTATTTTTGTCCTATCATCATCATACTACTCTTGGTAGGTAATTTGATGTGGGCCGAGGGATAGTCACAAACGCCTTTGTTGCTGTAACATGGTCTGTAAATCGAAAAAAAACACATATTTATTTTATAAATGGATTCACACAATAATACATTTAAAAAAAAAAAACCCCAGCCAAATTACTGACACATAACTTTCTTAAAAAACAAATTCTACTCATACTAGAAATGATAAGAAAACCAAAATAATTTCTCAGTGAGGCTCAGTTATTCTGTGACTAACAATGTGAAACTATAAATAAATAAATAAAGGTTGCCATAGCCGATGGTAATGAAATCAAAAAAATCTCTAAGGTCTAAAGGTATGTTCGACTAATAATATCCAAAATAGTCATAAATTCTAAAAAAATGTTAGTTAGTTCAACAATTTTTCCAGGGATTTAGCTTCTTCTCTAAGGAAGCAAAAACATTATAATAAAACTCATAATTTTTTATTCTGCAACAAAGCTAAAAAACACATAATATGGAATGAATTCTTTATCTAATTTACATCTATGCTAAAGCTCTTATTTTACATATTCAATATATGGGTAACTATGTCAATACATTTTTATAGACAGACGATCAACCCTAATCATATACACTTAAACTAAACTCTACATCCTAGTAAAAATTAATTTTTAATCACATAATTGTCATTAGGTACATTGCTTATTTATATTTTTATCTGTGAACACTGGACCTCCCTTACTCACTTATTTACTACTATTCACATAACATAATACTTTCATAGTGTGCTGGTTCATACTGTGCTTGGTTTAGACAGTACTTGCTTTTTTATTTAAATATAATTTATATAAAAAATGTGTATCATTTAATTTTCTTATAATTGATAATAAATATGCATTATTAATTTCGTTCATGTTTAAGTTTGTATTTATTAATATTATTAAAGGTTTAATTGAAAAGTTTTGTTAGCACATTTTTGGCTGTAATGTGTATACAGTAAAATCTGATAAAGAATAGAAAGGTGTTATAATTTTTTTTTTTTTTTTAACAGTATATTCAAGTATATATTTCAACCGTTAGAAAGCGTAAAAAAAATGTAATGAATACTGTAAAAGAAAAACTTTAATGTTCTTCTGTAAAATCTTCATTTAATACTTACAACACTTTTAAATAATCATTTTAATTATAAATTATAAATTTGAAATCAATTTTAATTCGTACTTGTACTGCATGTGGACTGGACGGGTGTACGCCAATGAAGGCATGTAAGCTGTATAGAAAGCCGCGTACAGAAAAATGGAAGCCCAAACAACTGTGACCACCGACATCCAGAACACCGATCCACGGTAAGCGGCCAGAGTAGCCCATAGACCTACGGACATGATACTCTTTTTTACACGCTGAACTTTGCGGTCTATGTACCTGGTTAGAAATCCAAACATGATTGGGCAGTGTCGAATCGAGTATAACAGTTGAGTATTAACAGTTGACAGCTGAATGGCAAGCAACACAATATCGACTAGGGACTTAGAGTGCCGAAACTTATTGTTAAACAATTTGTATTATTATGTAATACAGCTGGTAACAGGAGCACGGTTTTTAACAATGTATATATACTCCTTACACTCTCATTAATGCTCCACTGAATCTAACATCAGAGCTGAAATAGAAACGAGAAAAAAAGCCTACTAACCAAGAACTTTTACACACTAACATTACAACATTGTAGTTCATGCTACCCAGATTAGATAAAATGTTATCTCATCTCTGATGCCACTAACGCATGGCAAATCAGAATGGACACTGATAAGAAATAACAATATAACGTCATGTCCAGCGTAGGCAGGCGGCAAAATCACTCCGACATCAGCTTATTGAAGAAAAAATCAGTTTGACCATCTAGGCAAAAGAAATGTTTGTTTCTTGTAAATGTATACAAAATTACTCCTTTAATAAATATAAATGTTTGTTGTGTAAATATAAAGTATGTATACACAGCAAACGAAAATGTATAATTGAATGGCGTTATGCAGAAAGTAGCAATCCCACAAATCTGTGTTTGGAAATAATTTGATGTTTTACAAAAAAATGTTTTAACCTATCACTGGTCGTGTGGAGAATGATTGGGTTGTGACCCCAGTCACATTTAGTCACACTTTGATTCAGGTAAGAAATGTACCAAAAATCGCAAGACTAGCGATGGGTTAAAATTCATACTATTCTGTTAGTTTTTGAAACGTCGATCCACAACCAAAATTGATTTATTGCATTTTGCAAAATGCGCAAAAAGACATTTTGTATCAACTATCAAGTAGTATTAAAATCGCATTTTTGGAAGTTTTTATGGGATGGATGCATTCTGCATAACGCCATTCGGTTATACTACATATATACACGACAAACGTATCGTAGAATAAATAATTATTTTTTAAGTGCCCGATAGAATTTGTCGGTTATCAATAGTTAAAAATGGATATTGTTTCCTCCAACGAAATTGCTATACCAATTGTGTTTACATTACAGTGTCCAGAGCCTGCAGACATATATAGGTTCATAGCCTGCACATAGCCATTGTATGTTATGGCTTATCGCACTGATTACCCAACTAAAGAAAAATAGCTGGTACAAACTACTCAAATTATATATATATATAAATTGTAATTACCCCGACCGTTTCGGTCAAATGTAAACTGTTGTACTATCGTTGTGTATACTTTTATATAAATATCCGACTGCTAAAACATAATTAAGCATCCATAAATTTATTATTCAGCAAGCCTGCCTAATATTATCGAACTAACAGGTAAAAACTTTATCTTTATTGCCATACGGCTACGGACCACAGTTCACATGTTACTGTAAATTTAAAAAATATATATATATTGCATACTTATGGGTACGGTGTTCAATATTATTCTACTATTATCAATATAATAGTATTCTACTCAGTTACCCACCTGTTATAATTTAATGTTTTACCTAAATATCTCGCTCACCTTTTTAATATACATGTTATTATTATATACAATCCCTTATTGTGCCTATGAAATATGTAGGGAAAAAATGCGGTTGACAAAATTATTGAATCTTTACTCTTTAATTATACGGGTAAAATATTAGAAACATTAATACACATTACACATTAATAATAAACACACTTATGGAATTATCAGTACTGGGTTCACACAAAATAAAACAATATTAAAATTTACAGAATTTACATATAACAAAGTTTAAAAGAATAAAATCTCTAAAAAGCATAGTAATCTAAAGATCTCGAGCTGTGGTCTGTCCCAAAATCTGTATCATCCAACACTTCATCCATAACAACATCTAATTTTTGAAATTCCTTTTCATAATACTGCAATTCGTAGTTACAATACTTCCAGTTGTCGTGAGTCATTTTACTTAATGCGCCAGACACTAGATCGTAAACATCGCTTGCAGTATTATTGTTACTGATTTCATCTTTTATCAGACTCCAAACAAATGTCATCAGATTCATTTCACCATGGTAACGTGGCAATCTTAACACTTCCTTTTGGTATCTTTTGGCTGTTTCGTCTACCATATGGATATTGAACATATTCTTGTGCTTCTTGACAATATTAAGCATTTCGATCTTCAACATGTTTTCTTGATTTTTCTTGATTTTTTTTTCTTCCAACCAACGTGAAATGTTTTCTTTTTTCCAATGTTTGTTAGGGATTTGTTCGTATTTAAATAAATTAAATGGTTTTTTATTCATTACAATCACGCCATTAGGATCTAATGATGGCAATATATCTTCAAACCAAATTAAAAAAGCATTATAGTCTGTGTATAATTTATCTTTTGACATTTCAACACAAAGCAAGCCGCCAGGAACAAATCCTCTACTTGTGCAAATATGAAGTAAAAACAATATTTTGTTTTGAGTATCACTAATATGTTTCTTTTCATCCAAGTCAATCCAAGTTTCATCTAAATAATAAATAGTGCGTCCTTCTTGGCGGTATTGCATTATTTTGTTTAAACATCTTCTACGCCAAAGAACTATCTTCTTTTTTTCGGTTAACGCAAGGCCATGTGTTTTTGTTTTAATTAGTTTAAATTTTAAACTTTTAAGAAAATCGGCAAAAAACTTTTTTTTCATAAATGGCAACAAACCTCTCTTTTTAACTTTACTGTATACTTTTTCAACTGTTGGTAATTTACGTTTAACATAAAATGAACGTACTATTTGTCTAATAGTTGTTTTAACAAATTCATTTACGCCTTCATACGGTCTTGTATTTATGCCAGCAACACTTGTGCACTTTAGAGTCGATGAAGTTCTTTGATTTTCAGACCACTGTATACCGAATTCGGAAGCAATTTCAGAAAAAAGGTGTCGTTTTGGATTATTACACCGCTTATACAAGTTCAATGCCGCAGATCGATTCTGAGTGTCAAACACCTACAAAATATATGATGTATCGTTAGTTAATTAATAAAATATCGAAGACAAAAAATTAAGTAAATAATCTATTTTTGTATTGATGTTAAAATTATAATATGAACAAATTTATTTTATGGTTTCATATGGTAGAATTAAATCTAAAAATTAATAGGTGCAGTGCTTATTTCAGGCACCTTTTCAGGACCAATTTAAGCGCCCCTCAGGAAAAAACAGAGCGCTGAAAAATTATGTTTAGATTAACAAATGGAAAATATACTAATATTAGAGAGCTTATGTACTAGTAATGTCCTAGTATTATTATTAAATTAATTATGACTGTTGTACAATTGTGGATCATGTGCATTAGCAGATTTACTTAAGAGGACGTGATATACCCCTATTTGTTAAGGAGTTAGGTATAGGCAATTTTTCGCAAAATCTTAATTTAAAGCTGGAAATTTGGGTGTATAACGTCCTCTTAAGTAGTTAGTACTTTGCAGTTTCTAGTAAGTATTAAGCTAATATGAACGATTAGTTCATACTTGGATAATGTTTTATACTTCAATAGTTGGTTTTTTAATACTACAATAAATAATATTATTTAAAATATTATTAAGTATGAGTCGCACTCTAAATTAAATTAGTGATAAGTGAAGATACCTAATTGAATATTTTGATAAAATATGAGATCTCGCATGAAAAAAAAACGAGTTGTCATGTTACCCGTATATACTTATTAGGGCTAGGATTTATATTATGCATTGGTATACTTTTTCGCAACATCCGACAACAAATTTGGTTAGTATTTTATTAATGTCAACGAATTTGTTCATACTGAAACCAATAAATAATAGTGGTTTTTTGTTTGCATATTTTGAAAGTATAGCAAATTATTTAAAAGTGCAAAACGGGAAAATATTGTCGAAAATGAAAACTGAATAAGTGCAATAGGGGCTGTCATCCTTAAAGGGGATTGCATACAGTTGATTTTTAAGGAGTTTTGTATAGGCAATATTTAAGAAAAAAGTGGTTTTAATAAATTTCGATCATGTCAATTAATTTACCGGTTAATTTGTATAAGCTTCATAATATTATTTTTAATTTAAATTATTTTGTCTATGAGTAAAAACCATTTTAGTTAATATAACATACATTTTTTGTTCCATCGCACAGGCTGAACCAGTGATCCGATAAGTAATCTGAAAACAGATTTGAATTCTTTATGAAATTTACTTATGATCGGTCTGGGTACTTTTTTGATACCTTATTCCTACTATGTATAAAACACGTTTACCCTGACCGATCATAAGTAAACTTCATGCAAATTAAAATCTGTTTTTAGATTGCTTATCAGATCACTGGTTCGGTCTGTGCAATGGAATAAAAATGATGTGTTTTTACTGAAAAAACCGACCGCATGCAATCCCCTTAATGGCTCAAACGTAAAGGGGCCCCTACATCAGCATTTATTAACAAGCACACAGTATAGGCAATTTTTCACCAAAATTTTAAAATTTAGCTTACATTTTTAAGTGTACATATTACCATTGAGTATATTACAATATATTATACTCAATGATATTACCATAGGAAAGAAGGAAATCATTTGATATTCAATTTTTTTTTTCAACTTAAAACACATATAGGATCTATTTTTGTACAAAAACATATGAAGGGCACAAGAGAAGAATGGTAGTAGTCCATTTATGAAAATGTTTTTTTTCAAATAGTTTTTTCAATATATATGCCATTAATTTTTTTTATTTATGTCAATAGATTGTTTAAATAACTACATTTTTTGTTAGAATAGCACTTAATGTGATTTATTTTGTTCTTATGTAAGATAGAGAGGAATTCACAAACTTTGTTTTTGCTATACTCTAAAAATTTCATAAACAGACTAAAAAAAAACTAAAATCAGTCGAAATATTATGTGTATAGTATCAATCATGCTTTATAAGCGCTGAATTGGTCTTTGGTGTGAATCAAAAAGTATCCTACGATAAAATCTACAAGTCGAAATGTCTATAAGCGGATAAGCCTACTAAAAAGTGTAGACTTTTAATGAGGTTTGTTTGTATAAATTCTAAAACTTAATTTTTAAAAAATTATTGCCAACGCATACACATTTTTAAAAATTTGTTTTAGCATGGAACATACTTTAGCCAAGGCCTCTCAGCGCAAAAAAGACACAAATTAGCGTCACGAAAGTAGCGCGTCTACTTTAAACGTATAATATAATGAGTCGTCGTCGTCATGCAAACGTTTTGGCCAGAAAATAAAATTAATTTTATCGTCATAAATCGCAAGGGGATTATAGATCAGAAATAATCACTATTCAGTATTCAGGAACCAGCAGACTGCGCACGGCGCGACTGTTTTGCGACTAAGGTTGCAAATGAGTTGAGCGCGCAACTGTTTTGTGACCTTGGCAGCGAAAAGCTGTAGGGATCCGCACACGAGGCGATTGGAAAGGGAGTAGTTTGCAATCGGTTTCAAATCGTTTCAATGCGATCGTTTTCCGCGGTCGCAGTTGCGTTGCGTTACAGTTGCACTGAAATTAGTAGGTTTTATTATTTTGGTTTTTTGTTGTTTTTGGTAATTTTTTTCAATTTTTTTTAATATGAATGACCAAGAATCAAATATACAATTTGTTAAAAAGATGGAGAAGCACCAAGAAGTTTATAATTATAAACTTCCTGACTACTCCAGGAATGATGTAACCGAGAAGGCATGGCAAGAGGTTGCCGCCGAAGTAAATATGACAGGTATGAAAAAGTAATAAGTTAAGTAATTAATTATTTTTTATGATTTATTAATTTGTGTATTTTACTGTACTAAAAATTTGGAAGTAACTCGAATATTGCTAAAAAAATATAGACTGCTATAATTTTAAGTTGTTTAACCTGGCTTCGAAAGTCAATGCTCCCAAAAAACTTAACATGATGAAAAAAAAAAATAAAACATTTCGTTCTTCTCTATTTTTAAATATTTTTATACATGGATAATATATATATATACACATATTATCCATGATTTTATAGTCCGCTGTGTTATTGATACATAGACAGACTACAGAAATCGTTCATTTTTTTCCTTTATAAAAATGAATTTATTTTTATGTTTAAAATAGTAATGTACAGACTACTGTACGATAAATTGAATAACGATGACACTCCTCTCCCTACCCTCTCAATAGGGATTGTCACAAGACAATTCGCTGTACGCTGTACGGTCCCTACGGCCACCAAGAAATATAATAACAAAATATTCACCTAACCACGCATAAAACGAATGTAACCTTATTATTTTTGTTATAACGTTTTTATGAACTCACAATCTTGTTTGTCGTTCCGGGTGGAATCTTGCAACTCAAATTTCGAGCACATCCCGATTAGCTATCGGGCTGAAACTTACAGGGTAGCTCACAATTCGATGACAATGCATTATTAATCCACAAGAGGTTGAAAATTCCACCCCTAAGGGGGTTAAAATGGGGTCGATTTCTTGTCCGTCGTTCTGGGTGGAATCTTGCAATTCAAAAAGACTTATTTCTCACCCGCCAGCAAAAATTATGCGTGGTGCGTTTGGGCGTAAACGGTGCTCAGAAATGAGCGGTACCAGGTTCAAACCCGTTCCCATCATTACACTTTTTTGTATTTTCTTACAACTTTTATGATAATTTATATAGTGATTACAACTTAATTTCAACTTTTATGATAATTTATACAGTAATAAATCTAAAATTATAAGCTTTTAAATTGATTACTAATTCTTATGATAATCCTTCTGACCATGCAGCATTTTCTATAACATGTTATAAACTTTTTATAACATTGTACATTTAAATATATAGGTACGTACATACGAAAACGAAAAAGAACAAAATAACTAAAGTAGATTAAAAAATTAATCTAAAAATAACGTTTTTATGCGTCTTAAAAAGTATAAAATAACCTTCCGGGGGTCTTGATAACCAAATAGGACAGGTGAACTAGAAAAACGAGGGGCGCATCTTTACTACTTCACACGTCTGAATAAATAATAACATTCTCTTCTCATTAATAACTACCTTAACTCATAATTCATGCACAATCATCTTTTCTCGTCTAAATAAAATAATACTTAATGACATGTCATGTAAAATTGAGCACCACATTACTTTAAATGTTAAGCAAGTAGGTAGTTAACAAAAAAAATGAAGCAACCTACATAAAACAAACTTTGGAGAGAATAGCAATTAAGTCTTTTCAATTTGTAATGAAATTTAAGGCAAGTGGCACGGAAATCCATTAAATTTCATTTCCGATAAAAATGCACACTATCACTTTCTGATCCGTTCGGTTAGAGAGACAGCATTATGAGAGACAACTTAATGCATTAGCATGAAAGCTTAGGTTTTAATATCTAAGTAGAAAGATGCGCCCCACGTTTTTCTAGTTCACCTGTCCTATTTGCTTATCAAGACCCCCGGAAGGTTATTTTATACTTTATAAGACGCATAAAAACGTTACTTTTAGATTAATTTTTTATTATACACCTATTTGAATAGAAAATACCAACTGACTGATCCGCAATCGTCTTGCTCGTGTGCGGACAAAAGTAAACTAGTTGCGCGCTCAACTGATTTGCAACCTTAGTCGCAAAACAGTCGCGCCGAGTGCGCTGAGCCTAAAGCATGTTCCTTGTTTTATAATTTTAGCCATTAGGCTTTAGGTAGACTGTACTAACTTTTTACTAGTTTATTGGATTTAAAAACTACAAAAATAGTTCTTTAATAATTAAAAAAAATGTTTTATTATACAAAATCAAGATAGGAAGCCATTTTTAAGCGCACAGATCAAAATAATATTTTTCTCTACTTCAAGCTCATGCCTACATCATTATCGGTTAATAACTCCAAAATTATGTTATCAAAACTGTTATAAACTAGTTGAATTAAAAACAATGCTCCTTCAAAATCGTGAAAACTCCAATTGTGGGTTTTTTTCACTTTTTAGGTTGGTATGTGTGAGTGAATCTAGAATTAATTAGTTACCATGTACCAATTTGAATATATTTTCATTATAATAATATAACGACGTAGATGCAATATTACGATATAACAACAGCAATAAATTGTTTTAGACAAGACTCTAAAACTAAAAATACATTTTATAGCACATTATTGTCATAAAATCACTTTCAATTCTACAAATATTACTAGACTTTAGTTGACTCCCGCGTTAAGTAACACATATTATTTTTATCCAAATTGCGTCCACCAGAATATCTGATTTCCAAAAAAATTGTAGAAATAATGTTTTTATGTGTATAATAGTATTATCACGTTTGATGATTGTCGGCTTAGTTGTTATCCGGTCCGATCACTAGACTATGTTTTTATAATTTATCGGGTTAGGTTTAAGTTTTATTTGATCCGGTCTGGTTAATTAAAAAAAATATTCGTTAGGCGGTCTGGTCCGGTTCAGTCAAAATATAGCTATGGTCAATTTATTTTAAGAAACTAAAACCGTTTCAAACGTATAAAAAAATGTAGGCTATTAATTGAACATATAAACGGACTTTTTCGTTATACACTTTTATTATTACGATCATACTAGTTATCAATTTTGTTAAAAATGTTCACTAAACCGATTTAATATATGGACATGTAAACGGATATAATAGATATTAAATTCAAACCATTTTAACGCCATCATATAAACGTACTAATAGATTTAAGTAGTCCGTGATGCCTGTAAAGCTATTATTTGAATTTGCGAGACTTATGATATAAGTGCCTAGGGAAATGATAAGTGAAAATGGTAAAAATATTAAAAGGTTATAAATTTCGTTAAAAAAAAAATGGTAAATGATGGACTCGTACATCAAAAACATCTGTTTTGAAGGTAAGCACCGGTAGAAATAACAATATAATCACGTTGTACAGTTTACCTGACCTTAAGCTGATGGAAATATTGATCACCTGGCACGTGAAGCAACTATAGTACTTTTTGACCCAAAAATGTTACAACAATAAGAAATAAACTCTCCCGCTGCAATATGCTCAGACTTCACAATCCCCGATCCCACAGTAGGTACTGGCTTTATTTATTTAATATTTATCGGTGCAACCCAAACGGCTCCCATCCATAAAATATTACATACATTAAATTTGCTAAACGGTAAAAAGGTCCGGTCCGGGGTATAAAGGTCCGAAGACAAAAAAAATATTTGATAAAAGGTCCAGCTGGTACATTGAAATAGGACAAAGATCTGTCGGTGCAACCCAAACGGTTCCCATCCATTGTTTGTTTTTTCCCAAACGGCTCCCGTCGTAAAAGGTTTCACGAGTAGGTAAATTCCCAAACGGCTCCGGTATCGGTATACTACGCGTATATTATCAAGTCTACCTTTTAAAAAAACTTAAACTTAAATTTAAACCTGTAACCTCCTCCTACTTTTTTTTTTTTTACACTTGCATCCTTTGCGCTCCGGTGGGGTACTTGCCTGGGAGGGCATTACTTCCCCCCGGATCGCCGATGCTCTTTATTTACAAAATTAATTTACAACTTTTTTGAGAGGGTGTTCCCCGCACCCCCTCTACATACAACTAAAAACTATACAAGTCAGCCTTACTCTAACACACCCTCTCCGGGTGGGAGCCCAATAACAATATTAACATTGGACCCCGGAAGAATTAATATACAATTTTGAAAACATTTTTCGTTTTCTTTCCATAAAAACTCGCTGACGAGAAGGAATTTGTGTAGTGAAAAACCGGAGCCGTTTGGGAATTTACCTTTTTATAAAACGGGAGCCGAATGGTCTACGTCCATATTTATATATATTAAATAGTATGTTCCGGTATTAAGAATATTTTGTTTTATTTAACGCGTCTGAGATTGGCATTGCGGTCTGCGGAACAACGATATCTATATACTTTCTTCTTTAAAGCAAAACAAACAAAAATGTTAATGTTCTTTATTTAATATTTACAGTCAGAGCAAGTGGCTATGGCTGTGCTGTATTTTCGTTTTTATAGCGTTTTATTTGGGTTCCTCTTGTATACGTTATCTTATTTCTCATTATTTTTACAGCAATAATTGGATAACGACCCCTCTGTTTTCCTTGATTAAATATGTTGTCTCTATAAATATATGTTATGCATTGTAATTTTTCTACACTTGTTATTGTGTATAAATTGATAATGGGCTTGCCCCGTAAAATATATAAATACAAGCTGTCCCGACCCGGCGTTGCCCGTGTATTAGAATAGACACACAATCAGCTGATCGGATCACTGTATCCCTGTGGTATGGAAAACCATAGAGATGTTTTGATAACTATTGATACTATTGATAATCATAATTAATCATTTTAATTAATTAAAAATTAAAAACATATTCTTAGGGGTATGAAAAATAGTTTACGTTCTATTCTCAGACCTACTGAATAAACACACAAAATTTCATAAGAATCGGTCAAGCCGTTTCGGAGGATTTTGTTACAAACACTGTGACACGAGAATTTTATATATATATAGAGGTACAATGAACAATTTTTTTTAGACTTTAAGTATGTTATTTTTTCAATATATGATGCGGTCGGCATTTCACTACTATTTAGTGGCACTTATGGTCACTCGTTTTATTTTTGGCCTTTTTCCTGACCAAACAGATTAAAACATCCATAAAAATAGGATTTTCTGGTAAACAAAACCGAAGAAAGGTAAAAAAAAAAAAAAAATATATTAAGGAGGAAATAACCAATTAATATCAACAAGGAATGGTAAATAATATAATCGCAATATAACAGCAAACAATATAATATTATATCGCGTACCAACAAGGAAATATTTACGCGATATGATTTCATTAAAATAAGTGTAATAAAAATAAAATAATAAATATTAATTCTTTTTTTTTTTTTACAAGTAATTTTGACTTTATGGTTAGTTTATGATTGATTTTTGAATTTATTATATCCAATATTCATGTATTATTATTATTAACGAATGATCGTGATTTGTATTATAAATATTTAAAATCATTTTTATATTTTTAAACTTAAATGACTACGATTTTAACTTTAATTTAATTTTAATTATTAAATTTAATTTTTTAGTTAACCTTTTAACTAGTTATTATATTTGCTCGGATACAATAAATTGAAAATATAATTGTTTAAGAATTAAGCTAGGATCTCGATAAGTACAAATTTTGCCAGTACGTTTAGAATGATGCAAAAACCAGTTATGTCCGCACGTATATTTTGGTTGTTGCATCTAGAAACCTAGATATAGATTTTTTCCGTAAAATGTTTGGGCATATCCGATTCTTACACTGAATCGACCCTGAATGTTATTCTTAGCTTGTTATTATACCAAATACCGATGCCTTCAATAAAAATGTTAACTAGAGTTGAGCTATTAGGTATAATTTGTCAAGCTCAATATATTTAAAGCTTAAGATGATAAAAAATTTAATTAAAATAATTTAAGTGCTTTCGTTCGGACATTCGGTATTGTCACAGCATATAATACTCATTACGTAAAATATATAAAAAAAAAAAACTGTCGCAGTTTTGAAAACTATTAATTATAATTAAATTGCCTAGATACTTAATAATAGTAAAAACTTTACTTTAGGTAATAACTATAGTTACAAAATGAAAATGCGACTTAATTGTTTTTAATATCAAACTGTTATTGAAAAAAATTAAATCGTTATTTACTAATTAAAAGTATAATAGTCACTAGACTTTTTTATTTATTCATAGCATTACATAAATTACTACTTTACCCGATTTCCTCTGCTTGTAACGTTTGAGACTTGTTGACGGCTGTTAGAGGACATAGCTATTTTTCTCGATGCACTTGGTTATTTAATAATGAATCCAACAGATTTGTTTTGAACAAAAAGATGTATCTAGAGAAATACGTAGAGAATTTAATTAAATTTAGTGTAAGGTAGATAAAACAATATATTATGCGTGTGACACAAACAGTGAAAATCAAAAAGTATTTTATTGATTTTTAATTAATTTAGTTAATTATTTCAAATAATAAGTTAAGTTATGTACGTATGTGTATACATATGCATAATAATAAAGATATTACATTATATACATTTAAAGTAAAAGAAATAATTAAATTTATTCTGATTTAAAAAAACAATGTTTAACTCGTGAAAAATTATACGGTAGTAAATAATCTGCAAAACAGTGAAAAGTCAAGGCCGTTATCCTATATATTAAATTAGTTTTTTATATTTTAATGACACTTAAATTGAGTCAAATTGAGTTATAATTTAATAAATAAATAAATATCACATAAATAATAGGAAATTAAAAATTACATTAGCGTTATATACTGTTAAAAATCAAATTACACGAATTCTACTAAATTCAATAGCACGTTAGTTAATTTTAAGTTCTTACAAAAACAAAAGTTTAAATAAATTGAGTTGAATAAAACATATTTAATGCTTTTTTATTGCAGATAAATATTCAAACAAAAATACGCTACTTGACAGTGAAAAAAGTATTTAACGGAATTAATTTATTGAGGTATTTAATTAAAAATTAGAAAAAAAAACATTCAACTCACTGTGGCAACAATAAGTAGGTATCGTCGACCGACAAATCCACTGGTGCTCTTTGAACTACTGAGGTTTCTGCAGCGGTCCGCGAACGACCTTTCTGCATTGACAGCGTACGACAACTAACAAGCAACCCGCAACGGCTGACGGCAGTCGATACTCGATCAGGTCACGTCTCACGAGCATTGGAATTTACCAGAAACCAAACAGTTTTTGTCCTATGACAACTATCATCCCCTCCTCGTCTAGTGGCTACCCTACCACCGGTTCGGAGAACTAAACCGACGGTGGCGCTGTCCCGGAAATGGGTTCTGCAAAATTATTTTTCACTCTGTAATTTTTACTTACATACATTGATTTTGACAAATAAATAATAATATGTAAATTGCAACGGAAATCTTATTATTGAAGTATTATTTATTGTTCCGCATTTCGCCAAAACCAATAACGTTCGAGGCGGCCGGCTAGTGTCTAAATAGAATAATATCCGGTGGGCAATCGGTAAAAAGCAGAACAATTATTTCACGATTGAAAAAGAGCCAACTTTAAAGCCAGGCCAGGCCGGCTCAAGGATTTGCGGGGCCTGGTGCGAAATAATTGTTTTATATGAAAGGGTACTCTTCATAGACAATTGTACAAAATGCATCAAAATGGCTATTGACACATAGTTCCTATAAATACTAAGGCCCCTTGGTATTGGTTTAACTAAAATTGTTAAAATAAATAAGTCTCCCTGATTTCATGAATTTGTTATCCGTACCGGTGTCCGGTCCGCAGGATTACCTATTGGTAATAAATATAAATAACACGACTGCCGTACAGTGTTGCTGCACAACAACATAGTAATAATAACAATAATAATCGTTATCGTCGTCGTCGACCCACGGTGACGACGACAAACAAAAAATTGAAAAAAAAAGAAAAATACTAATAACAACAATAATGATTGATTCCTACAATTTACTAAAAATAGCACGTTTAATAAGAGACGTCGGGTCTATATTATGATTCGACGGCCGACGTGACCAGTTAAGCGGCCAGTTATACAATTATTAGGCGTAAATAGAGCTGAATGTCTGGAGTGAGAACCCAATGTATATTATAATGTACTTTGTACATAATTTTATTCAAATTACTAATATTATACATAATTTAATAAATAAATAGTAATAATAATTTAAGGCGATTGGGTACCGGCCTTAACTAAGGAGTTGTGGGTAGGCAATTTCTGGTTTTTTTTCTGTTACGCGTTGTTGTTGTGTACGTAGTAAATGAATATTAGTGTGAGTGTTGTTATCTTACCCTCCCATCCTCGCACCCGTCTAATTCATTGTTGAAATGACTCTCGTATGCACACGCACAAGTCGGTTAAAACGGCTACTGTTCATGATTCGTACAATCTTATGCTGAAAAACTACTAATTATCCTTCAATCAGTCCGATCGTTGTATAAGACTTCTGAAAATCAATTTGAGTTCAGCGTGAAATCTACTTGAGATCGGTCAGGCCACTTTTCCAGTTTCATTTAATAGTATTTTTTAAACACTACTACAAGATTTAATATTTTTCAAAAAATTTAAACCAAACTTGTGGAATTTTGAAGGCAAAATTAAAAAATGTAAGCTGACCGATCTCAAGTAGACTTCATGCCGAATTAATATATATTTTCAGAAGTCTTATCGCATTAATACAACGATCGGACTAATTGAGGTAAAATGGGTAGTTTTTGACGGAAAAATTGGCCGGTACCCAATGGCCTTAATAAATATAGTTTTAAAATCTTTAAAACTGTTCGGTTTTTAGCTCGAACATAACCGTATCGTGTGGCCACTCGGCACTGCAGTTGTGGGTTTAACCGTCAATTTTGCGATACTTTTATTTTTGGTGAAGCATATATTACATATAATCTGACTACCGCAGTTTTCCTTCATCTAATATAATACCAAGTTTTCTTATCTAAACTAAAACGTTATGTTTAGAAGAAATGTTCAAATTTTTGATAATCTAATTTTCACAAGTTAAACAGACATAAAACGGAGACCTTCAACAATAAAATCGATATGATGGAGTATGGTCTGTATGGACAATCCATATAGCAAGATATTTTATTGGGATCCGTCAGTTACATAAACTATATTATACAATATATATAATACTTATTTTGACATTATATGGGCGATGCGGCGTGCACGGTGTGGCACGCCGACGGACCGACACCACATTAAATAGTAAACAAAAACAATATTGTTTTAATTTTAGGTCATGGGTTTTAATTTTTTCATACATTGCAAACAGTGTAGAGAATAGGCACAGATCATATAAATTAGAAATGATATGATAACAGATTATTTCCGTAGTACCACCACTGGGTGTCTTCTCCTGTCAAGCCATTAAGTGAAAAACTATATTATGTTTATTTTATAAACTACGCCTATTGTACATAAAAATTGTACATAGGTAAATTGTAATAAAAATAATAAATTATAATATTAAATTATAGAAATTCAATTATAACAAGTTCAAATAGCTCACCGGCACAACTTGACATGTCAAAAATGTTAAACACTAAACTACCAATAAAAAAGATTAAATTGTGTCCAAAAATTATAAATATAAGCGAGGAAAATAAAAGAAATCAAGAAAGGAGTAAAAAGTATTATGATATGAATGCAAAAGTTAGAAAAGACTTCAGAGAGGGAGAGTTAGTTTTAGTTAGACATAAAAAAATCAATTTGGATTAAAGGTAAAATAATTAAAAAACTAAGAGCACCTAGGTCGTATTTGGTTGAGATCAGTGGTGTTATATATAGAAGAAACTCGTTTCATATTAGACACATTTAATAATTTATTGTTAATGTTTTATATTATTATTATTATTATTATTATGTTATTAGAATATGTTGTAGAAGTTCTTATTGTCAATGTTTTATATTATTATTATTATGTATATGAATTATTATTTGTAAAGAAGAGAGATGTATTGTTATCGTAGTCCAGTTAGTTAATAAACGGCCGTGCGATAGTCAGCATGTTGTTCATACCTGCTCATCATGACCATAACATAACAGAGAGATAGCGCAGCATACCTTTATTGACAAAATATATTATATTAAATATTAAATAATAATAAATGGTATTTTTACTACTACGGCAACCGCGATCGTCGGTCTACGGCTGACAGCCGCATGCAATCGATAAAAACCAGTTTTATATTACCAAGCCCGTCTATTATTATTCTATTATTTGATAAAATTAAATGTTTTATATTTTACGCGGATTCATGTTACAATAACAAAATCCTTTTTAAACAACTTGATAGTTTGAAACAGATATTCTATATGTAATAATACAGGTAGTAAAATATTAATACTACATTATATCATAAATTAAATGTATTTAAGAGGACGCCACACACCCAATTTTTTAGCGTTAAAACCTGTCTACGCAGAATAGGTTTTACTCGGTCCACAATGGTCTTAGAGCAAAAACACCAAGTATAAAATAGAAAGATAATGACATTTCTGAGAGAATAGCATATCCGTTTTAAAAAAAATATCCAACAAAAAAGTTATTGATGTTTTAAAAAAGTAAAATTTACACTTTTTTTAACATTAAATATTGAACTATGTACTAATTATATCGAAAAAAGGATATGCCTATCCCTCTAAAATGTCATTATCTTTCGATTTTATACTTGGTGTTTTTGCTCTAAAACCATCGTGGACCGAGTAAAACCTATCCTGCGTAGACAAGTTTTTACGCTAGATTTGTAAATTTGTACGTCGTCATGTGCTGCTTCTAACGGGGCGTTCAAGTATTATTTATAATGGACCGTGTGGGGTGCGGGGGTAACGGTCAGCCGCCGTCCGTCCGTTCGACAGACCGATGGCAGCGTTATCGGTAATAATATTTTGTTATTATTATTCAATCGTTGACACTTGTCAGCACAATTGGCACGTCGCGGCGGTAGTGTTCATGGGTAAATGTATCCTAAATAATATCAGAAAAATTTGTCTTAAAATTGTTATAAACGATTCAACAAATTTTAAAACTGAAATTGTTTTGATACTTGCGATACAATCTAGTGCAAATGTAAGGGGTGGGGTAATAGTGCCCCCCTCCGTTGGTCATACCATAGTATTTATTATGTATTACAATATATATATATTGTAATACATATTTCATTATTATATACATAAAATTCCTTTTTTTTTAATTCGCCTCTACCATTAATGTAGGCTGGATACAATTATTGAAAAACAGAAGCGCTAAGTTATCTGGTAACTAGTAACTACTGTAATATCATGATGACATTGATGTTCCGCGGATGTCTATACGGATTTTATTTATAACTGCTCGAAATCGTACAGCCCAATTTTTTTTATACCCATTTATGAAAACAAATATGTGTTTTTACCCAACTATGGAAGATGTTTTTAGGTGTAAAGTATCTGTGTATGACTATGAATATATTACTACTGAATTAAAAAAATTACAAAAATCGAGTGTTTTTGTCTATAAATAAATTATAATGTACTTTATCTATGGACAGGACTGGTTTTGGAAGAGATGAGGTGATCCCACGCTTTAATCCGAACAAATATGTTAAAATTTAAATTTAAAACGAAATTGATCGAAAAAAAATTAAGCCGAGTTTATTAAATTTATAGTTAAAAATAAAATATACTCCTGCAAAACTTAAATTTCGATATTATCGTGCATACTTACCTACTACACAGGTTAATTAAATTTGCAGACTTATGTATTTAATCTATGCTTACTAGTGTTGCCAGATTTTTAAGTAGGTTATTACTTATTAGTAAAAATCCTTAACCAAAACTAATCAAAGGTTTAAAAAAATTAGAATTCTAGTACTTCATGATAATATTATGTATGGAAATTTCATACATAACATAATTATATGAATATAATTAAATAATGTTCATAATATTATAAATGAAGTCAAAAATAAAAAATTTTAATTGCCGGGTAAAGTTTAACCAATAGAAACGCGCGACATTTACTATCATCATAATGACATAATCGCCTGCGTCCATTCGTTTGAGCTATATGAGTAAAACTCTAATAAATACTGTAATAAATAAAAAGAAGTATAATGGAAGGGAGTAAAGGTAAGGTAAGTAGATAATGTTTATATGTGTATATAAGTGAGCGGGGTATGCATATATATTATTATATTAGTCTTCCGCTATACCAAATTTTATCATTACATAGTTATTATTATTATAATGTCTTACCTTTGTGTGGAGATAATATTTAATTCTCTAGCGTGTGTATTTGATTCTGGTGTGATGCTGTCAAGATGTATTCGACGTTTCTTATATACGAATATATATGTATGTATACGCAATTAAGACCGGTGGTATAACCACAGACACTAATAACGTGATTAAGTGCTCGCGTCACAACGCTACCCTTATTATCAACCTATCTCGACAGAGTACAATTCTATATACAGTTTTGTAGCGTATATAATAATAATTTAACGCTTGCTACTAACACCAAGAGATTATTATAACAGTTTATACTGTTCGCTGGTTAAGTTAACCACATACAATATAGCCAGGCCAGTTAAACCATTAGAATTGATTTATGTACTTTTGCGATCGGTTCATTAGGATAATATTTAATGTAGAAAAGGTAATGTAGTAAATGAATGAACAACGGTAGTTTTATATTTTAAGTGAATGCGACACGCGCATGATATAGATCTCATATAAAGGAAGTATGTAGAGGATATGTGATGGATATTTAAGAATGTTCATATGAAGCACAAAGGACTATAAATAGCTACCTTTTAGGCGTCAACATATGAGCAGGAAAGAGTGCACATCCCACGTCGGACTACTAGGTAGCTACCCGAACAGCCGTAGATGTGCGGAATAGGGAATGGAATAATTAGAGTACTCATTCCACGTCGGACTATAAAAGTAGCTACCCGAACAGGCGTAGATGGTATTGAAAGGAAAGTTTTAGGCTAAGGAAGGATTACTCACTGGCGCTCCGCTGGTCCGGAAGCTGGTTATATCATATATGCCTCTCTTTTGAGTCATTAAAGATCGTTAAGGATCGTGTAAATTCGATCAGATTCGGACAGCGGATCATGAAAAGACAATCCCCTCTTAATTAGTTTATTGTTGTTGTTTTAAGATGTACGCTTCCATGTGTAATAAAGTGTCAAGGAGAATAGATAATTATCCTATGAGATACTATACACACGACGCGCGCTTCGTATATTGCTAATAACATGATAATAATTATTGTATAAAAGTATTGTGTAATATACGTTATTACAATACTATTATTTATATCCTTTTGTTAGCATAATGTTATTTAAAGTATAATAAAATCATAATACTTTTAATTTATATGTAGGTAATACATTATATAATCAATGGTAAAACTATAACAGAAAAATATCCTTATAAAAATAACAAATATTTTTGTTGAGGCAAACTATTAGATGTTTATTTATTTAAGTGTCAAATATTTCAATTCAGATAACATGACAAAATTTAAATATAAACTACTGATGCAACAAATATTAATTAACATAAAGAACTATGGTTTACGATTTCGCTTTCTGTATGTGAGAAAATGATTTTCTCCGCTCATTTCTAAAAGCATCTCGTTATCAATGTTAAAAAATCCAAATCTAAATTTATAACAATAATCCCACCAATTAGACATTGGCGATGTTAAGATTGTAATTAAATTTTCCATGTCAAATGTCGCATTCGTATAAATGTAATCCCCCTATATTAACATAACAACAAAACAAAAATGAGTTATTATTATTTAAAATAGATTCACATGGAGCTAAAAACACATAATATACACACAGTGAAAATTGGTTGTATTAAATTGAAGACATTTTTTGTTGTAATAAACGTTGTGGGGTTTTTGTATGCGACTTTGCTTCATTAAAAAATGTCTCACCGGGACTTTTAATTTTGTTTGTTATTAAAGATTTTTATTATAACTGACTATGTAAAATAAAATAACTTTAAAAGTAATTTTCACTCTACTTAAATAAATAAATTATTAAACAGATTGTAATATTTCTATTAAAGGACCCGAGCAAGTTCTTCTGTTAAACAAAACTTATATATTATGTACTATAGGGTTGTCCTTAAAAAGTCGATTTTCGAATTTTAACCTCGATGCCACCTAAAATGTTTCTAAATACAATAAAAATCAATGCATCACGTTTTTCCTACTCCTTAGTAGTTTGATCTCAAGTTTTGATGGTTTTATAGCTAGAGTCTGCTGAACACGTAAACCATACCCAAAAGTTCATACCTGTTAAAATCATACCAGAATATGAAAATTTAACAAAAAATAGGCGTTTTTTATGCTTTTTCCCGATAACATTGTATTTAATGTACCTGGGGGATAAAACCTAATATTTGAGTTCAGTGTATTTTTGGTATCATGGTACATAAATGAGTAGAATCAACTAGGTCCAACACGATGTTCAAAATAAAGTTAACAGTAATGTTATAAGTTTAAATCACAACCCTAGCAAAACGATAATTGTTGACAATATTGTCATCACATAACGTCATCTGCCGTCCCCACCATATTCTCTGTGCATCACCCGGCGATCGGGCTGTCCTCTAGATTTTTATGTCAAAATTATAATCTTTAATATCAAATATAAGACAATCCCATTTTTTTGTGTTCTCACTTGTTTGAAAATTAGCTAAAAAAAGTACCAAAAGACGTCTATTTGATGTTAAATTTTTATTTTCTAGCAGCAATTTTGACAAGTATGAACTTTTGGGTATGGTTTACGTGTTCAGCAGACTCCAAGCTATAAAACCATCGAAACTTCAACCCTTGTGGGGCATGTGTTAAAATCACTATTTTTCAATTTTTCATCTGCGTAATTTTGGTTGAAACAACTCATTCTAATTCAAACGTAATGTTCCTAAGAATACTCCGATTTAAGTTTTGAAAAAATATTTGAGTTCTTTTAAACATTTTCAAGGCATCGGTCTTGGCACAATTTTAAAATTATTTTTAGTTAATTAATTATTTTAGTTGAAAAAGTTAAAAATTGCATTGTTTTATACTGAAATAATTAATTAACTGAAAATAATTTTAAAATTGTGCCACGACGGACGACCGATGCCTTGAAAATGTTGTTTTAAAAACTTAAATCCATGTACGATCAGATTGAGGACAGTACGTTTGAATTAGAAACACGTGTGTAAAATAAATGTCCAGAAAAAGTTTTAACCGCCTTGGCGCTTATACACTTATTAATATCGCTGATTTGTCTTAATTGTATTAATAGATTAAAATCATTATTTGGTGCACGATAAAGTGACAAAAAAAGGTAATTATGTAAGAAATATACATAATGTTGAACAAAATAACGTATTAAAAAAAAAATTATACTTTTTTAGTTACCGTAAAACTGGGTTACTTGGGACTTTAAGGGTAGTTTGGGACATACGTATAACACTATATATTCTTAATATATATTGTTTTGCTCATGTCCCAAATTACTCTTAAAGTCCCAAGTAACCTGGTTTTACCGGTACTTTAAGCTAAATTGAAAATTGACCATTTAATTATGAATTTTTTGTTAATTACGGAATCAATTTTTCACTTAGGATTTTGAAACTCGAACAATTGTATTTAACGCTAAAAATACTACAATTTAGATGTGCTAATATTGATTTTTGACCAAAAATTATATAATTTAAGTAGATTTTTGTTTTTTTTTTGAGAATTTTTGGTCAAATTACTTAAAACGCGTTGAGCGACCAGTAAACAATTTTTTTTTTACCTCAAATTTTCACCAAGTCTTTTTTTATGTATAGAACAAATTTAAATGTTACCCCATTAGCATTTCGAATATCGATTTTTTGCTCCACCTTAATAGGTATGGCTATTCTTAATATCTTACTAGCTAAGTCTTGTGTAGGAACTAAATGTTCGCCTGTCAAATTTAGGATCAGTGTTTGGGTTAAAAAAATGGCTACATCTACTTTGGTCTTTGGGCATATTTACTTAAAGGACAACGCGTCTGCGCATATAACTATTAACAATAGAAACCCTATTTGCAGGTAAATATAATTGTTTGTGCACATTTTCAGGTATTCTATATTAGTTTAAAAAATTGACCCTGTTATAACTAAAATATTATACATATTAAATTTGGTAAACGGTAAAAAGGTCCGGGGTATAAAGGTCCGAGGACAAAAAAATATCTGATAAAAGGTCCGGCTGGTACATTGAAAGTAGGACAAAGATCTGAATGTAATTTTATCATACATACAAATTGTGTAGAAATGGGACAATTTGCACTATCGAGACATTAGCATATCAAAAATTATTTACAGGGTTACAAATTATAATTACTCTTACTTTTAGTTCACATGAAAATTCTTGGGATTTATAAGCTACTTTTAAAAAGTACGCTAACGCTCTCATGTTATTACACATATGTTTAACTTGAAAAGTTCTAACGTTAACGCAGTCGATATAATGTTCTTTGCATTTGTTGAATTCAACAGTCATCTAAAATATAAAAATAATTAATATTATGATTATGTTAATGCTGGTCGGGTAACAGTGGAGTTTGGCCGAACATTGATTATTATAGTTACTGCACATTATCACTGACTCGTGACTTAACCGGTGGCTCTTTAGGTCTCGAATTTAATCTTATTATTTTTTTTTTGTATTTTTATAAAGATCACGATTTACGCTACAGTAGTTTAAAAAAAACCTAGGGGAGCAAGTAAAGTTTTAAACAATTTGTTCCGATACTGAAAAAAAGTCTTTCAAATGTAACCCGTGTTTAAAAATGTATACTAAGTTGATACGCGATAATAGCAATTACACTTAAATTAGACTTACAGAATATAGTAAGGCTTGTTTTCTGAAGAACATGTGTACATCAACTATTTGTTTGTCATAATACTGCTTAAATGTAGCCTCAAATACCGTTCCATACGACTCATTCACTACGAGTTGAAATTTTGTGAAACGCATTTCGTGCACTATTGGATGAAGGAAATCCAGTTTATCCTACGAGAAATTGACTATTAGGTAATTTCGTCATAAATAGTTTTACAATTTAAAAAACTTCGAACTTACTTTGGACCACGCAAATGCCACTAATAAGCAAACCAAATAACAAACTTTATTTTGAAAACTCATATTCGTAATTAAATCAATATTTTTTTTACATCAAAATTATTACGTACGAGTAACTTACATTAAACAAGTCAACTAAACTTCAGTGCCTCTATTTAAACTCTTGAACTGATGGTGATTGCCATCTGACATGTACCTAAATACCTAAAATAGGTATAGATATACAATTCGACTGAAATGCAAAATTAACTGATTACAAAATTACAATAGTTAACATTTTTAACAATCGAGAAAGGAAGTTAAGTATTGTCCGTCATTGCTAATACTGAATATCAAAATACTGGAATTGCAATTAAAGGAAGTGTATGCATTATATTATATTTGTTAAAAAAATACAACATTTTCATTGAAAAGATATTATTATTACATCAAAAGTAGAAACACTGCAACCGGGGAAATGTAATGTTCATAAATGTATAATATATGTTTTGTGTCTAATGATATTATAATGTAATATGGTACACACCGCTCGACAAAAAAAAATTGTTTTTGCGCAGTTAATTGCACCTAATTAGATATTTGAAGGTCGCCGATTCTATAAATGATGTCTATTTTTTCCTATTGACATAATACACCATTATGGCTACACACAAAAATTAAAGTGTTTATTTTAAATTTATATTTAAAAAATCGATTGTAAAAAATAAGATAGTTGAACATAATCATGTTATGACGAAGATACATTACTAAGACTAATCATGAACAAATCAATTTAAGTTCTAGCTTGATATTAAGAGGGTTTTCTCTGAAACTACTCAAGTTTTTACAAATTGTTTTGTGTAATGCGTATAGGCGCAATTTCAATAAAGAAGTTGAGGGTAATATGTTTTTTTTGAGCAAGGATGTCGTTTATCAATTTAAAATTGAACACTTCAGTTTATTACCATTTTTAATTTATAACAAAAAATAATAAAAATGTATGCAATGTTATAATTTACAGGTATAGACAAGAGATACGCTTTATTCTGAAAATGTGTCAAAAACTTGGTTGTTTATTTTAATAAAACGTGTCATATATTTTTTCTATTTATAATATTGGCAAATCTGTAAGTCTGTTCTGTCTCACTGAAATCCTAAGCCAAATCTTAATTTTTCTTAAAGCAGAATACGAGCGTTCACAAGATGCAAAACTAATGGCGAGAGTAATAGCCACATAAAATTGATAAATAATACTGAATAATAAGTACTATTATCAACTCTGCAAAACGCTTTTGGTTTTTTTTTGTTAACATTTTTATAAGTAAAGTTTATGTACATAAACAGGAAAAATATAAGAGGGGGCTCATTTTAAAATTGGGGTTGCTAATACACCCTTAACGGGCTAAGCTCTCCTAATTGCGCCTATGGTAATGCGTTATATATAAAATACAGCATATTAAATAAATGTTAATGTTGTGCACATTACGTAATTATACGTTTTAGTATTATTTTTTTACTAATTAAATAAGTAAAAATTAAATAAATACATGAGCTATACATATACATAATATGGGTTTATATATTTTTATTTTTCTTTGTTAGGAATAAAACCATGTACATAATGCATGCAAAATTATAAAAATGCTTAAAACTATACATTTATCAAAAAGTACAAATTATTTTTATGTAAGTATAAATAGACGTCATAACTTTTTTTAATTATCATAAAAATAGGTCAGCGAAACTAAAAAAAAATCTGTTTATAAATCTTAAAATTTGGTATTATCGAACAAGAGATATAACGATGAGCATCATACTGAAGAAGCATTGATTAATCACGATACATGTTTTAAGTATATAATAAAGGTAATTGTCCAAGATTGTATAAAAAAAAAAAAAAACATTTTCAATACAAAAACAAAGTAAAAAAGTAACAAGTAAAATAGTTAGTGAATACAAAAAAAAAAAAACACTATAAAAATATGTTTAGTAATTTAATTCTATTGTAATTGAAGACGGATCCATACTTCCACTAGGTTGTGTTAGTATAATACCCTTTTCTTTGTGTAAAGCTAGAAATTATAATACTTAATAATATATATGAATTATAAACAATATTTACTAGCTTAACATAATTAAATAATTAATAACATAATTACTTACAAAGTAACTTGGATATCATTTGAAGGGCTTTTTTTCTACAAGTCACTTGCACAGGACACAGTTGCGTAAATTGCACGCTGTTGCCTGTAGCGTTAGGACTACTCAGGAGTTCGGCAATCTTGCTTAAAACGTCTTTTCCGTGAATTTTACTTAAAAAATATAAAAAAACAAAATTAAAATATTAAATTTTATCATATTATCACAAAGTTACTTTGGCGAAAAATCATGTCGAGGTGTTTGATCGTCGTATGCGTTATTCAAGTTCCCAAGTTCGATAGGCATTTGTTGTAGATCTTCAAAAACCACTTCAGGCAACTCTGTAGATTTATGCTGGGGTAAACGCGTTAAATTTGGGGTTACATTAAGCAACTCATCTATGTCTTGAGGCAATGGAAACGCAACGAAAGGTTGTGATAATTCAACATGAGACACTTCTGGTACTACCAGTGTTTTATTAGGCAAAAGACTATTATTGACTTTGCGTTTTATCCTGGCTTCGAATTCATCCCAATCTCCTTTAGATATCCTGGTAATGGCCGATACATCTTTTAGGCCAATTTCCAATTTCTTGTTCATCTAAATATTAAGACAGTCGTTAAAACATGCTCGATAGAAGCGATGTACAAACAAATTTGTATAAAAATATATGAAAAAAATTGCCCACCAGAAATTAAAATATTAATTTTTATATTATGCGTTAAGCTGCAGTCCAAAATAAATTGTGTTAACAAAAATTTTAATTATTCCACGATATTTTCTACAAAATTGTTTTATAATATAAAATACAATATATTATATTATGTACTTAATAAAAAAAATCTAATTAAATTGAAAATTTCAAAATTTTGAAAAAAATCAAATGTTCAAAATGGTAAGTGACATCATCTTGTAAAAGGGTTTTGCAGAATATTGTAAAATAATAATTATTTTTTACATAATTATATTATGATAAAAACCAAAAAAATGTAATCAAATTTTTTGTTAAGGGGAAACATTCAAAAGTGTTACTTTTCACGACGTTACGCATGGATTATGACTTTATATATTGTAACAAAATTTATTCTAATTTCTACCCTTTTTCATTTCACCATAGCCGAGTAAAAATAGGTGGCAACTGGCATGTGTCTATATTAAGATTAAGCTGATTAACATCTGAATTTCATTACTTAACGTAGAAGAAATGTACTGTACTTTGTTTAACTATTATATATGTATACACAATATGTATATATACGTTATTAATTGTGAAATTTGTATTGTTACGTGGAGCCGAGAAGAATTTTTTTTAATTTTATTGTCCCGTTTCGCCATATTGACAAACACTGAACCTATTCCTTTATGTAGCAAGTTGTAAGATATCGATTTAGAAATTTTACCTTAAAAGAACTTAATTGGCCCAAAAATTCCCCTCTTCCATTAGAGAAATCGAGAAAAACTCCCAACAAATTTACATTTTTTAAAAATTAAAAATTAAGGCGTGGTTACATTTTTTTTAAAAAAGTTTAATCAGTTCCAACTTTGTATGGGAAATTCTTTAGAATTAGGTATTTACTAATGATATACGTTGAAAACTAAAACAACTTCAAAACTCATTTTTTTAGAACGGTAGAAAACATTTTTTATTTAATTTTTTGGGCGACTTCCAGTATGTAACGTGTGAACGAATCAATCGACAATATAATGAAAAATATTTTCCCCACTAAGCAGGCTTGTTATTTTGTTTGTACTTGGTTTTGTAGTTAATGTATCCATTATATATTCAGTGAAGATGAATAGACGACAGACGTATACTAAACGATAAGGAATATAAAGGAGTTATTCAAATAAAAAGATATGATATTGAATGTAACAATGTAAAATTACAAAAAAAGTCAACTTTCACCAAAAACGACTGGATTACCGACCGAATATTCAAATTAAATAATAGACATTATTATAAATTTATAAATAATAAAAAAAAAAAAATTCTCAAAGATTGGAAATTCATTCATTACCTCGTTTACAGTATCTCTCCATACTACACTATTGTTGGTTAAGCCTAAAACATATAAAAACAAAATTAAAAATTATTAATAAAAAAGATAATGTGAACATAATACATTTTAGAATAATTAGATACTCGTACATTTGTTTTTAAAAATTGAATTAAAGGAAATATACATACATTCTTCTGCTAATGAAATTAAACTTAAATGAGGTAATGAGTTGTTCATACACTGTTCAAAAATACTATAAAAGAACATATATTTTAGTTGTTTGTTATAAAACGAGTTATGAGTTTAATATGATTTATCATGAACGACATACCAATTATAACTTGGTGTTTTAGAGTAGTTACATTTTTCAACAATTGCTTTATAGTTATTCATTGTAATATCATTATTAAATACATCGTCTTGAATCTATTTTAAATATATATATATTACAAAAACGGGTTTAAAACTTTAATTTGTCTACATGGTCATTTGTTTAAAAAAAAAAAATGATATACATTTATTATCTCGAGCTCCGTTTGTAGTGTTAAAGCAGCAAATCCAATATGAAGTTTATTATAAAATGCAAAATGTCTTAATGGTAAATGATTCATAAATTGGTGTACAAATTTGTTCGTCATAATTTGAAACGGTCTCTAGGGTTCAAAAATAACACATATATAGTTTAATAAATACAAATAACTAAAATATCATTACATCAGTTTTAGCATCTCCTTCGAATTTCTTTATCCTGTTATTCAAGCAAGCACTGCTGTATTCAATTTTTGTTTTCTTTTTCTGAAAAAAAAAAAAAAAAATTATAGGTATAATTACATTTTTTAGGCTTACTGTCAAAAATATAATGGACAATTTGTAACTCTTTTTATCTTAATCTTATTTTTATCTTTTTATCTCTTTTATCTCTTTTTATCTCTCTTATATTAACTTTTTTTAAGACTAATTTCTCTGTAGTTAAAAAAATGATTTTCGAAATTTCTTAATACAAATTTTTTGTACTAAGTCTTTATTATTAAATTTAGTCAATTATAATGTTTGTACAAAAATTGCCTATACAATTAATAAAACTTTTAATTTCACTTTAATTATAACATAAAACATTATTTTTAAGTGTCAACTAAAAGAATCAATTGACTGAGAATTTAATATTGATAGTTGAATAAAAAATGTTAGTCAAATATTTAATAGAGCAATACAAGAAAAACAATAAGGACCAAAAATATAATTTAATAAGCAAACTGTCAATAAATACAAATTTTGATAGTAATCTAATTCAAACCAGTTGGAGGAGAAAATCACAATTAGCTTAATTATAGTAAGAAAATTAAAATTTCATACGTTGAAAAAGTATTAATATTATACTGAAAAATTAATGTTTTAATTAAATAAAAAATATATGCATTTTAAAAAGTCCTTACGTTGTGTTCAATAACTTTACTCCGTCTTTTTCGTTTGAGAGGTTGTTGTATGACTGATAAAATACATTCATTTTCTGTGAGCATCTAAAAATATAATAAATTAGTAGATTTTCGGACAACAAATCGTATTTAATTTAGTTAAATTTTTATTATGAAATTAGTAAAATATAAAAACTATTAAATTATCACTAAAAGACAAAACACTTAATATAGTATGAATGTATAATTTAACAAACATAATATCGTTCTTAAAAAACATTTTTAATATAATTTAATTTAAATTTAACTATCGAGGATGTTTCCTAACGGATAGGCTATCCAGGCCAGGTAGTTTGAGGATAGCAGCACGGAGCACATTTTAACTGGACAATTTCACGCCCAGCAAATAAAAACACTCCGGACCAAGTGTCAAATTAACAACGGCAAACGCTAGTACATCATAACCTTATCCCCACATGACCACTGGTCCTCCTTATTAACTATAATAAATATAAATAATATAATTTTGTTACTTCTTTTTGTTGATTTGTATTATTTTTTGTAAAGTTATTAGTTTGTTGCAAGGGTTGATCTTGACCACCGACTATGGTTTGTATGTTTTCAGTAACCATTTTTTCTCCAACATTGGATAATAGTGGGTTATCTGCTAGTATATTTGGATTCAAGTTTGGGAATTCTCCTGAGGGTTTGTTTAAATGCTAAAAATATTAATTTCATTGTTTAAGCAATACAAATGAAGAACTTTCTAGTTTGAATAAAAAATAATTTAGTATAAATAAATATTTTTCTTTGATTTAAATTAGTTTTCTGTACTTGGTCAGTTGGTTTACTGCTTTCAATGCCATTTTGTTGTTCTACAGTGTTAGAAAATAGTTGAATATCTAGCATTATATTTGGATTCAAGTTGGAAAATTGTTCTGTTGGTTGGTTCAGGAGCTAAGAATATTTGACAGTTTATGTTTTTATACATAAAGTTAATTCAGAACTTAATGTTCAATTTAAATCAAAATTGAATTAATAAAACAAATTACCTTGCTTTGATTCAAATTAGTTATTTGTAATTGGTCGATTGTTTTGTTATGGCAAACGTCTTTCATTAGTATACCACCAATACCATCAATGTTTTGCTCACACGCCATAAGAACCTATATAAAGTTAACATTAACTACTAAATCATGTTCAAAACTTGAGACTTATTATTTTTTTAGAATTAAGATAAACATTTTTATAACTACAAACTGGGAAACATGTACTTGGTATATATATATATATATATATATATTATATATATATATATATATATAATATATAAATTGCCAAAAAAATAAATATATACCATGTTATCAGGCATGCTCATTCTGGCATCGACTCCAGTTGAATTGGCTGAAGGTTTCTATAGAATTAAAATCACATCATCAGTAGAATTTAAATTACTTATAATTATTTAATATATTTTGACTAGTAATTCTGACTGGACAAAATTTTTAATCTCGTTTAATAATTATATTATACTAATTAAATAGTATAAATTATTATTTATATAAATGTAAAATTAACAATACATAAAAAAAAACATTTTTTCGTTAAATAATAAAATGAATTGTATTGGATAAAGTCCTAAAATACATTATAATATAGTCAATAGATTTTTTTTAAAAAATGTTACATACCTACATTTAAAAAAATTAGATTTACCTAAATCTGATTCAAAATGAAATAATTTTAACTTAAGTACATACTATTAATGTTTACAACATTATTTTAATTATTATTCATATTTTCATTATGTTATGTGTATTTTTAAAAAGTTTTTTATATTTTTTTGAATTTTAAAGAAAACTGTCAAAAAAGCTTTATAATAATAGTCTAATAAATGCAAGACATAATTATAGTGATAATATTTTTATAACCAACACAATATATATAAATATATAGCATTAGTACCAAAGTTGACACATAAGTTCAGCATTTTAAATTTTAACTCAAATTTAATGACATATGCATAATACATACTACTTGGCTTGTTCAAACCCAATGCAATAATAAAAGGTAAGTAACTACAAACACTTACAAATGGTAAATTTACTCCTTGAACATCAGTACTTCTACCAGTTAATATTAGGTTTTGAGTTTCAGTCAATTGTTCTGCAACACACAATTGAGTACTTAGCGTATTAGGAAATATTTGTCGTATAGGGGTGTAATATTTAAAAAATCAAAGGCTTTTGAATTATAGGTATAATTTATAAAGAACTTATATAAAATATTGTATAGTTTTAATGTAATAGTAAGACGGTACATCATATATGTCTACAATGATGAATTTTATTTATAATAATGTATTGGTTTTCAAGATAACCTAAATAAATCAATCTCTAGTTAATTTTTATTTCACAAAAAATATATACACAGATGTACGATGCTATGCACAATAGCAACGACTGTTTTTTTAAATACTGAAAAAATGAGTTGCTGTTTAGGTACATTATACCAATTATCAATATATTTTTAAACCAATAGTAATACTAATTAACATAATATATCACTTAGGAGCGAGTGTTGGTATGAACTGATATGATCATTATTTTTCATAAAATTTATAATTGACCTGATAATTCTAGAAACAATAAAAAAGTTTCAGCCGAGTCTGCAACCACGAAAGAGCATTTTCATGTCTCGCTGAAGTACCTAATAAATTTAGATTAGGTGTAGAATTATAATTAAAAAAAAAAAATTATATGGAGCTTCCAGTTACAGCATAAGGCCAAGGAGATTAAAAAATTATGTACAATCAAGTTTCTGGCTAAAATTGTAGTGTTTGTTATCTGGCCAAAAGTAACTTAACATAGAGAATTAAACTGTTTTGAATTTATTATTTAGTTCTAATTTGAACGTTGAACGTACAACATATCTCTTATCTCAAATCAGATAACAGCGTAACAGATTAACATTCGAAATAGATCCGAAATGGTCATTCCGATAATTGTCTTTCGTCGTCGCTTCGTAGTTTTTGTTACATTGCGGCGCGTAACAGCGTAACGCTTTTTTGGTAACACTTTTTTTCGGTTATTTACCGGCTAAATCTCACCCTTATCTCCTTTTTTCGGTTATGTGCCAGAGCTAAGACATGAAAATGTCAAAATATCTGTTTATAACAGATTAAATTTAATCATTAAATTTCAGTAAAAACGTATTGACTTAAGCTTAAAAATCAAAATATTTAAGCATAAGCAGATCTCAAACTTTTAACAACTATAGTATCAGGAGAAAATCGAAAAATATTATCTGTAATATTACCTTCATTTTTCTTCAGTCGTTTTTTCTGCAATGGTTGATTAGCTGGTTTTTTTCTACTATTTGGTCTGGACTCTTTATCACTATAAATAAAATTAATTACATACATTTATAATAAAAATTATTTTAAAGACATATTTTTCATTATTATTACTTACATAATGTCTAACGGCATTTTGAATGGGAAAAAGTGTTTTAAAGATTTGTTGCAAGTATCTATATAAACATGTTATTAAATACATTACATGAAAACAAAAAAAATACAACAATTTAAGTTTAAGTAATACATGTTGTAAAAGTTTTTATAATGTCTTGTTTACTCGACCACAGTATCACTACATTTTTGTTAAATTTGTATAGTAATTATTGCAGAGAAGACAAAATTAGATGGTTGGAAAAAGGAATAGCCGACTGGATCAGCAGCGAGAGATACACATTTTCAAAGAGTAGATTTGAAGTGTCTTGGTGCAGAATTGAAAAGTCAATATAACTATCAAAATGAAGTAAAATTACGTATAAATGCAGAGAAAAAAAATGTTACTTTGCTTAACAAAAAATGTTTAAATCAAAACTACTCTAAGAAAAATCAAAAGAAAGTCTAATTAAGTATTGTTACATCGGGTCATTTTATGTGACCAACAGAATATGAAAACGAGCTAGCAGTTTTAGAATAAAAATGTATGAGAAGAATAAATAGACTTAAAGAAATGATCAGACAGTACAATAAGAAATGAGGTCAACTCCTGATCTGAAATAACTTTTTGGAGAACAAGACATACCAAGATACTTATAGACAATGAAGGATAGCTGGTTAAATGTGTAGTGAAATGTGTAGGATAAGAATAGTCACCAGTAAGTAAAATACCGCTGGGATAGACAAAAACTAGATGTTGCTAGCTAGAAAAAATACCTCCACTTGTTGGGAGTTTAGGATCTTAGAATTAAAATTAAAGGCTAAGTCTCTAATAAGCTGAAGAAAATTGTATAATATGCATTTATCGTGGTACTCTACCCTTAAAATAGAAATATATTTCTTCCTCTTTTTATTCCACTAATATGAAGTATGAGACAATCAACTTAGTCCTCAACTTTCACACAAATACACTAGTTATTTCTAATATGTTTCCATTTCTCTACATTTATTCAAATATTGTTATCACTTTTCTTATTTCCTTATAAAATACCTTAAGTTTTCTATCTGTCTTCTCTAAATCTAATTAATAATAATTTAAAAAGTTAAGATATAGTTTTAATTTGAAACAAATCACCTTATCAAAAATTAAGTGGTACAATGGTTTTTTTTCATGTATCAGTGACCTATCACGCATAACTATGTAAAATGTTATTGTATTAACACATGAAATACTTACCATAATAAGCAGTAACAGAATTTTTGTATAATATAAGTAATCCAATAAATGATTCACTAATTAGTATAAATGCATATTTTCTCCGTTGAAAAGTATTCTGGAAGTATGGCATATTCAAAGGTCCATTCACAATATCTTCAAAATTATTAAGGAGTATAATTGACTTTTCACTAGAAACAAGAATTAAAGCATACTAGATTTTGTAAAATTCAAATTATATCAAGCGTGTAATACCATATTTTTTTACTTATTTTATGTTATATTGTAAATATATATTAGGGTACCCTATATTTTGATTATTTTTTTAATTTTTAAATGTCATTGTGAAATATTTTAGATAAATAAGTTAATTGTACAACACTGTTTGTAATAAGTAATTCAACAAACTATATGGTTAGCTAAAAACTTTGCTGCTTGTTGATTTTGCCATTGACATATTTTATTAAACGACAGTTTTTTTCTATTAATTTAGATTTAAAGCTAATTAACAGTTTCTTGGAAATAGATAAGACTTAAGATACCGCAAATATCACACATTTAAAATACCTGCCATAATTATTTCCTATATTTAAAGTATTCCATTTGTTTAAGTTATTGTATTACACATTAAGTGTACCTATCTTAATTACTAACTATGAATTCAGTTTGTACATTTACATTAAAATTTCCAACAAACATGTACAATTAAGTAGCAGCTAAAGAATATTTGAAAAACTTAAGAATTTACTTAAAAAAAAAAATGCCAAAACTTAATACATTATTTTCAATGCAACATTTAAAAAGTATAAGTGTTTATAATAATGCAACTAAAATAGATCATGCAGTTACTAAACTAATGTTCATCAATGTGCACTGATACTTCAAATGATGTCTCAATAGCTTCATCACTCTGCACGGCTATTGTCATCAAAGTTAATTAGGTGATATTTATGAGGTTTTTATTCTAACTTAGTTGAAATGGAACCTTATAATTGTTTATGTCCATTTACATTTTCCAGAGGGATATCAACCTTGCCCTAATGGGCAACTATGTCTTCTAAGCCCTCTCATAATAACAATAATAATCTATAGCCCCCAAGCACTAATTATATGCACTGTCCTAGCCTAGCTTAGCTGTCGGTGATGGCCTCGATAGAACTAATTATAGAAAATAGGTTTAGATTATGAGAAAAAAAAAATGGTTAGGTCATAATAGTAATGGTTATAATATTAGGATACCTAATCAAGTTCAGAAATTGTGGCGGTAATCATTTTGACTAAAATTTAGGGACTAAGGTGGCTGATCTTAATATTTTGGAATACCTAAGAAAACGATAACCTAGGTAGTCTCTAATTATTACACAATATTAAACTTACCAAGCGACGACCATATCCAATTTTTTAAAATCATTGCATGTCTTAAAATATTTACCCAAACACTTTTTGTGGGTAAACACATTCAAAGGTACGTTTAACATACCATCGGGGTCGACATGACGGACCATCAGGTAAAAGTTCTTATTGTAAAAATCCATATTCGGTCGATTTTGCTTCAGACCGTCATAAGTAGTTCAACAGTTAACTACAGAGTACAGATTACATCAGACAGATGAAATGTAAAAAAAACGAATCCATACTTGAACAAAACGTTGCTTGGATAAAAAAATAATGGCGACCAAGTCGAAGAACAACAAAATATAATAACTTTGATGTTTGATAATAGCTGCAATTGTTTTTGTAATTCGCGTTCCCGCCATTCTTAAATACATTCAAATTACTATAATCGCTCTTCTCGTTCATTAGTTAGTTAAACGTTCAATAAATAAAAAAAGTATGAACGAATTAAACGTTTCAACTATATATTGTTAAATTATTTTTAGTTTCGATGCAGAGCTGAGAAAGTTGTTTTTACAATGTGTTATTATTTTTTTATGCGCCCACGATATGTTTTTAACCGCAGAACAGACTTTTTCGTATAGCAACTCTATAAATCAGAAATCTCACCTTAAAGGTACTTTACTGGGTCAAAAATTTAAAAAATTCACCCCTTCCTTTTCAGAATCGAGAAAAAACACAAAAAGTTTACATATTTTTCAATTTAAAATTTATAACGCAGTGCGCGAATTAGGTAGTGTTTTAGTAAAAAACAAAAATCGAAATTGTATTTTGTAACTACAACTACAGAATTCTAGAAAACGTTTTATCCATACTTCTGTGCAGCTTTAAAAGGTTTAAAAAAGTCCAAAATTGTATAGCATCTATTACATTATCAATATTATGTAGTATTTTTTAGTTTAATAGCTCAATATACCTAAAATAGTCTAAATTTGATTATTTAATTTTTTTTCATCTAGTTAAATGCGACCGCAATTTTGTATGTATCTCATTTAGACTGTCAGTTATCCATACTTGGTTTTCTTCTACAATACTATCAGACATAAGTTGTAATTACTTATTTGTAAAATAGGATATGCTAGAGGTTATATATTTATATCTACTAATAACTCAAGTGTTTGCAATTATTAACTTGTCTTTTACGTATGCCTTTTTAAACGATTGTGTTGGAAGTTGCAATACAAAAATGGTTCATTTTCGACGCTTCGACCTCGTCACTAAACTGAATTAATATATAAATAATTTTTTTTATTGTTAACTTGAAAATTTGATGAAAACAAAAAAACTGAACACATAATAAGTAACTCTCCAGTAAAAGTTCAATTGAAGTACATATTTTAGTAGCAGATTAATACATTTTTGCTGTATAAGCATTTGTGCTGAAGAGTTGGGAACAAATATAAATGTGGAGTTTCATAGCTGTATTAATTAATAATTTAAGCTTTATATTAATGGTTTACTGGGAAATTGCCTACAGGAAAAGTATAACTATTTACTTTACCAAGTTGCAAATATTCAAAATCGGATATAACCATGAGACTGACATCATTAATCATTAATTTATAATTAAATATTATGTTACATTAAAAGTAGGGAACAACATTATTTTTTAGAGCTGGGTATGTTAATAAAGTCTATAGGATATAAATTAAAAATATAATGTCTACTCCACAATATATTATTATAAATGAGCGACTATAATATTATTGAGCCATAGACGTTGCCAGTATTTAGTATCACATGCTATCAACACCCGGTGACCTACAGTTATCTCGGTTTGAGCGACTGTGATAAGGTAATAATCGTTAGTTTTCGGTCTTTGAAAATTACTAATTAGTAATAACCGAACTGAGAACTCAGAATGGCGATTTCTACTACTTTACAGGTAATAATATTGATATATCATTAAATAATTTTGACAGCTTTGAGCCTTGTCCATGTGCAAGAGCAAACAAAATATTTTCGAGCCTGAAATTAATATTGCCTTTTGTTAATATTAAAACTGATATTTTATTTTTTATTTTAGAGAGCAATAGATTTGGTTACTAAAGCAACTGAAAAAGACCGTAATAAAAACTATGAAGATGCATTAATGTTGTATGAAAGTGGAATTGAGTATTTCTTACATGCTCTCAAATGTAATTGATTTTTTATTTCAATTTGATAATGATTGCGTTTCTTTATTTGATTCAATGTTTTCTTTCTTATGATAATTAGATGAAATCAATGGAGATAAAGCGAAAGATAGTGTACGCAATCGATGTTCACAATATTTGGAAAGAGCAGAAAAGTTAAAAGACTATTTGAAGAACAAAAAAAACAAAAAAAAACTAATTAAAAGTGGAGAATCAAATTCTAAGTATGTATGCTATTGTAAGAATGGTCGTTCAGAAGGTAATGCCTGTTTACTTTTAAAAAATTGTTTTTTTTTTTTTTACCAAATGTATAGGATTTGTTGATATATATATATATATATATATACAACTTTTTTTTGACATAGTCACTAAGTAGATGAATACATTTCGACCAGACGATCATTTTTTGTATTCCCTCCTTGAAGGTCCCTTCCGCCATCTCCCTTGCTCAATTCTAAACAACTTCTTTGATCTCTTCATCAGTTGTAAAAGAACATTCGTCAAAAATGTTTTCAACCATCTGGCGACAACGTAAAGAAATAGCTGTATATATTTATAACATATTCTATAAATGTATAGAAAAAAATAAATTGGAGTTACTTTCTGAACCACCTTCTTACAATAGATGAAGTTTTATGAAGATTTTCATACTTACTATTATTTTTATAAAATACTTACAATTATACTTTTTGTATAGGAATAATGATAAAAAGAACAATTGTGCTGAAGATGAAACAGATTCAGAAAAGAAGCTACAAAGTAAGTTGAAAGACGCTATTGTTGTTGAAAAACCATGTGTTAAATGGACTGATATTGCTGGCTTGGAAGGTGCAAAAGAAGCTCTTAAGGAAGCTGTTATTCTGCCGATTAAATTTCCACACCTTTTCACAGGCAAAAGAATTCCTTGGAAAGGAATATTATTGTTTGGGGTACATCTCCATTTTTTTATTATTATAACCCAAACCTACTCAAATAAATTAAAAAATAATTTTTAATAATTATACAGCCGCCAGGAACTGGTAAATCATATTTGGCTAAAGCTGTAGCGACTGAAGCCAATAATTCTACATTCTTCTCTGTCTCATCTTCAGATCTTGTATCTAAATGGCTGGGAGAGTCTGAAAAGCTCGTTAAAAATTTATTTGAATTAGCAAGACACCATAAACCTAGCATTATTTTCATTGATGAAGTAGATTCCCTTTGTTCCTCACGCTCAGACAATGAATCTGAATCAGCCCGAAGAATAAAGACTGAGTTTTTAGTACAAATGCAAGGTAACTTTTATAATAAATGTAGTAATAATAGAAAAGTTGTAATTTTTATATTTTTTTTTAGGGGTTGGTACTAATAATGAAGGTATTCTTGTGTTGGGGGCCACAAATATTCCATGGGTCCTTGATGCAGCTATACGTAGACGTTTCGAGAAGCGTATATATATTCCTTTACCAGCAGAACATGCCAGATTAGAGATGCTAAAACAAAATTTAGGAAACACTTACCATAGATTAACTGAAAAAGATCTAAAACAATTAGCTGCTAAAACAGAAGGGTACTTCTATTACTTATATTAATAAAGATTAATAACCATTTAACTAATAATAGTAGTTTATTAGATATTCTGGAGCAGACATAAGTATAGTTGTGAGAGATGCCCTTATGCAACCCGTGCGTAAAGTACAAACAGCTACTCATTTCAAAAAAGTTTCGGGACGTGGACGAACAAACCCTAAAGTAAGAGTCAATGATCTTCTCACGCCTTGTTCTCCAACAAGTCCTGGGGCTATAAAAATGTCATTTATGGATGTTCCTAGTGACAAACTTCTTGAACCAGCAGTAACAACAGTAAGTGATAACATTAAATAATTGTCTCGATCCTTTACTGAGAGGTGAACTGGCCAAGGGTGTTATAATGCTTGGGCTATTTTAAAATGAATCTATCAAGTTTGATAACTTTTATATAGTTGATAGACCAAGAGTTTAAATACATTTTATTCAATCCAGTCCAGCTTGATTTCAAATAAAAATATACCAACCTAACCTAACCTAACCTCCCCTAAATTTTAAAGATCCAAATATTAGCCCAACCCACTCTAAAGAAAAAATAATTTCAGCATTGTTTAATTCAGCCCGATTTGAAATTGGAAATTAGACTAATCCGACCTAAGGTTTTGCCATATCAAACAGTAAATTTTATCTACAGTTTTAGTCAGATTAAAATAGATTATGTATCAATTTGTAGTTAGATGCCAGTCCCAAACCGAGTTTATACCATCAACTAATCAACTACAAATTAAATAAAATGTTGTTCTGCAATCGGATTTTATTAAAAAAAAAAATGTTCGCTGTCTGGATTGAACACAAAATGTATTTTAGCCCACAAGTGCTTGCGTGGGTGGCATAAACAGATATTTTTTTTTTTAAAAACACTCCATATCTTAATGCTATGACCTATGACCCAATTGAATCCCAGACCACCTCTCCCTTTATTCATTAATAATTAACAATAAGTTTAAAACATGCTGTTTTAGAACGATATGTTGAGATCCTTGGCAACATCTAAGCCAACTGTGAATGAAGAAGATATGCAGAAACTAAAAAAATTTACTTTAGATTTTGGTCAAGATGGATAACTCAATATTTTATTATTGAACTGTTTCAAAATAATCATTGTGTAAATGTTGTAAGGTTTGTTTATTAAGATTTTAACTTGTTAGCTGAAATTTAATATAATTTATTTTAAATTAAATTTTTTATATTTCTAAGAAATTATCAATATTTTATTAAATTAATTAATAACTATTTTAAATAACCTAGTATAGTTTAATAAGTATATTTGGAAATTCTAAAAGATAGGTTTTAATATACACTATATAGGTATTTTTCACTATTGCTAAAACTTCAACTCAACAGTCAACCATCCTAGGGTTAGGTGGGGTAATTGTAAATGCAATTTTTTCTATTAAAAGAACCAACGTTGTTCGTATTTTGTTTATTTATGTAGTATATTAAGGGGAACGGAAAGCGTAAAAACTTTTACTATTAAAGACTATAACGCAAAGTCACTTTCTGAAGTGTCTTCCGAATATATTTCAAAAAAATTTTTTTTTATTAACCCTAAAAAAATAGTAAGCATTGCATAAGAAAAAAGAAAAATTGAAACCCGTCCAAAAATACGCCAAAAAATTACTTCTGCGAAAGTAATTTTTCATCAAACTTTCGCCATAACTCAGAGAAAAATAACTTAATAAGTATTATAACTAGAAAAAAAAACTTAATATTTTTTCACCATAAAATTAGTCGGCATATTAAAAATGGCTACTAGATCAATTTTTGTAAAATATTGCATATCCTTTGCCTCTTTGTTCTTAATAAATAGCGCTTTTCGTACCCCTTAACATCTTAGAATTAAAAGTATAGAGTTAAAATAGAAAATTGTCAATTACTTTATTCATAAAATATCATTGAATTTGATCCATTTATTTACAGTTGGCCTTACTAGTTTAGCTTTTTATTGTTTAGAAGAAAATTTTGTTATATAACTAATTTTCTTTTTAGGTAAATTTACATGGACATTGGACTCATGGCTTATATTGTCATAATGTTGATCAAACAAACACCTTTTTTTGTGTAACAAAGGTACCATAGATATCTAAGTGTTAAATATTTGTACTATAAATTAGATTTACATGAAATTATGTACAGTTATACAAATGCTATTATTAAAGACTAAAGTCTTGTTTTGTATAGATAATAAATTATTAACTAATAAATGTTTATATCTGAATTACAAGGCGATATTGCTTAAACATTTCAATTGTTATAGTTATCAAACATATGTTGTTAAAATGTTGGTCGATAAACCTTATTAAATACATTTTTATATTAAGGTGGTCCTTAAAAAGTCGAATTTTAACCTCGACGCCTCCTAAAAAGTTTCTAAATACAATAAAAATAAGATCAAAAAAATTTAACCCGTGCCCCACAAGGGTTGAAGTTTAAATAGGATTTCGACACTTGTGCACAAATCAACGCATAGCTTTTTTCCTACTCCTTTGTGCTGAAGTTTTAATGGTTTTATAGCTTAGAGTCTGCTGAACACATACAACATAGAAAATGAAAATGGCCATGGTAGTAAAAAGTATTTTCAGTTTTTTTCTTGACTTCTTTTTATCATTTTTATAGTATCTTCGGCCATAAAAAAAAAACATAGATTAAAAACCAGTTTCTTATGTAAAATAATCTTAGTTTTATGAAAAATGTATTGTTTTTTTTTCTTATGATCTAAAGAGTTGGTTTCATAAAATGTGTATATTTCAAATTGGGTTCTCCATAAAAAAAAAAAAAAGAGGAAATTTTATAGAAAAGTCGAAAAAACTACCACAGTAATTAATTAGTTGAAATAATGTGTAAAAATAAGATAATTATCCGTTTTTTTCTATAAAATTTCACCTCTTTTTTTGTTTTGTTTTTCTGATTGTAAATAAGAAGACCTTGTAACACCGCAGTGCGATCACCAACAGGATTTTTAAAGACTTGACTGCTTGGAGGTTATGAAGGTGGTTCAAGATTTTTATAACTGTTAATTTGATGAATCACATGATTATATTAATCATTAATTATATCGAACATCAATTACCTATTACATATAATCATGTTAAACGGGGTTATCAGCTGACCTGTGTACCATGTATAATAATAACAGCAGACATACAAATATTTAAGTGTTCTTGATACCTAGTTAATTTTTTTGCTCTAGTTTGTTAAGTCCAAACATCCTAAATTCAGTTTTATAACTATAATTACTGTAATCCTAAAATATGTTAGGTATATATATAATATTATCATAGATTAAAAAAACTGAGTTATACAATTTAATTTCTTTAGAAACAGATTAAGCAGCCCATATAGAACCATCCCGGATTCTTCCAAAGAGGAGTTCCCCGACAGGTTGGTTATCTGGGACAGGTCGTCAGTCCATTCGTGGAGAAGGGGATATCGGCTCATTTTTACTAGACGGTTTCCCACCCACCTAACATAACCCTACATACTCATCCTCCTCAAGTTATACACTTAATAATATTTAATTCAACCTTACACATTGCAGATTTATATTGATTAATATCCCACATAAATATTAGTAAATATTTTAATAAATAATAATTATTTTTGATTCTCCTAAAAATGGGTTGTGTATATATTATTTACATGTATAATAGAAAGAAAAACAATATTTAAAATGCTTTTTTTTTTTAAATTTCAACTAAAATACAATATCAGTTACAAAATTCAAAAATAAACTTTTTTAACTTAATGGCCAGTTATAATAATTTTAAATGTATTAATTGGTAGCTTTTGTTTATTATTCAGTGACTAGTATTATACCTATTTTAACAGAAAACTTAGTCTAAAAATAGTTTAAATTGTATACCTAATATATCTTAGTCAATACTCATAAAATCGAACAATATTTGCAACAAATTCTACTACATAACAATTCTGTATAATTATTAAATAACAATATATTTTTTTTTTTAATTATTTAAAAATACTTATATAGAGTACTTTATATAGGTACCTGTACTCTAAAAAGAACATTAATGTTTAATCTTCAGTAAATGGTAACAGTTTAAGTGGCTGGGCTTTGATGGATGGTTGCCCATAGCGTCGAGCAGCTTCATCAAAAAATGCTTGTTCCATTTGCTTGACAAGCTCATTAAAGAACATATTAGCTAACTTGGAGTGTATATGCGACTTGAACTCGTAGGAAACAAAAAAGTTAATAATACAGGTATTAGGCTTATTATTTAGCCCAGGATTACAGTTCCATTGAGTGATTAAATGTTTAAACAGATTACCGTCACGACACTCCGCCTTTATCATATGAGGTCTTTTAAAAGTGACATGTGATACATAATTTTCAATAATTGGAGGGAAGCCTATTTCCAAAAATGTTTTTACATAATTATCTTCTCGCACTTTGACTGAAGATTGTCGACAGAATGGTAAAAATTTCTTGTAATTTTCTGTATCTTGGATAACATCAAACATTTGTTCCGGAGAATATCTGAAAACATTTGTGGAAAACAAAAATAAAACAAAACTGTGCTAGGAAATTAATACTGTTACTGTTAGAGTAGTACAATTAGACTCACCCAATTAGTTTTCGATCTCTATAAATTCTTCTATTACTTCCTCCATTACTTGATGAAAATAAACCAATGAATGTACGTGTTTGATTTACACTAATACACCTAGTTATTTTAGGCAACTTAACAAGCCTACTGGCTATACAGTGAATTGATTTTCCATTAACTATAGCAGCCGACTTCAATTTCCTACAATTTGTTAAATTAATTACAATTAGAATTTCTAAATATAACTAATATTTAACTAAAAAGTATTAAGAGGACGTTATCCACCCATTTTTCAAGCATTACCTACAAACATACCTACACAGAATGCGTTTTACTTGCTTTGTGGTGATATTAGAGCAAAAATATTTATAACAAAAGCGAAAGATAACATGATGTTGCAGACAATGTCATATCCCTTTTTTGATAAACCTAACATTTAACTTAATATTTAACATTTAAAATCACGTTTTTTAAAATTACTATATATTTTCAAATCAGATATGACATTGTCTCTGAAATGTTGGGATCTTTCAATTTCATAATAGGTGTTTTTGCTCTAAAACAACCATGGACTTGGTAAAACACATTCTGCATAACTATGTTTAGATAAAAAAAATATTTTAAATCACTGACAAAGATGTTGTGATTGTCCGAAAAATAAATCAACTACAAAAAAAAAGGAGTTCTAATTACTAAACTAATAATTACACGTTACAGTTTAAGCTTCAAATTAAGACTTTGCAAAAAATTGCCTATACCTAACTAGGGGGTATAACATCCTCTTAATGCTAAATAACATTGCAAATAAATAAATAAAACTTAAAAATATATTTCACACTGGATCGGATCGGAATCGAATTTCTTACATCGGAACGTGTCAGAACAAACAACAATTTTTTCCGCATACTGAATTGGAAAATTCGAGGTCGTCCACTGAGCACCGGCCGAATTTAACCTTGTTATCTATAGCTGATGGTCATAACACGCATTTCAACATAAATATGTCTTATGGCTAGGGGTCATTCTGAAAATTGCGACATGTGAAGTGTCACAGTGCTGACGTTTTTATCCTTACATCATTAAGTATATATATATTAGATTAGAGATAATAGATATGGATTATAGAGGGTCATTCTAAAAATAAAGTTAAGAGTATCCACAGGATATAATGATATAACGATATATATATAAGGATAGTCAAATTAATTTTGTACATAGGCACTTCCTTACTAGTAAACCACAGAAACTAATTTATGAGAAATATTAAATATTGATAAATGTTGCCAGTAAATCGATTAAGGCCAGATATTATAAAACTACTAAAAAACGTTTGGTCAGAACATATAAATAAGACTATACAATCATCATATACCGTAAGGAGATTATATATAATTATATAGTTATATGTCAGGACATATCCATGTATTGATGTATCTGCATAAAGTGTGGATACTCTTAAATTTTTTAAATTTATAAATATTTTAAAATGAGTGATGCTAGTAGTGACAAATAAGATATGATTGTTACACTAGCTCTCCTAGCAGATGCCAAAGATAAACAAGAAAAGTGTATGATAAAAAAAATGAGTTCATATGCTCAAGAAATTCAACTACGCAAAATAAGTTTGCTGATTTGAAATCTAGACTTTGTGATCAAATTTATATGGTATTTGGATATAATTCTGTTGTACTAAAAAAATATGCATTATCATGAAAATCCGGGTTCTAAAAACGATACTATGTAATAATACTGCAGCTATATACGAGTACAACATGATAAAGACCCAAAGTTATGCCCTAGCACGTGTACTTTATGTGCCAATGCCAAAGCGCTAGCCTTCAGAACGCTTCGGAATTTGTGAAAATATTGTTTTCAAACTATTAGGTTCGGTTCCGATCCGATGCAAAGTTTCTGGTCCGATTCAGTGTGCTTAGCTTGATTTAAAATTATGCTATCAATTTTCTTCCGTTCCGATTCAATCAGACTGTTCCGATCCGATCCATTGTGCAGCAACCTTTAATGTATAGTTATTTATAAGTTATCAATTAAATCATAGATATGCAACTATAATCAGTATTTAAATTGGGGGGAGGGACTAAATACCCCAACTATTTTTTCAGAAATTGTAGCGTACTCCTACTAATGACATAAGTGTTGGTTTTTCAGTAATAGAATAAAAGCTGGGTACGCTCTTTTTTTTTAAAGTAAAAACGTCCTACTTTTATTTTTTCAATTCAAGCACTGTGAATAATATAACTATTGGAAATAATATTTCATTGCACTTCTGAACAACACAGTAGTATTACAACTATAATGAAATCGAAAAAAGGAGTATCTACTCAACAAACAGGTTTGCCTAGCTATATTATAGTTCATCTAAAACATTTTATGTATAATATTTGTACAATTTATGGTTTTATTCCTAGTATTTTTTACTTTATTTTTCAAAAATATTTAGATAAATTTAATTGTGAGATTTATTTTTAGATGTTTTGTAGTATCTAGCAAACAAATTATTTTACAAAATTGGTTACAATACATTAATATCCCATAATTTAATTTTTCAGTAAAAATAATTTATTAAAAAAAAACTTAAAGATATTGTGCAACATAATGTAACATACAATTGGAGAAAAAAAATTTAAGTGACATAATAATATAATAATATTGTAAATAATAATAGTCTTGTAATTCAGTAAAAGATTATTATTAATATATAGAATGAGAAATTTGAAAATTATAGTTAACAAAAGGCTGACTTGGCAGTGTAAATGGTTTAGTAGGTAGAATTTTAATACCAAAAAATTCAATATGAAAAGAATAAATATAGATCCTTAAAATATAACTTCAATACAGAATATAATAGGGAAAAACCTCAAACACACAGTGAAGTCGCCATTCAATTAGCATTGATTATCCCAATCCCTATGGCACACTACAAAATTAATATTACTCGGCATCACAGCCAAGTACACTCTGCAGGTACTAAATGTTAGTCTACAAAATCTGAACTACGAATTATTTTTTTTCATTCTCATTATATTATTATATATTTGTTATATACTAAACTGTAATGTACGTTTATTATTACTATAACTGCATACACCGATATTGTATTATATTCATCTCATGTTAATACTCAATATTAATTAATAGTATTTTAGATAAATAATTGTTTTAATATTGTAATTGTTGAGGTATAATGTTAAATTAACAAAATCTCAATAAACAAAAAAATTAAAAAACTAAAGACTAAATTAAGCAATATTATTTGTTGAGTAAGCAAAATAAATAATTGTTAAACACTACTTGTATGTGCAAGGTTTTGTAATAAAATTTGACTTGTGTGGAAATTACTTGTTTTTTTTAGAATTTAAAAACTGTTTATCAAAGTCGAAAAACAGATTTATATGTTGACATTTTTACCAAGGACATTAGTATTATTGTTATTTCAACAATTTTATTTTGTCAATTTTGAAAATTATTTTCTGTAAAGCACATTATCCACATAATCATACAACATTTACTATAAATGTATTAACAATAGTTAACTGAAACAATAGTTACAAAATTTTTACCTGTGTTTTGTACACACATTCGTGTCAATCAATCTCCTGACGCTTATTAGAGCAGTTTTAGACATGACTTACATCTATCAGAGTGGTGAGTACTGACACAATCAAAAAAATTTTAACAACTAGTTAAGTAATTCAAAATCATTATTATGAACGAATTCAAAGGCCATGGAAAATTACTTGGCATTAGTTATTGCAGATTACGTTCAAGAACATAAAATGAAGGCCAAAGCATGTACTGTCTAGTGTCTACTGACCACTAAAATCTAAATTCAGTTATTACTAATTTGTGAAGATTAACCGTTATCACTTATCATTCAGTTATCAAAATTAAATAATTATGATATCACATAGGGATAGCGCCACTTTTATCAAAATCCACAATGTCCCTTGGGCCACGGGACAGTTGTCCTAATCAACATTATATTCCACTTTCCAATGACCATATTTTTCTGTTATCCACTTGACTTGATCCAAATTGGAAAAATAAAAAGTTGAAAAATTGTGGCGATTGGGTCGTTAGTACAGTGGCGTTCTCAGGATTCTTTATTGGGGGGGGGAGGGGGATAAACAAATAAATTGCAATACAAGCCGTGGGGGCTACGCCCCCCGCAACCCCACGATTACAACAGAATATACATTACTCTATAGAAACTTATACCATTTTTGTTTTTATTAATAATTTTCCAAAATTATATCAATTTTTCTTGATTTTTCTGTCATGACATCAAGAACTTCTTCGGGGTCAACCAGCTAGATTTATTCTAGCTTCTAGATTTATTCTATCAATAAATAGCTAGTAATTTAATTACCTGACACATTTAATGATACACCAGATTCTGTTATTCAATCCCTGAGAGGCAGAAAATGATCTATTGCAATTTATACTGATGTCCGTTATTATGAAATTAAATATCAACATTATTTACACAGATGTTTTGTAAATTTTTATACTAATTATATACGAAATGTACACGTCATTTCTACCAATAATACACGGTTTGTATCCCTAAATTCTACGAAACGTTTATAAATTATACGTTTATATTACACGTATGATCAATGATGGCAATGATTAGTAAAGAATTTCCAACTTAGAAAGTAATTTTGACCAAGTGGGGAGAAAACAGTACATTTTTAAAACAAAAACACCGCATGCAATCCTATAAAATTAAAAACATGTAAGTAAAACACATTTTTTTAAACATTGACTTCATTTTTAAAGTGAATAATGAAGTTGTTTTGACAAATGACTTTGTCTATACCTAACGTAGACTAGTTTATTTTACATCAAATTTGAAAAAAAAATATTGATTATAAAACAAAAGTAACGAAAATCCCAAAATGGTTTTCTACCTTATTGTTGAATACACCCAGACGCTACTTTTGTGAGGTATTATGAAATCGATTTCAAAAACTTTAGACTTTTTTTCACTACATCTTAGTTTACATCTTGTAAAAAATGTACAAAATAAATTTGTATAGTTTTTAAATTTCCTTTCGTGTTAAACATTAACACATACAAGTAGTAGATAAACATTTTTTTTGTTGATAAATGACCGTTTTTGTCAGTTTTAGGTATGCTTTAAGCATTATTGATTCGTCTACAAAAACGTTTCGACTTTACACTAGGTGAGTCCGCTTAAATGGACTTTCATGTTTTAGTTAGGAACAAGCAAAACGTTGGCTTTAGACGGTATCTGAAAAAGTACAATTTATCAATTGAAGAAGAAAATAAAAAAGTTTCAAAAATAAACCCAAAGCTTTTGTCCGGAGTTCGAGGGTTATAGCGGCCTGTCTGTCAGACAACAAAAAAACCAACTGAATTTTGTACAAAATTGTATTAAAAAAAAACATATTTATTTACATTAAAAAATTACATAAGGCACGTCAAGTGTGTTTAAGTCTTTTTAATTATTACACGTAATGACTACAACAAAAATTGAGCAAATAATATAAAAATAATAATAATAATAATAATATGAAACTAGTTTTTTAAACTAATAAAAGTAAGCTTAATAAATTCTGAATTCGTATATCAATAATTTCATTATACAAATATATATTATAAATAAGGCACATTTTAGTTAAAATATAAATATATAAACATACAACTATAAAAATTGTGATGGCACTTTATCGGAACACAATTTTAACATTTTATCCATGGCATTTTTCTTGGTAAACTATAGTGAGTATTCTCGAGTTGGAGGCCTGCATATTTCGCCGCAGCAGTCATTTGCATACGCCTCATGGCTATCATACAAATTGCCACAATCCTAAAAATCAATGCAATAATATGTAATGTTTTGTTATATTAAAATTAAAATCATATTTTAGAATAACAAAATTGCGCGTTAAAGATTGTACTAAAAGCCCTTTCCTCCAACAACCCTGTACCACTGATCCACATAGTTCCGATTAAATTTGAGGTTGGAAAAAACATCGTAACAAGCAACCTTTCGACACTACACCACATAGGGTTAAAGACGCATTTTATTCACATGTGAACTCACTTGAATCTGGACATTTTCCGTTTACCACATATTTTTTGCATAGTAGTTTTAAGAAGTCCATCTTCTAATTCAGGAAGCATTATCCTCACTAATTTGTCTTTGCCACTGGCTAGTTTCACTAAATACATCTTTTGCCATACCAACGAGCGGTATTGTGATTCTATCCTAGTCACGGCACACCGATCATTTAACACAGGCCACCAATTATCAGTCTAAAATATTTATTTGAATTTTTATAAAATAGAAAAATAATTTTAAGACAGTCCATACTTTTTGAGACAGTTTGTGAGTCAAGTCTTTCACTAAATTGTTTAAATCGGCAACTCGCGTTCGTAATTCGTCCTATAAATAATAACCCGTGAAAAACAAAAGCGTGCTATTAAACTATCATACATCTTACCCTTGTTTTGCAAAGTTCTATATTGTTCTCTACGAGTTTTCTTATATTCTGACTCGTCAACATAGTTTTTATATCTTCTATGTGTGCTTTACACTTGCTATACTTATCACGATATTCCATTACTTTGCTCGTTAATTTTGCATTCTCAACTTCCAAATTTACCTAAATTCATAATAATATATAAATACAATAACATTTCATCAACTGTATAATAGTTTATAAAGTTACAATCAAATCAGTCTGTCTCTGTTTCAAATCTTCTGGAAGAGTAAAATCTTTAATATCGCTCTTCAATCGGTCTTCGTAAAATTTACTCAGCTCAAGTTTATTTTGCAAGACTTCCATTTTGTTTTGTAAGTGTTGAAATTCTGCATCCATACATTCAAACTATAAGACATTATTATCAATTATTTTTATTCCATAAAATATTATGTTATAAAAAATTCCAACCAATAATTTTTATAAGAGAGAGACATGACATGTATAAACATTATCATACCTTATGTTGTACGTTACGATTTTCAAAAATGGCATCATTGTATTTCTTTTCCCATTCTAAAATTTTTTTTTCAGATTCGGTCAATTTCATCTTTAGGTCGTTCTAAAAAAATTTGTAAGATAGTATTACATGGTGTTATAAAAACAACATGATTGTTAGAAAGATTTTTATAATCAACTACAGTAAACTACTTAATATGTATTTTTTTTTTTTGCTATTATTTTAACAATATTACAGCACAACAATTACAAATCAACATACAATATTAATATTTTAACAACTATAAAAACAATAAGACATGCGAAAAGAAACAATTAAATAAGAAATCCAGCTTTGGAAAGAAAGGAAATTAAGAAGACGATAACAGAGGGACAACGGGAATTTAAAAGAAGAGATGGACCAAGGGAGGTATAGCCGAACAAACTGAGATGGGAAAGTAAATTTTTTCTGTTGGGGTATATAGTAGGGCAGTCAAGGAAAATATGGTTAAAATTACAAGGAGGTACATTATTGTGGAAGATACAAATGGGAGATGAGTTGAGGGAGAGATGGAAGGCATGAGCGAGAAGGAGGTAATGACAAAGGCGAAGCCTGGTAAAATAAACAATAAGGGATCTAGGTAAGGTTAATATGTACTTACATATAATTCATATGTACACTCGTTGCTAGGTTGTTTTTGAATACTTTTTGATTTAAGTCTTTCGAACTCTTTGACTAATTCCGAATGTTTTTGTTTTGTATCTTTAAGTTCTTTTTGAAGCTCTAAGATCTAAATCATGAAATACCTCAAATTAATTTTGTTTTAAATATTTTAATAAATAGTATTGACATTACTTTTAACTCAAACAATCTTTTGTCTTTTTCCGCTCTTTCTCGCTGAACTCTCAACACATCATCTGCATCGTTTAACTGTTGTTTAAAATTACCAATAGACATGTTTTGTTTTGCTATTTGTTCCTAAAAAAATATTTTAAATGTATAATAATTATTTAAAATATTTACTAATAAAATATGAATACCAATAAAGTTGCTCTTTCTTGTTTATACGATTCAAGTTCATTGATTGTCTTGTGAGCTTCTGCCAATTGTTCGTCCATTTCTTCTTTAATATCTAATATTCTGTTTAATTCTCGGTCTAAATTTTCATTTGTATCCAAGACTTTGTTCAATTCACAATCCAAATGCACATTTGTCTCCAAAACTTTGTTCAATTCTTCATACAATTTCTAAATTACACATATTTATTTTTAAAATATGTAACCAATGACATCTACACACCTAAAAGTATTCTAATGAACTTAAAAAACACAGAGGTGGCATGGACTATTAGTGTGGTAGCATACTGTGTTTCTTATCTTATAAGAATAGAGTATGATTACCTTAACTAAATTACTGTCTTCTTGTTTCGATTCTGTAAGAGTACCCGAATCGATTTTGGATTTAGTTTCTAGTTCCCTGATGCGATTTTCCATTTTAATTACGTTTATTTTTAATTCAGTGTTACAATTTACTTCTGCTTGTACTCTCCGACTGAAATACAAACAACAAATATCAGCAATTTAGTTTTTATACTTGTAAAAACCTTTTGTCTCACATGAAATCAGCTATTTTTTCTTCTTGGTGGTTTTTTATGGCATTTAATTGTTCAGTTTCAGCCTCTTTGTCTTGTAAACTTTGTAAGATATCGGCACATTTTTTTTGTTCGTATATGAGATCATTTTCCATTAATGCCATAGTCTTTTTCACCTAAATGATATATGTTTTACAAGAACAAAATAAGAACTTACGTTGTTACGGGATTCAAAACCGAAACCCTGAAATAAAAATATGCAATGATAAGTACTATAGTTACCATGTCTGTTGTGTTTTTGTCAGACCCAAAATCTGAAAATGACGTTGTCAGTTCACCTTAAAAAAAAAAATATCATTAAAAAAAATTATATATGCTACAATTTTAAGATATTACTTACAATCTTTATTTTGTTCCAAACTGGACAGCAAATATTTATGTTCGGTTGCTTGATTTGTTAATTCTTCAATCGTTCTCAACAGATTCATGTTCGTTTTATGTTTTTGTTCTTGTTCATCGGCTAACAAGTCGCGGCAACCTTTTAACTCGGCGGCGTGTAGCTCTTCCATTTTTGCTAGCTCGTGCTTCAGACGCGATTTGTCCACCATCAAATTGTCAATGTCTTCTCTCAAGGCAACATTTTCACTTTTAAGTCTTTCGTATTCATTTTTCAGTTCCTCAATTTGTTCGCCTACTTCCATTTTAAACTTTTCTGTTTGTAACAACTCGCGCTTCAATGTTGAATTGTCGTGTTGTAACGATTTTAACAATTTCATTTGGTCATCCTTTAAGCGATTACACTCATACACGAGTTCTTCATTTACGTTTTCTAAAAATTTGATTTTCTCTGTTTGTTTTTTGTTACAGTCTTTGAAACTGGCCAACTTCTTTTCTAAATTGTCTTTCATGAACTCTAGTGGTTGAATTTCTGCTCTCAACTTTACTCCTAACGTTTCGAGTTCTTTTAGCGTTATTTGTTTTTTTTCAATCTCTGAGAGAGCGTCATTAAGTTTATCGGTTAACAAATTTTCATTTTCTATTAATTTACTTAGACGTTCTTCGAGTGAGCTATTTTCTACACGTAATAATTGCACATTTTCCTCTAATGTTTTAACTTGGGTTTCCATAGCTTCAGAATCTTTTTCCATTATTTTTATTAAAGCATTTCTATTTTCTAATTCCAACTTAGTATTCGCCAATGTCAATTTCAAATCATCCTAGAAAACCAAAATACAAGTTCAGTAACAATTATAATACAAATTTATTGATACATACATTCATAGTAGTATACATATTTGTCCGATCTTTTAATTGCGGAGATGGTAGACTTAAATTAGACATTGACGGTTCTCGAATTGATACATTATGATGATGATCCCGGAATTGTAATGAAGCCAGAGTATTGGAATCGTTGGGCACAGCTCGTCTCATATGTTCGTTTTCACTTGCACGCGAATTAGTCATAATACTTTTGGAAAAACCGTTTGAGTCGATTTCATTGTTTCCATCCTGAAAATTGTAGAATCAATGGTTGAAAAATTAATAGCAATCATAAATTACATTTAAAAATACCTCTTCTCTAATTTGCATTTCATCAAGTTTAGCTTGCAGTGTCTCAATCTGAGCCGTTTTGTTATTCGTTTCAATCTTAAATTTAAAAAAATCTATGTGTGAATTTTTTTTTTAATTACTTCTTAAAATATTATTATTGTTAGTAAAATTGATTTTGTGCATGTATTTTAAACTTAAAATACAATAAACAATGCAATGAGAAATTCAAGTGTTTTACAATTTATATAAATATTTAATTAAAAATACATTAATATTTACCTGTAAAGTCATATTTTCTTCAGCAAGCTTTACAACCTTTAATTCAAGGTCGCTGATTGCTTTTGGATCGATATCTTGCTTTTCAATCAGTTTAAATTCGTAAGAAGAAAGCATATTTTTGAGATGCCTCGTCAAATCATTTAGCTTACTTATCTACAATAGAACAACACTACTTTATTAACAACAGTATAATATATTTAATAAAGTGGTTCAGCAAATAATTTTTTAAAGTTAGCAGAGTTCTTTTAATATTTTTAAAATGTTGTCAAAAATGTTTTTAATAATTTTTAAACATATTTAGCGTAAAACTTTAATGTTATTAAAGACTTAATTATTACTAAAATATTAGCAAAACTAAATTTAACACCAACCTCATTATTTTTATCTTCCAACACTTGAGAACATTTTTTATGTTCCATAATAATTTTTTCTAATGTATCGTGCAACTGTGAAGTAGCCGTTTCGACATCGTTATTTTTTAATACTCGGAGATTATCGATTTTCATTTTTGCTGCAGTCAATTGATCACTCTTTTCAGCGAGTCTCGTTCTTAAAGTATCAACTTCAGATTGCAAGTCCTAAAAACACAATTTAAGTTATTTGAAAAAATAAAAAAATAGGCTATTACTCACTTTAAGTTGTTTGTTGAGTGCTTTTAAAGACAACCGCTGTTCAGACTCGTGTTTCAAAATGGCGTCTTCCGATTTATACATTCTGCTTAAACGCTCCTGTACTCTGACAAACACATCGTCCAAAGTCGCTACAATTCGAGACGGAGAACTATTTTTCTCTAAACTTATATTATTCGGCAATTCGGATCTCTCCCTGGACGAAATAAAAATTGTTACACAAGTTAATAAATATGCAGTAGTTCTAAACAAGTTTTTGTGAAATTTGTCAATTCAAAATACTAACGCAACAGATATATCTTCAGACATTGGAGAACTACATTCATCGACCACCCAAAACTGATCCAGTTCTTTAATGCGTTTTGAAATTGATTTTTCTAAATCTTTGAGCTAAACAAAAAATTTAATTAATAAAAATAAAAAATACTAATACATGAAAGAATATACGCAATATACTTTTAATCTAAAGTTGTTGACTACAATTTCGGCATCGCCAAATTCTGGAGTAGAACTCTGATTTTGTTCTTCTAATAAATTTCTCATTCTATCTAACTGAAAAAAAAATGTAAATGTTTAAAAAAAAAATTGTATTGACATTTCACTAATTTCATTATTACTTCAGCTAGCATATCTTGTTGGTTAGTTTGTTCTTCTTTTAACATTTTCGTTAGAGAGCTTATATAATTTTTATTGGATATTTCATTTTGAGCAAATATTTCCATGCGTTGTTCCATTCCACAAATCATTTCCTTTAGCGATGTCACTTCTTGTTCTGACACTTTTAACATTTCTTCCGTTTTCTGTTGCTTTGCTTTCAGTTTTTCATACCGTTCTTCAGCTTCTTTGTGTTCATTCACAAGCATTTCGGTCTACAATAATTAAAAAATTCGGTTTTTACAAAAAAAATATAAAAAAAACCAACAGTTTTAATAAAAATGTTACGTGTGTTTTGAGGTCTTCGGCTCCCAAAGATAATCTTTCCTTATCTCGCAATTGCTCTTTTAATAGTTTCATTTCTGAATCGTATTGCTCTCTTTCGTGTTCACGTTCTGCCGTTTGGTCTTTGAGAAATAAGTTCAGTGAATGCAATCGATTATCAGCTGCCATCAGCTATAAACAACAATACATATATTTTATTTTATATTTTAACTTTTTTGTTGTGCTGGACAGTTAAATTAAATTAAGCTATTATAACTGAACCTGTTGTGTAAGATCTTCTTTCTCATTTTTCATGTCATCGACCATTTTGCAGTATTCATTGTGATATTCGTCCAGCAAACTTTGCAAAGGAGTCCAATCTTCATAGTTTTTAATTAATTCTTGAGCTTTAAACATTTTTTATTTATCAACTATGATATTGTTTTAATTTTTATAATGAATTAATCTTACCTTTGTGTTGTAATAACATTAAATTGTTGTTTTGAATACCAATAATGCATTGCTTGTTATAACTAGCAGAGGAAACTTCGTTATCAAGTTGTTTTTTCAGGAAGTCATTTTCTTGTTCCAATGCGGAATTTTCCATAAACAACTTTTTATAATCAGATTTTTGCTTCTCGAGTTCCTAAAACAGTTTTTGGTTATTATTACATTTGAATCGGCAAACGACAAATGTACAGACAAGTATAAAGACAATTTCATTATTTATTTATTTGCATTTCATCCTAATTCCAAAAATTTCATTTTGAGATTAGAAAAATATATTTTTTGATAATAAATAAATGGCCAAAAAAAACCATCCTAACTCCAATCAGAAAATTGAATTTTCATAAAATCAATAGTTTAATGTTTTTTCCTTATATTGTCAATTGATAAACGTTACAAAATTGGAGTTATGACATACTGTGATTTAGAATGACTATATACACAGACTAAATGAGTTACTTTTTTGTAATAATCCAGTTTTTTGTCAAAAAAGGATTTATGACAAATAATTTCTGAAGTCGGACGTAAGACTTTTGGTTCTGTAGTGGTCAAATCTGAAATTAAAAAAATTGTATTTACAATTATGTCATAACATCTGCTTATACTAAGTCAATAATAATTCAATAGGTAGAAATACATAAATGACTAAAAAAAATTAATTAAATTACATACTACAAATTTTTTTTTGGCAACTGGTTATTTTCAAAACTGGCATAAAGTTGTAAAAAACTTACAAAACAAAAATGAAAAACTATTTACTTTGCTTAAAAAATAAGAACCAAAAAATGTTTCACAAGTTGCGAGTTTAAAAATTAAAAAATTAATGAAACATACAAATTATCTAAAAATTGCACAAAGAAGTGGTACAATAAAATCTTTAATATCAAGTAAAATATATTTTTTATCGTCTTTCTAACTTTAGACGCATGTCTTACTACTGACTTAAGGCTAAGTTATAAGCAAATAATCATCAATGGTAACATCAAAATAAAGACCATCAAAAGCCACATTTACATAACTTTTCTTTTAGGTTTTAAAATTTAGTTAAACTATTTATCTAACCTAACCTTGTAACTTTTACCTGTACTTTATTTTTTAAGTTTACTAAGAAAACACAAAAAAAAATCATGAAAATGTCACTTGGTCCTCATTATTGTAAAATTACCTACGATAGGTTATAAAGTCTATAATTCATTTTTAAATTGGTTTAAAAAAAAAATATATATATATATATATTGTACCAGATAATGTTGCAGCTTCTTCTTTCAATTTTTCTAAGCACGCATTTAAATTAGATCTTAATAGGTTGGAAGTATCACCAGATGCGTCAACGTTAGTGAAGTCAGCTAATATTGAATTTTCATCAATTAGCGATACAATCTCTTCAATGTTTGGCACAAAATGTACTCTCCTTGGACTTCTAGATTCTTGAACAAGACCATGGAATTCATCTGTCGAATTAATATGGCAACCGTCACCTGCTCCACCATTAGAAATGCCACCACATTCCATTTCATTCATATGCTCAACTATCGAGTTATTTAGTTCTTCTTGTTGATCGATGAGAAATGAGCAAAGATGTTTGGTCAACTGACGAAGAGTCATAGCAACTGTACGTAAATCATCTCTGTGAATTTAAAAAAATTGTACTATAAATAAAATTAACATTTTTACAATGATTTAAAATAAATAAATTCACAAAAACAACTTACCTTTCTTGAATTATGTCTTCAAGATCTTTGATTTGTGTATCGATACTGTCTTGCGATAATACCTAAAGAAAAAATCTTATTAATTAATTTTTACGAGGAAAGTAATGAATATTGACATGTACATAATCAGAAGTTTCAATATCCACATCATTTACACCCTCACGAAGTATTTTTGGATCGTACGAATCTAACGACGACGGCCTTTCATTGTCATCAAAAGATGAACTTATTATAGTCTGCAAATAATAAAACAAAATAAACAATAGTTTGCTTGAAGTTATACAAAGGGATATTTATGTTCACCTTTTTTAATTTGTAAATTTCATTGATTAAGTACGAAACTATTTTTTTATGTTTTACTTGAGTTTTTGTAATGTCTTCTTCAATACGTTTTGTCAATGTGTCTAGATCGCAATCTTTCAAATCATTAAGGCGACTTTCAAACTGATATCTCAACTCTTCTATCTCCTGCTCGTGTTTATTTTTTATTTTTTTCAACTCATCTTGGTATTCAGATCTTAGAATTTGTTTGAGTTTTGTAATTTCCAAAGCATTTTCAGCACACAAACGCTTTATTTCATCGCGATGTCTTTGTTCATTTTCTTCGAGCTCAATACGGTGTTTTTCGCACATCCTATTAAGTTCTTTTTGGTATACCTCATGCAGTGTATCCATTGCCATGACACGATCTAGTATTGACTAGATTAATTAATTAATTGCCTAATTAGGTTATAAACACTATCACAGTTTAACGCATTCAATCGAGTCCAGTGTAAGTACTACAAACAAAAATCACTACGGTAACGTTCCGGGATAACAAAAACATTGATTGCCCCATAGACAAGTATTAGCGGATTAGCCGATTTGTGTCTAAAAGAGTTTACATTGCGCTACACTATAAAAACATCAATAGTTATAACGACAATAGCATGTAACTGACATTTTATCAAAAATGAGATGAATATTATACATAAAATAATTCGTAATCTCCTTGCGCACATGTTTCATTATCAACTTTTTTTCATATAATCGGTTATTTCCCTCCAAAATCACGTTTATGTAATAACGCGTATCTACTATTAAACTGTGAAAAACGTAAATAATTTGATAATAACCCAATTATTATGACTGATAATTGTAACTTTAAGTATGAGAAAATACTATTTAAAATTTGATAAATATTGTACAAATATGTAATATGTAAAACTACTTCTCTCAAATTAAAGTAAAACAGTTTCTTGCTTCCCCTGAAAAGTTGCCAAATTGTAGATACGTGGAATTGTCGTTAGTGTAATGATTGCCGACGTTTACCGTCTCAAAATCTTCGTTTAGTTATTACCGGTACGGTGTGGCGCAGTAGACACCGCAGCTGCCGCAAGGCGCCTGACGTTAAGCTGCGTCTGGTACCGCTTGATCCCGGATGGGTGACCACCCGGGTTTTTAGCAGCAACCCACAATTGAAATAATGAATTAAAAAATTATAAAACAAAATTATAGTATTTACAAATTTAAAATGCTAATAAAACTGAATACCAAAAATAAAAAATCGGTATTCGCATTCGATTATTTAATCGCATGGCATCAGTGAACAACACTATAATTGTAATAACATAATTGTAACATCGTGTACCTGTACTTCGATTTTTCTAATCGAAAAATATTTATTGTAATACTATTGTTTCTTATATTCTTGTTTAATTATATTTAGTGCAAAGTTATTAAAAAAACAAATGTATTTACACTTACTAAATAAGTATTTAAAATTCAATAAATTTATTGGTTTATAGAATAGTACATGACGGACAAAGTCCAAGACATAGTGTTTTAAAATAATATAATTAGCTTATAAAATATGGATATTATATTGTAACAAAGTTGATGATGTAGTGAGAAATCATGAAAATATCCAGCGACACGGTAGTTGCGCAAGCTAAGTAAAAAAAAATATTTCAATATAAAAAAATGCAATTTTTAACTTTTTTAAACTGAAATAATTAATTAACTAAAAAAAAATTTTTTAAATTGTGCCACGACCGAAACCCAAATAATAAAACCAAATAATAAATTATTTGAAGAACTCAAATATTTTTTCAAAAAAAAATCTGAGTATTCTTAGGAACAGTACGTTTGAAGTAGAATGAGTTGTTTTCGACCAAAAATACGCAGGTGTAGAGGCTTCTTAACCGACAAACGTTATTAATTATTATATTATAGGCAACGGTAAATTGCGCCAATCGATTTTGTCTACCTGAAATATGGTGGTTTTACGCGGTAAATTTGATCGCATGGTATTATAGGGTGATAAATTGTGCCAGAAATATTATCAGTATGATTATGAGTGTAGTATTGAAACTTTCAGTTTAGCTTTAGTAGTACTTACGTAACGATATGGCTGATTTCGAAGTGATATACGAACGTGATAAACGCTAATTAAAAACCGGTTATAAGTATCGGTGTTCAGGAGAACTGTCCAATGCTGAAGAAAAGCGGATGTACACCATGAAAACGTGTTCCACAATACTACACAAAACACTAATAAAGTGATGAAAATTTACTGGAGCGACCAAAAATTAGCTCTGCGGCTGTGTGAAGCGGAAGATATCTTTGAGCTACCTTTAAAAGTTTTACATCAGTGTTTTGCAGCAAGTTCAGCGCTGGTCCGCTAACCGACTAATATGTGCACTGCAGTCTGCATGCAAAATGAAAAAGTATCAATTAAAAAAAAATTATAGTTTTCGTGTTATTAAGCATCAACATACTATATGTTTTATATCTCAAGTAAATAAAATATTCAAATTTGTATAAGTTATTGGCTCATTTTAGATCTACCTTAGGTCTACTTGTCTGACCTAAGACCCTAAAACTTTATCGAATATTTAAATTTTATATTCATTGTGATGTGTACCATCTTAAACACATTGTTATTTATCATATTAGCTAGTCCAGTATATTATTTATAATCAATGTTATAGCTTTTACAACGATTGGTTTTTTTTGTTTCTGAAGTCATGACAGCTTATAAAATTTCATATTGCGTACGAGCCCGCAACCACGGGAGACTTTTTATGTCCACGGGAGGATATAAGGATATGTTGACTGATCAGCAAGTGGATCAAACCCATCCCCATCCCATCCCTACCCCCACCCCAACCTCAACCTCATCCCCATCCCAACTCAAGACTAAGCTATAATTTGTAATAATATAATATGTATATTTTGTACAAAAAAATATTACGTACGTTCTTAAAAAAATTCCGATTTATGTTTGAAAAAACATTTGGATTCTTTATAACATTTATAAGATATCGATTGTGCCCCATTTTTAAAATTATTATTAATTAATAACTTATACGACATAAATATAATATATGTGAAAAATTGCAATCAGTTTGCATTATTATTGCAGGGTCATGCGTTTTAAGAGTACGGTTTAAATTGGAATGAGTTGTTTTCGATCAAAAATACGCAGGTGTAGAGGCACTGTATTATTTTTGAGGAATGAGGGGACTAAATCTTTATTTGGGATATTGAGCAATTTCCGCTTATGTCGTCAGCACAAACAAGCGAATATAATATAGCCCGAATAAAAGTGGTCTTCATTGGTACAGTTAGTTGTAAGTTTTAGAGACTATATTGTTGAGCGCCACACGGTTATTCACAATATCTAAAGCCTAAATAGTTCAATAAATCTGTAATAAGTATCTCCAATATGTTTTTATTGTAGTCTTTACTTAGCGTGTGCGTGTGTACGCTCAAGTAACTATATTATTTATTTGTTTTTATTATTAGCTGTACTATATTTAATTGTACGACAATATATACAAGTATGTAATATAACATATATGTGTATAATATATTGTACATGTACGCCTGTTATTATCCCCGTAGTTTACCTGATATGCCATTTGTTTGCTGGTCTGTCTATATTAAACAGTTTGGGGGTTTATTTATTAAAGCGCGACCTAGATTCAGCTTTGGGGTTAACGAAACTCGACCCTTTCAGAAGACTTTTGCGTGATCGGCTCGCGACCCCGCAGACAGAAGTAACCGTACCGCTATGGGTAACGTTCCATTGAGTTCATGTTATTTGTCATATTTATTATAACTTTTTATTATTATTAGTCATTATCCGGACAAATTACTCGAAATATGACGAATGCTTTTTTATTTATTTAATATTCAATTACGTTGTTGACCATCAGACCATGTCGAAGCTTTGTCAAGACCCACCGTCATCATTTTCGTCTTATCAGTTCCGCAGAGGCCGTCATGGGTTCTGACGTGTTAATCGTCTTATCGATACAAGCTTTGTTGGTAACCCTTTGCCACTGCCAAAACGGTTATAATTTCGACTCCGGACCAAGGAACAACGACACCATCGGTAAATTTATGCAAAGATTAAGTATAACTAGGTACCTCGTTACGTCGAATAGCTCGAAAACAACTTATTTAATTTTACATATGGGGGGGACACTAGTTGTCACCGGGTCTTCTAACTCAACTGTAACTAATAAAATATGTTTTAGTAAAGTAAATATAAATAAATAGTATATGTCATAGGTATTGATATAGATATAGAGGGAGCAACTCCTTAAAGTTTTTAAGCGTTTAAAAATATACCAACAGTTATTCAAATCTTTTCACATTAATTTTCTCTATGAATAATTGTTTAAACCGAAATTAAAGTTTCAAATAACATCATTATTTTACTAAAATGATAAAGAATTTTTTTTAATTTTTAAAGTTAAAAATATTATTTTAAATGTTAGTTTTAAAAAGTAACTAGAACACATATTGCTGAAAAACTTTAATTTTATATTTTCGAATGTTAAACATGAAACATAATAGCTTCTTCCACAGAAATAGAAATTTTCAATTTACTTATTTGGTTTACCAAACTAAAGCAGTCAATTTAATGAATATAATGACTTTTTACATTGTATTTCGCCATCAGAGTGTCACAAAACTTGTATTATAATTTGGTAATATTAAAAGCTGAATTTAAACGGAAAATTTAATTTCCAGTTAATCCATTCTAGGCCTAACAATCATTTGATTATTTAAAGTCAGTATCTAGAAAAAAAATAGAAATGCTCAATAAATTTGAGGTGCAAGGAAAACAATGCATTAATGCATAACAGTTTTACTTTACCCATGCTATCATATTATATATATATATATATATATATATATATATATAATATATGTTTTTTTGATATTGTAGCAATAATTATCAATCCAAAATTTGCTACTAGCACGAACAATGTAATTTGGGAAACGGTCAATATGCACGTTGAAAAATTAAAACAGGATTTATTCAAACAAGCAGGTGTATCAGTGGAATTATACACTCAGAGCAACATAAAGCTGTCAAGAGGTGAGAAAAAAACTTAGTTTTTTATCCTTAGGCTACTACGATTGTCGTTATGTTAAAACTAGACTAGACGAAACGATGCAACCATTTTAAAAGTCTCAATTTAAAACTTATAACTTATATGTAAGCCACTTAATAATGATATTATACTTTTTAAATAAAACTGATGGTGCACTTAAGCATTTTTAAGTGGTTGCCAAGTGTGTTAGCACTTGGCAGACTTTAGTCTGTTTCACTTCGAATGACTTCGGTGTATACCTAACCGTCTTGTTAATAAAGTTACCGCTAAATTTCCTTATTTTTTAGTTAATTTTTTTATAAAATATGACTTTATCCTTATAAATAAAGTTGTGCAATGGTTACTTCGGGTGACATTAGGAACTTGGAGTTAAGCGTCGTCCGTCACCGCTTGGTCCTAGATGGGTAACTAGGGGTTTTTAGCGGTGGCGCGGCGCAAGCAAGTTCTCTTACAACCTACTGCACATGCTCAAACTACACAATAAAAATACCAACCAATAAAAACTTAGTTGCCTATTGCCAATTGCCTGACTTTAAAAAATATATATACAGAGTGATTTTTTTTAAGTGATTCACTCAATATCTTTAGGGTTTAATCTGATATCGAATTTTTTTTTCTTTAGTGTTTATATACATTGTGATCTCAATTTTTCACAACATTTTATGTTTTTAACTTCTTCTCAAATTAGTTATTTTTATAACAACTTTTGAAACTTAAATGGTAACGTATATATTTTATTAACTTTTTAAATTAAGAGTAACATATACTGAAAATTTTAGATTACCAGTTTTGGATAATTATTCTTAAAATCATTTAAGCTTAAACTTTAGGATGGGGGAAGGGTGGTGAATAGTACTATTTTTATATGCGCGCATTACTCATCAATCAATCTATCTTGTTCAGAAAAATCACTTCTTTTATTATTTTTTATACTTAGTTTTTTACCAAACTGTTATTTGACATACAGCTTTTCGCCTTTTTCTACTACAAGAACTTAATTTTGGTCTTCCATCTTCAATCATCAAGTTACTATAACTATCGAACACTTATATCACCCATACCGTAGTTCGTATTATATTATATTACAATATGGGCATTGTTTTCCCGTTTTTCTTTTCTTACTTAATCAAAATTAAATACTTATAGTTTTTACTATCTACTTTTGATACTTTTGATAGGATTTTTACATATTACAATACTTATAAATACATTAATGTGCAATCGTCATATATACGAAACCCCGCAGCCAACTAATAGCGAATTACTTACAGTGTTATATAATATATATAAACATGAATTTGTTTAGATATTGTATCGATCTTCGTTGTGTCTTATTGCGATGATATTTGGAATCTATACCGCAAAGCTGAATATGAAGGACTCAACGAATTTTTGTACATCTCAATCACAGGTACGTAGACGTTTATTCAAAGAAACGCATTTTACTCACATTTTTGTTGAGTCTTTTATACAAATATCTACACATTCAGCATCTGTATGAGTACAATTAGCCGTCCAAATTTATGAATATCATAATTTTAAGTGTCGAAATCGAAAAAGACATCTTTTGAAAATAAAAAATTATTGGAAATGTCAAATGTTGACAAAGTTATTGCAATTTAAAAATGAAACAAATTACGTTTTTTGACTTACCCGTTCCCGAAAATTAAAATGTCCCTATAATTACAGAAATAGTTCTTACACCAGTTTTTTTTTTTTTAATATTTATCCAGATACCGATTGTCCAAGGCTTCCAACAAACGAAGCTATTACCATCCCATTGACGTCGAGTAGTACAGAACTATCTCAACTGATAATGGACTTGAGAATGTCAAATTCCTTTCCATGGAAGTCAATTATTATGATGCATGACGACTCAATCGGTATTGAAAATGATAAAATAAATAGGTATGATCACAACTCTTTTAATACGCTACCCCTAGACTTCACACCCTCATTTCCCACGCTACGTCGCGTCGCCACAAAGTACGAACTGAAATATGATAGAATTTAGGCGTGATGCTGACACCGAAATACAATTTGTGATCATACAAAGTTATTTTATCATGAATATTACATTTTAGTAACACTATATTTTAATTTTAAAATTATTTGTACAACGTATTATTGTAATTACATTTGTCTTGAAGAAAACAACGTCGTGCACCATTTGATTACCGCATTAACAAAACCCTATTCAAAAACAATTAGATCACCATCAGTGACCATTTTCGAAATCTTTACTCAAGACTCAGAATGGAAACGGTTAGTAAAAGTTTTTATTATATTTTTATAGTAGAGTACAGTCGTGGATTTACAATTCTCGTGATCTACTAAAAGTCATATTACATTTTTTGTACAAATTATAATCGACTGACACCGGGATCTTAACTATAAGTTTTACTTATTTTCCGCTTTAACTTACTTATGTGGGTACTTATACTCCCTGTACAGTGTACTTAACGAAAAATATCAATCAATTTGAATAAACAATATTTATCAACCCTTATTAAAACTACGTTATTCATATGAAAAAATACTGTCAATACGAAAAAATAAATTATCACTTTAATATTAATGTTATTAAATTGAGAATCAAATACATTTATGATAAATTTATTATTGATACGATGTATTTTTCGATTGCCGCGATAAAATATATTTTATTAAAATAACGATGCATTATTATGCTGATAAAACATATTTTATGGGGTCAATAGCAATTAAGTAGGTATATTAATAAAATTAGTCTACATTTATATTGAACATAACGTTATTTTTCGGTAAGTGTGGCTCGAACTGGGTTTCATAGAATGAGTGTCCAGCAAACTAGAAATTAGAAACTAATTGACATTAACACTTGGTCTTTTATAAACTGGATAAGTGTCCGGGTACTCGCTTACTCCTAAGGCACCAAGAACACCCCTTTCCCCCTCCCTGCTGTCATACTTATACGCTACATTACTTATACACTACATGTACTGAAATGTAATAAGTTTTATTTCCATTTTAGAAGAAAACTTTTGTTGGAAAACTTTGAAAAATTTCTGAAAACTAGTGAAAATAACGCAAATTACATAAGTATTATCAGCGTGCATCACGTACCTTTAATTCTTGACGCGGTAAGCATTCAAAGGACCAATGCCATAAGTTCAACGGCATTACTTTTATGTTTTCTAGGCAAAAACATTACATTTGCTGTCTGCCGAGAACAGTTGGCTAATAATTATACCAGACATGGATTCTGCCACGGGCAACATGTCATCTTTTTCCAACCTCTTAAGTGAAGGTGAAAACGTATCGTTTATTTATAACGCAACCAAAACCGGTTCAAAGTGCACTGTATGTATAAAAAACTGTGGTTATTATTAAACAATTATAACAGACACAGCTATACGCTGCCCATAATACAGACTTTTTAATAAATATAATACCATAATTACGATTGCCTTAAGGGTGGCCTATTATGTTTGGTGGATGAACTGATGTCAGTGTTCATAATGGCGTACAGCGCTTCGATCCAACAAGAAACGGAATTGTCGCAGCAGGTGTCGGAGGAAGAATGGGACGAAATCAGACCGTCCAAGTCCGACAGAAGACATTCGATGGTTTCTTTCATCAAGGTATAGTCTAATTCCTAAGTGTGCACTGAGGGTAAATAGTTACAGCTAAAATACTACATATGATACTAATATTTAGTAGATAGGAGAAGTTTTTTAACAATATTAACATGGACATTATTTTGGTCTATCCGGAATAAGCGTTGTGACACTGGGGAATAAATCAGAGAGGGGGGAGAAATATTGAAGGGGAAAAGAGGGGAGTGGAGAAAGACATATCCATGATGCTATTTTCTGTTTAGCGAAGAAATCGCGTTATATTTTTTGTAGAAGATTGATCTTCTTTTGCAGTTTTCAATCCTAAAGTTGGTTTGCACCGATTTTCCATGTTTCTTTATTGTTGACCTTTCTTTTTATTTCTTAATATGAATATTCATGATCTTCTATTATTTGTATTTTAACTTAAATATTGTAATCGTGACTTTTCTCTGTAATTTTTTCCTTCTAACATCCCTATCCGTTCAATTGGACGAACAGTGTAAGTTTCTACATGAGACTTAGCAGGTAAAAATATGCATACATACGTTAATTCATATATGGTTATTTTTTAGATGTACAAATAATTGTATAATGTACTAGCTGAGGTAGATCCGCTTCGCTTGGTAATTAAACCGAGTATATTGAAACCGATTTATTTGCCAAGTCATATTTTTTTCTCGTATACAAAAGCGGTTTATGTATCCACGGAGAAAGTTCTAAAATATTCCATGGTATTGCTATCGAATACTCCCACCCCACCTAAGTAAGAAATTATTAAATTGAGGTGCTGTATTTACAAATAAGCATCAAAGCGTTAATTTGAAAGTGATTTTGTCCGAGAGGACTAGTACAATATTATTTATTATCAATGGTAGGAACTAACGTTATTATATTTTTACCTGCTGGATTCGTGTAGGAACTTACCATTTCCTACTAATTTTACCTCCTCTTGATACTTTCCCATGATGATCTTTTTTCATAAAAGTTCTTCCAATACTTCTTCATTAGTGATCCTATCCGTCCAACTTATTTTTAATATCCTTCTGTACACTACAATTCGGAAGCCTCTATTATTTTTTTAAATATGACTGCTAAGGGCTCGGGGTGCTAATAAACTCTATTTTATTCAATAGTATAATTTGAATTGTTAATCATACAGTATAAACTATAACAGTAATAACACAGTAATATAACAGTTTCGATTAAACGAATCGGGTGTATGTGAGACGTGCCCTGCATGGCAGATCGATTCCGGCGTTACTTGGGGACAAGAGCACTTTGGCCACAATGAAGGATGCCACGTGTTACCCGTGGGCCATTGGAATGCTAAGACCGGACTAAAACTCAACGAACCGCTTTTCTTACATATGGTTAACGGTTTCAGAGGCATGACTTTGCCTATAGCTACGTTTCACGTAAGTATACTTACATTACACTCGTATACATAATTGTTAGAACAGCAATTAAATTTAATTTTTTTGGATATTTATGGTGTATGTTATTGGAATATTGGTGCATTTAGAAGGGCTGCTAAGGAAGTTCAGATCTTTAAAAACTCTGAAAGCTCCCTCAGAATTTCAGTAAAAATTTTAAACCTTACTTGGGGGCTGTGTTTGTTTGGTGGCTGACATTCTTTTAGAGTCTAAACGAGTTTAGAAGGATTTAACTTTCCTAATACCCTCTATAGTTGCGTCAATGTATTGTATTTTTATATTATAATATAGTGTATTTGTACTAATATAATAAGTATTTTTAATAAACTAAAATAATAAATAATATATCGTCGCTACTAGTGACGTATTTAGGATTTTGTAAAAAGGGATATGCATTGGCAAACCTTTAATTGACCCAAACGGGCTTTATTTCCGAACCCCACCCATCACCACTGTATCTCAACCAGTGTTAGCTTTTAAAAACAATTTAAAATGTCTGAAATTAGAAAACAAAGACACATTTTAAGAAACACGGAAAACTATATAAAAAAAAAACATCTCAAAGATCTATTACCCTCAACGGGCCGATAGGTAAGCTACAAAAAGGCTAAAGGGGTAGGCCCCCACCCCCTAGCTACGCCATTGGTCATTGCAATAAAATTTTAAATTACTAATATTTATTTACTATTTAAAAATGAATTGTACATTCATTTTATTTACTAAAGAAAATTAAAAATTAGCTAATAACAAACATTAAACATGGAAGTTAAACAATGTTTATTCAACTATATTATTAAACTGTATACCAAATATGTTAAAATACAGTTTCCACCATGGCAAATCATCAACTACAACAGCACCGGTCATTTGGTTGGCTACAGCGGTTTGGTGTTCGACGTTATGAATCAACTAGCTAACACACTGAATTTCACGTGAGTATGAAGATCCGTGTAAGGTCGTCCTTTTTGTTCAAGCTCAGTTTTTGCTCTGGTTATATTATAACTCTCCCCTCCAGCGGCTATGTTTTTTAAATTAAAAAATACCAATAAATTAAGTTTGAGAAGTTACTTTATTGAGCTTTTTATATTATTTATTATTAGCTACAATTTATGCATGACACTCTAATAGCACCAAGACTCCAAGAGAATACTCTGATCGAACACTATCAGGAGTCTAAATTAGGAATATAGAGACTTCCCAAGGATACGGGTACGGATAACTAATTATATCTGATAGGAGTCCTTATATAATCGGAAAAAGACCTCTACTCATATTTTTATTTATCACTCCAACGGCAACCTTAGCAGCATAGGGAGTAAAAAATTGCAAATATACAAGCTTGGTGAGGATTGAACAGACAACATTATTTGTAAGTATGATAATAAACCATCTTATTATACAATATTGTTATTTCTGGCTATTTAAACACTACTTTTTAAATAAATATATAATGAATGCGTTTTGGTGATACGGGATACCTGATAAATTCAGATCTTTTTTAAAAAGTCCCACTGAATCCCGGCGAGCTATCAGGGCAGTTGAGATGCATGAACTGAAATAAATAAAAATAAAAATAGAAATTTATGTTATGTGTGTATAATAGGTACAATGTGATCATTGTTCCGAACAATCAAGCCAACTCCAATCATACCAGAACGGTTTTTACAAGGAATGTAAGAATTATACAAACTTAATTTAGTTATGAATCAAATTTCTATTGGTTAAGTGATAAGCTGTTATTAAGCTATTCTTCCTTTTAATCCTTTCTTATAAAAGATAAGTGTTCGTTATTTAAAGTATTGAGCACTTTACTAATTGAAATGAGGAGAAGATATAGAGAATGAGGAGCACTTATACAGCTTAAAAGTGAATAATGCAAGAATTTTTTTTATAATAATATTGATAAAATTGTCTTATATTCAAGAGTATTTTGGGAGAACAAGACGCTGTTATTCCAAACGAATTATGGGATAAAACAATACAACTAATTAGGTCGAACAAAGTAAGTAAACATAGTAAACGCTAATTGCTAATCATCTAAAATATAGACTAGCTTTGTATTTCACATTAACCCTAATAATTGTCAGCAACCGGCAACGAGGTTCATTACCAATTTAACCTTATTTTTCTTATTTATTTCCGTAGATTTTTATTGCAGCTGCTGCATTTTCTGTAAAAGAAGTCAATCAGATGCTTATCAACTATACCACACACTTAAGCATAGAACCTCATCAGATATTAGTGACCAGGCCAAAGGAACTTAGCAGGGCTTTACTATTTACTGCTCCATTCACCCTTCTGGTAAATTCCGTAATAATGAGTTTTAATTTAATTATCGGCTGAATACTTTTAACTCACGCATCCGGCATCCAAATCTATTCAAATCAGTTTTTAAATTATTAATTTTTTTTTAGATTGTCATTGGTACATGACTCGAGTTTTTTAGATAACACAACAGTCGAGTAGTCTGTTTCATCTTTTTTAAGTTAAATAAGAAATAAATCATCTTTCTTTGATTTTTATATCATACAAATAAAACTTAAATAAATATGTGACGTCAAAATGTATTTTTTATACATTTTTCAAATTAATTAATTTTATTAAATTTCTTAAATAAATGTAAATATATGTAACTCTGCTGTGTTTAGACTTGGTTGTGCATAGCAGTTGTGGTAGGCCTAATGGGACCACTATTAAACGTATTTCATACTCTAAGCCCATACTACGAATATCATAATATAAACCGAAAGGGCGGTCTAAATTCGCCACTTAACTGCTTTTGGTATGTATACGGGGCACTATTACAACAAGGTAAGTGTATTTGATATAACACAATTATAAAATATTTAAATACTATAGGCCCGGAACTTAGGGGACGCTATACATCCGTAATTTATCCGCAAAAATGGTTTTGCGGGGGACAAGTGTGTGAGAACGGTATTTACAGTAACCATATACAATTTATAAAATGGATAGTAAAGAAGTGTATTTATGCCGTAGCTTTTTAATTTTTTGATAACTGAACACAATTAAATTTATTCATTCATAAAAATAGTTGTTTTATGTTGCCTGACACGAAAAAAAAAATTCATAAAAATAATTTATTTTTATTTTTTGATTTGTTTATAAAAAATTTAAAGTATATATATCAAAGGTAATAAAAACACTACGGCATAGATAAAGTTCTTCTCTATACATTAGTAAAATTTGGTTAATCTACTGTTAATACTGGTCTCACATTCACATACATGTCATGTAATTTTTATGGGAAAAAAATTGTAAGTTATTCTATAAAAATGACTGTGAGAGTCTTAGAAAATGGCAATTAATAAAAAATCCTCATTACTGTATTAATAAGTATACACTATAGTTCAAGCTCTAAATTAAGGCTTTGCGAAAAATTGCCTATTCTTTACTCCTTAGGCGAAATGGGCGATGTAGCGTCCTCTTAAAGACGTTAAAAATCCTATACAAATTCACTAAAGAAAAGTGTTTAATTTACCAAAAATATTTATAAAAAAATAAGTAAATGATTAAAAAATATCCTATAGGTATAAAAAAATTATTAAAGTTACCGATTAATTAAAACCTTTAATTATTATTAAATACTATTTATTTACATAGAAATGATTAAAATATGTTTATGACAATAAATCGATATCTGCTACTTATTGCCGTTAATCTAATAAAGACCTATATCGGATAAACGGTGGTGTTGTATACAAAAAAAAAAACAACAGTGCCTGTTGGAAAAAGATTTAAAAGTTATTCCCTTTTCCTTGACACAGGGCACTATTATACAGAAAGTAGGGTCGACCTAATTTATTTTCTATACTGTTTGTCCATCTCTTTTCTCCGTTTCTCTTTTATATCATTCCATACGTTAACTCGGGTGTGCCGTAAGTCGTATACGAAGCCTTCTGGCTTCTTGTGTCTATCTTCTTGTTTCTCCATAAGATTGCTCGCTCTGAAAATATTTTTACCACATTGGCCAAGCCAATTTACGCCACAGAATTTCTCACAGTCGATTCGAGAATCGAGAGGAGTAAAATCTATTCTAGAGGCATAGATTTCAAATAGCTAGAGGATATCACTTGTCGCGAATATCTTTAATAATTATTGTGTTGCCTTACTAGTTACCGCCATTAAATTTATACAGGAGGTGCACATTTGCCGGATGCTGACAGTGGCCGTTTGGTTGTTGGCACTTGGTGGCTGTTCGTGTTGGTCATCGTTACCACGTACAGTGGTAATTTGGTAGCATATTTGACATTCCCGCAAATGGACACGATGGTATCCAACATCGCCGAGCTGATGAACCGCAAGTCCCAAGGATACACTTGGGGTATACCGGAATCGTCTAATCTACATACGTTGCTCACCGTGAGTGCAGTATTGTAGACTTAAAGATTAGTTTTGGTTAAATTATCACAACCATGTAGCAGCCGCTTATTCTGATCGTAAAACAGTAAAAACAACGTTTTTTTTCCAAATTGCCTTGTTAACTTCAACAAAAGTTTTATTAAATTTCCAATGAATTTCTTACTCAAACTACTACATTAATAAATTGAGCGAGACTGCATTAAATGCAATAATCAATGTCTAGACTTTACCGGACGATATGGCGGTCAAAACGTTGATTAAAAATGCGGAACATCACAAAGAAGTATCATCTTCTATCGTCGAGAGGGTTAGAGCTGGTAAACACGCATTCATCCAACGCCGAACAAATTTGATTTACTTAATGAAAAATGATTTTTTGCTGACGAACAGATGTGATTTCGCCATAGGTAAGGCATTAAATAGTATCTTTGTAGTTTGCTTCCAAAAACCAATGTATAAATATTCTTCTCAATCACTAACCAAGTCCATATTTCCATTGCAGTCCAGTTTCGGGTTAATCAGATCTTTCTTAATAGCATCCAAGTACAAACCTATTTAGCGCCCAAACATTTGTATTGATTTTTTTTCCACAATATGTGCGTTTTTTACACTGATGATTTTTTTCAGATTTTTCTGGTCACATAGTTTATTGAGATATAATCATAAAACCTGCGGTCGTCACAATAATAGTATTAGATTAGGACCAAGCATTCCCTTTAGGTGAGCGGGCGTATACTAGTTAGTTGTATCCGTGAATCTACGAACTGCATCTGATTCTTATCGTAACTAAAAAAGTCAATCTACATTAGTTGACTTTCAGGCTCATATATTATACGAACTACGAGTTGCATCCGAAAAATTATTAAATATTTGAGATACAAGTTACATCTCACTAAAGAAACAGTGGTTCCAAAACTATGCAAACATTTTATTGAATTTTACTTTTTTTCGTGGTTAAACTAATATAATAATCGTTATGGCTAAACTGTGAAAAGTAAATAGCTGGCAGAAATGCTTAGTGCAATATTGGAATGTTCCACCAATATACAATACATTTACGGTTAATATAAGTTCCAAATTTGTATTAGTTGAAACACATTTATACCATTAAATTTATTATTATATTTTAATCCATTTTCATCTTCATACATTATGTCAATGGTATCAAATGTAATATGAACATTATTTCGAGATTTCGTGATTTGATATAAAAAAATTCTGTAATTGTTAAGGTACTCGTACCTACCTTATTTTCTATTAACTCGGCGTGTAATAATTTTGCAGGTATTTCGCACAATATCATTTTGGAAGTGGCTTTTGTTTTTAAATGAATACTCATTATTTGTCTATTGAGAACTTGTTCATTCAGAGGTCGGTGGTTATTGTGCATTAATTTTTTTCGAATATTATTTTTTAATCGAAACCAACTTTCAAAACCACTTAACAAGTTCATGTCATACTTTGCCATCGATCAACGTTGTATGCCAATTCTTATTGATAGCTTAATAATTTGTATTTTGTAACCATTTTTCCTGTTTTTATTTTTTCGCTTAGAATTTGACCAACTTTATGTTCAATTTTTGCATCTAAAAAAAATGATAAAAACACTCGGCGCGTTCAATATCAGTTTTCTAATCGACTATTACAACAGTAACTAAATTGCTACCATTAATTTACCTAAATTCATTGAAAAAATTACACCTTAACAAATCACCAATTGTTTGCTATTAATTTAAACATTTTTATTTTATAGTTTAAATAATTTTATAAATTGTAAAATATTATTATTGTAAATTACAATAATAATATTTTTATAATTTAGTAATTATTATAGATATTTTATTTCAATAAATTATAAAAGTATTTTTCACGATTTTGGGAACCACTGATTGTACCCCGTGGCTCTAAACAAAGGAATGCACTATATTATAGTGTAAACCATTTTAATTTGTGACAAGATTTTGATTACAATCTAGGGGCAATTCGTTTATAAAATTTGGTTCTACCTGGCCTCGGGATGCGACTAGTATACACCGTTGTGCGCTATTCTCTCCTCTGGTCAGATTTAGTTTAGACTCGTTAAGTCATTGACCGCTTACAGAGCTGTATCAAATTACCATTTGTATTCCATTTAGATAAGCTATTTTTTACTCTGGGATTTGGGGACGTGAGCCCGCATCCGAACGACAGTCTCGCAATGGGTCGAGTCAATTCCTGTAGCCGGGTCACCTTACGCCTAAAATAGTTACTGTAAAAATAATTCGGTATTTTTGGCATTTGGTAAAATATATGTTTCTAAAAGTATGTGGGGTATCCGAAAAAAATCCTCTCGAGGAATAAAAACAACCACGAAGGTCGAGGGAATGCGAGAAGTCAGCAGTAACTCTTATAATAGCTAACTTTTGCGTACACCTACAATTTACATACATTTTTGGCTATAACTTAAGCGCTGATTGTGAGCAGAAAAATCTGAAAAGTACACTATAGTCATCAGTGTAAAAAACATACATTTTAAAGAAAAAAAAATCGCTTTTACGCTAAACTACATTTGTTCCAAATTTCCTTTAGAATACATATTTGTAACTGAATATTTTACGTTCTTCCTTACTTTGTTAAGGTGGTGTGTTCTTTATTCAGTTCTATTGTTTGTCCATTAGTTAAGTTTTATATCACGATCTCTAGTACTAGAATAAACAAGAACCAATTTAGAGGCGGATAGGTTGAATATTTGTTACCGGCTAAATCTATATAAAAAATCCCCAAAACTACACATTAGTACACAAGACTGACTCAAGGAAGGCTTCAACCCACACTTCCTTTTTTATACCTTTTATAAAATGTATTTCCTATGTATTTAGAAAAGTATAAACCTAATAGAAAATTACGCTGTTCCAATGTACCAATATTGAGAATAGACAAACATGGAGAGTACGAATAATGACCATTGACCTGGGCGCCTGGCTATGAAAGATTCGCAAGAATTTATGCTGAACTACTTCTAATTTATATTTGAGACCTAGTTGGTATAGAGGCCATATTACTCGTATTGTGCTTGTATTTATAATACTAAATACAAGCACAATAAGAGTTTTTATTAAACTTTGTTTTTCTCTTATTAAGGTTAATGTGAATCATACCACTATGGTTATAACCCCCTTAAGTATAAACATACATTTTCATGTATAATAATTTAAATAATAATAATTTATAGATTACTAAATCTATTGTTATTTTTAGTTTTTCTTGGTCTTCCTACTTTTTTGAGTTAGGATAAATTTTTAAAATTAATATTAGTTAGTAGGTATTAATTATTATTAGTTGGACCCTTGTGCGTATTTACATGTGTTGAGTAGCGAACACTTAATAGTATGTAAATATAGAAAAAGCCTACTGAAAAAAGACCTTGCGAAATAAGAGCTAACCGTAATTTTCCCGGTAGCCCGATGAGCCTATCCGCCTTTGTCAATATTAGTGGAAGGAGTGGATTCTGAAATCGTTACTTACAATTAGTACCTTGAAAATATTTTGGGTGATGTAATTACACACTTTCATTACCTATCTAATAAGTTTTCCTCAGATAAAAATTTTGGGATTCATTCTAACAATTTCTAACAAATTGCCAATAAATAAAAAATGTAATGTTTAGGTGATGAAGATTTTGCTGAGGAGAAATTGTCAATGGTTCTATCTAAAGGCAGCCCTTATCTCAAAAGAATAAATAGAGAGTTGAGTTTAAACTTTAATCATATTATTATATGATATTATTATTAGAAAACAAATATTCGCTATCTTAAGAAGACGCCACAAGACGATTTATTTTAAGTGTAAAACTATAGCTATTACTTAAGTTGTCTAAATTGTTCGTAGTAATTAAAATTTTGGAAATACATAAATACAATTTTATATGATAGTCAAATAACACAAAATATTACTTTATATAAATAAATAGGGTGTTTACAAATTATTATTTATTATAAAGTGGGTACACTAAAGTTTTATTATAGAGGGGGGAGTAGAGGTCCTTATTACACGTGTATTAGATTACACGTGAAATCCGTGTAATAAACATACACATGTATTCAAAAAAATGTATTTTTGTTATTAATTTTAGTTTTACGTTTAATATCACGTCTATTTAATTATACGAACTCAAACACAAGTATAATTGTGTAAATACGTTAACTCAAATTAAAATTTTTGACAAAATAAATTTTTTTTAAATACACGTGTATTTAAATTACACGTTTAAAATCACAGGCACTAGGGGGGAGCTATGCAATCTATATAAATAAAAATGAAATTGCTGTTCGTTGCAACACACATACTTGAGAACGGCTGGACCGATTTGGCTCCTTTTTTTCAAAATGTTCGTAATAGTCCAAGGAAGGTTTTAGCAGAAAGAAAAAATTTGAAAATTTTAGTGAAAGTTTATTTCAATAGATATAGACATATAGACAGTTTAAAAGCTGATCAGCCAAATTAAAAAAAAATTGACAATTTGCATAGCCTCCCCCCTAGGTGAAGCTGAGGCAACGCAAACTAGTCTATAATAAAACTTAGTGTACATACTTTATAATAAATAATAATTTGTAATATAAGGTAATATTTTGTTTTTTTTTTATATTAGTATGTCAATATGCCAAACTGTCCATATGTCAGCTGTGATATTTGTGCACGTAGCGCCGACTATTGGAATAAACTTTCATTCAAATTTTCCAATTTTTTCTTTCTGCTTAAACCTTTTTCTATTACGAACATTTTAAAAATTAAAAAGGAGCCAAATCGGTCCGGCTGTTTCAAGTGATGCAAATACCTACGAACAGCATTTTATTTTTATTTATATAGATTAAGATTTTGATACAAACTAAATTAAAAATATGGCAAGTGTGGTGTATTCTTAAGAAGGTAATAAAAACAAGTTGCAACTTTTAAACAGAATTGAAAAAATGCATAAAGTTGGTCTCATAAACAAATGGTTGGAAGATACTTTACCTAAAAAGGACCAGTGTTGGACTAAAACTCAATTGGATGTCACTAATCACAAAGTTAATTTGGACGATATGCAAGGGTCATTCATTGTGCTTTTATTAGGTAAAATAATTGCTATACAATTATAATTTTGTATTTTCACTATTTATAACATTATCAACAACTTTTCTTTCAGGTGTGCTTTCATCGTTAGTGTCTTTCTCTGTGGAATATCTACTTAAAAGGTACAAAAACCGGCATGAAGTAATAATATACCCATTCATCAACTAACATCAAAACACAAATAGAACCACAATTATACAAATAGCAGTCTTTTATTTATTATAACTTAATAACCAAAAATAATTGTTTTATTAATAAACGTTTAAAACATTGTTCCTCGTTTTCAAAATTCTACCTACATTTACATTACATTTAACTAACACTTTTAATATTTAAGGCGATCATTTTTTGTAGTCATGTCAGCAAAATAACTAAAAATATCTTTTAGCTTATAACTCCGATTTCGATTAGTGAAGTAGTGTGAAACCACATTATCATCTAAAACAAAAAAAAAATTGAATACATAAATAAGATATGTCCATTTAATAAGATTAAATGGACTGACTAAAGTATTACAGAATAAAATATATCTTAAGTTGTGTTATTTTTTTATAAAAATATGTAGCATCATTGTAAGATTTAAAAGTGATATTTTTCCCCATTATGTTTATACTGATTTAAAGGTTAATAATAAAAATAAAATATTCTTTACAATTGGTGCTTACTACAGTATATTAAGTATCAAATTTAACTTAAGAGAGGGTTCGATTTCTGCACACTATAAAACAGAGGTCACAACCTAAAACAAGCTTATACTTGTCCAAGAAGAGGGGGGGATTTTAAGAAATAAAAATATATTAATAGAATTACTCATTTAGGAAATAGGAATTATATACATAATTTTTATATTATAAATATTGTTTAGAATTGTCTTAATCTTACCCATATTTGTAGTAGGTAACGTGTTGTCATTAGCTGATAACGATAATATATACATAAAAGGCACCATCCATAAACAAACAGTAAAATATGATAAAATCTAGAAATTTAATAACAATATGTAGTTATTTAAAAAACATGTGAATTAAAAAATGCAAAGTTCATACTTGTAATAACGTTGAATAACGTTGTAGGAAGAATTTAAATGCCAGCACGTGATTTAAGATTAATGATATTATAGATGATATGAATAAAAGTGATGTAAAATTAAAATATGGAAAATCTGATAGCATCAAATAATATAGAGCATGGCTTACAAGGCCAGATGCAACTACGCTAAATGGCATATTGTCAAAAAAATACAGTCCTATGTGACACAGTGCAACTATCTGAAACACAATTAAAAATGAGTGTACACATTTTTTCTTGTTTAACTAACCAATTTGGCTGAATTATTTGTTGAGGGGGGGGGGAGTTATATAAGGTTTTTGCCATGCCATGGAAGACATTGGTAGCCTCTTTCTCTAAACAGTCACCTGGTCAGAGAAAGAGAGACCACACGTAGCCAAGTGTTATATGGCAACAGTAAGCACTAACACACTGTCGCCTTACCCACTTGGCCACTCGTCCTACTACAAATTCAGAAATTAATATAACATAAACAAACATTTAGAAACAATGTTACAGCTTTTAGTAATCCTTACATTGATTGTCCATTTTATACATTTTTTGGTAAGGGTAGTATTCTCTTCTACAAATTCAGCTAGGTAATAAACTCCTGCACCTAAAAATAATATAGTAGTTTTATATCATATTTAACTTTAATACAGACATCTAAGTAGACAACTTTATAGTGTTTACTTAATTCCCATCATTGGGAAAGGTTGAAAATTATACCTCTCGTAAGCTTTTTCTATTCTTTAATTAAAAAGTTACATATCATTAATTTGTGTAGCACAGCACTTTCCGTTTCAGGAAATTAACACTTTTTCTGCATAATTTGCAGTGACTTTAATAATTTTCAATGTTGGGCCTTTATGCCTGTTAAGCTCACATGATGATCATGATGATTATATAAAATTATGTACAATTATAATATGTATAACCGAAAATTATATAAATAAATAAAAATTGTCCAGTATTCAATTAAAAGAATATGTATAGTTTAATGACACATCTTATTCTAATAAATTTCTAATTTGAAAAATTGTTCACTTACCAATAAAGATTGTTATAAGAGCAATTTGTGTAACAATAGCTATAACAGTAACAATCATCATGAAGATCATTTTACTGTATTATATTAAAAAATGTACAAACAGAATTTTAAATTGAATGCATTAAATCTAATTTAAATATTACAATTATTGATTAATCAATAACAACACATTGGTATTTTATGTATATTTGGCATAATTTTCATGTACAATCGACTTCAAATTTTCATTAATAAAAAAATGTTCATGAAGCATAATATTGATTATAACCTATATATACAATATCAAAACCTTAGGCGACTAATGACTATATAATTAGCGTTAAATAAAAATTAAAAACTAACATTCTATGATATTTTTATTTGTATTACCTATAGGCTATAAATTATAAATTATAAAATTATCACAGAATAGATCAAATGAGATATTATCATCATTTTTGAGAGGTTCCTACGATTGCCACGAACCGTCGTTACCACGACATGATGTTACTACGAATATTTGTTTCTGTGCAGTTACCACTAACATCAATAACTTCGAATATACAATTACCGCGATATTAAATTGTTACGATATCAACTTCGATTTTTAAAAATATCGTACCCACAGATATATATATATATATATATATATAATAAACTAGATTGCTAACTAGCGATAAGAATTGAAGCCGACGGTCCGCCATTCTGGTGGGATTTATGTGTGTTATCAATGCATATAATATATATCTGTGTATATAATTATATCAATATTATATATATATGTAACTGTTATAAACATATGTTATTCTCGCGTGATAAGGTTCTAATTCCTACCGAAATGTCGGAAAGTGGCTGTTTCAATCTTCTCTATTGGTGGCATGTACAGTTAGCAATCTAGTTTATTTTATTATATATATCTATGATCGTACCCAAGGTGTATTTATAAATCCGCCTTGATCGTACCATTTAGATAGTTTACTCGCTCTGATAAGTTATAAAATTTGGATCAAGTGGGTAACGAAAAAAATGGTCACTAGGAAATAAAATAAATTAGGACAACTGTCCCATGAAATATTGTGGATTTTGGTAAGAGTGCTGTTATCCCTACATGACAAAGATAAGGATCGTTGTCATAAATCATAATATGGTAAACTTAACCACGTGTTTTGTTCAAATTGATAATGGATATGAGCGAGTCTTCTTAGTTCTTACTTGTAAGTTCTTCGTTAATCTGCTATGCAACTGAATTTGAGTTATGATTATTGAACTTCAATTAATAATTATATTCTAGTTTACTTACTAGACAGTTACCGTTGAAAGTAAACAATTTTATATTATAGTTATCAGTAATTAAAATTAAAACTAAAATAAATTTCAAACTTCCTATAGGTACTAGTTATTTGATTTACAAACAGAAGCGAACTCCGTCTAGAAAGTATGGATAACGACTATAAAGTTGGTGCCCTAGGTGATTTAATTACATCCCTAAAAGGTTAGATTCTATTTAATACTTTTATTTTCAATTTATGATTAAAATCTAAAATAATTATTTATCCAATGTGTAAATATGTACCTAAAACTTCAAGATACTTATAAATATACAATTCTAGAAAAAGTTGTTTGACTCTGATGTCAATTTAGATTTGTTAGATCTATAAGCTTTCAGAGCTTATAGCTCGAACTAAGTTATATACATATTTATACAGTGTTGATTGCCAGTTATTGGTTATCTTATCGCTACAATAAGTCATAAGGTACCTAAAAAATCATCTAATTGACAAAGCAACTATTTATTCATACCATATTTTGTTCTTTAATATGTGGTATTCCTCAGATGTTATTTATGTTTTTTTTGTAATGATTATATTTATATCTTTTATTATTTAGCTCGTAACAAAAAGAATAAAAACTCTACAAATAAGCAATCATCAAAAGGGGAAAAACGAAAGTCTACGGAAACTTCATTGAAAAAATCCAAAAAATTTAAGAAAATTGATGGCACTTCTGAATTAAAACAACCTAAGTTAAAGTCTATTAAAGATAAATCCATTTTGAAACACAAGTCACAAATGACACTATAGCCATCAACTCAGAAACCATTGTACCATTTAAAACTTCAGTAAAAAAAAATAAGAAAATAAAAAAAAATAAAAATGAAGTAAAATCAGAACCTGTACTTGGAAATACTGATAGTACATGTGTAAAAACTGAAAATTTACCTAAAAATGCAGAAAACACACCTGCTAAAACTGAGAATATTACTAAAAAAAAAAAAAAATCTAAAATCGATTCAAAAAATAAGAGTACTATACAAAAGTTGGAAAAAATTGATAGTAAAGAAATGTCTAAGAAAGGGTAAGTTTTTTTTTAATTAGCAATATTGGTATAATCACATTGGTAATGTTTTATTTGGGGTCATTTGAAGTGGCACAACCCTGATCCTGCCTGGTGGGAGATTAGTGACCTTACGCCTTCCACTCATCAAACATTTCAGTGTTTAGTGCTATTTACTTTTCAAATCCATTATTTTTTATAGCTAGAAATTTAGCCAACTAGATTTTTTTCTAGCACAATAAACTCTTTATATGTTTAAACAACTACTTAGGATTTCAATATACTTTTCAATGCACTGCATAATTTGTTATTACTTATAGGAAGTACTCAATATTTTATAAGTTAACATACAAATTTAGTTTAAATTATTGTAATATTGTTATACATAGTACAATTTATTTGAACTATTATGTTTAATAGACAATATTGGTATAAAAAAACCAGCTAAAGTTTTTAAACATACATATTACCATAAGAAAGAAGTATCTATATTGATGATTATTTTTCAACTTTTGTAACGCATATATACTGCGTTTCAAAAGAGAACAAAATTATTTTGCGCATTATGGCTGGCGGCCGCTTTGAGGAAAATTTCTCCCACCCACTCTTGCCGATAATACCCGATGGTTTCTGTTCGAGACACGAAGCACGTTGTGGTGGGAGGTGCTAGGCGGGAGATGTGTGGCGCTGAACGTAAACAGGTTGCCACCCTGTATGTTCTCTTTTGGAAAGCAGTATAGAATCTATTTTTGTGTACAAACACTACTTTAAACGTACTGTTCCTCAGAATTAGTTAATTAATTAATTCAATGTAAAAAACTGCAATTTTTACCTTTTTTTAACTGAATTAATTAATTAACAAAAATAATTTTAAAATTGTGCCACAGTCATTGCCTTGAAAATGTTATGAAGAATTCAAATGTTTTTTTTTTAAATCTTAAATCAGTGTATTCCTAGGAACAGTACGTTTGAAATGGAATGAGTTGTTTTCGACCAAAAATATGCAAGTGTAGGGCCTTTACACATTGAAGACGACTGTTGTGTTTAACGTGGTCTTTATTATTAACTATAGGAGACGACAATATTATTATCGGGCAACAATGTTGAGGATGAATGCCGTGCTTAGCAAAGCACTTGTTATTAGTTCATATGGACGAAACGTTTCCCACCTTACTACATTGCTACACCTTGTACCATTGTTGCTTGGACTGGTGATTTTAAGGCATTCTTTATATAATGTTGTCAGATATGTATTGATATGAGGTATACATTTTTTTTCGTTGAAGTATTTAGAGTACATAAAATAGGTCAAAAACAAATATTGTTAGCATTGCAATATTTTCAATACAATTTGTATTATAAGTATATTAATATGAAAAACAATTTCTTGTAAAACACGGTGCTCGTCCTTAAGATGTAAAATTATTGCCCGTTTTAAACACTGCGATCGTCTTCAACGTAACAATGATATAAAAATATTATCGTCTCCAGTATATAAAAATACTGACCGCGTTAGGCACGGCACCCATCCTGAACGTAGCAATGTCATAAAATTAGTTCAGTCTCCAATGTGGTAAAAAGATTATAACAGTATTAATAGTTTTCACAAATTTGTTAAGACAATTTTATTGAAATTCTGTGCTACATCTAATTGTTGTTCATCTAGAACATCCATTTATTGGTTTCCAGTTTACTCTTATAACTATTTTTATGTTAATAGAGATATAAAAAATACTGACGAATATATAGAAAAGGAATCGAGAACTATATTTATTGGAAATGTACCTGTTGATGTTAAAGTGCCAACTATCAAAGCGCTATTTAAGGATTATGGAGAAATAGAGACAACAAGGTTGAGAAGTGTGGCTGTGAAAAACCTCAATAAACCAAAACGTGTGTCTGTTTTGAAAAAAGATTTTCATCCTCAAAGAGATACTGCCAATATGTATGTACGATTTAAAACTGTTGAACAGGCTAAGAATGCATTGGCCTTGAATGCTACTAAATTTGAAGGGCATACAATTCGAGTAGACATGGCCTTGAATTCTGATCACAAACAGAATAAAAAAAAGGGAGTATTTATTGGAAATTTACCTTACAGTGAGTATTATAACCTTAATTATTTTAAGGTGGGTTTATACGATCAGTTGAATTGCGCAAACTTTTTTGCGCAGTTGCAGTTGTAGTTATATTGAACAAAAATATTGTTTGTAAAAAAATATGTTATCAAGAAAAAAGTAATAACAGTATTGTGTCCCATTTCTATGATATACTAAATGTGAAATTTTTATAACTTTCTTATACGGCATCGCTTAAGTTAAAAAAGGTATATTTAGTTTGTTAAAAAAAAATTATTTTGCAACATGACTTTTCTCTCTGATAATAAATATTGTTTAGAACTAGTATATTTATTTGTATTAATCTATAATTTTAAAATACAAGTCACCAAGGGCTTTTAAATTATGACGAGTTGTACAAGAAATTATCTAAAGAAGTAGATTAAAATTCACATTTAATCAATTTTTTTTTTTAGATATTCAAGAAGATGAAGTTTGGGATTTTTTCAGAGACTGTGGTGTTATATCTGCTGTACGTATAGTGCGTGATAACAAAACTGGAGTATGCAAAGGAATTGGATATGTAGATTTTGAAGTAAGTTTAACAGTATTTGGTTGCCAGCTACTTAATAAATAAAAAATATATTTCTCCATTATTTATAAATTTAAAAGTTTTAAATGTTTGAAAAAGTAGTCCATATATACACTGAAATAAATTCTTACAGTTAATAAAAAAATAAAGGGAAAAAAAAGCCTGCACAATAGGATCGGGACAAAGTAAAAATAGAGCATATTGTCATCGTCATGCAAAAACTGACTGAAGTGACTGACTGACTGAAACTCTAAAGTTTTTATAGTTTTCGTAATATTTTTTTTTCTGTACAATAATATAGTTAAAATAACGCATTTTAAAATGTTATTTCTTTTGGTCACTTCTTGCACATCGTCAATTTTCGCATGACAGCGATGATATGGGTTAACTAGTCGATAGAGATATAATATTGTATAGAGATTTATAATATTGTAAAAATACTAACATAAAAAAGTCCAAAAAAAATATTTGCTTAATTTAAAATTATTATCCTGTATACTTAAAAACATTTTAGTATAATACATTTATTACTTTAAAGTAAACATTAATTTTTGGTAACTTTATTTAATTTTAAACAACTATAGTGTTTGGAATCATGTTTTTTCAAGTATTTTGAGAGGGTTTTCCTTAATAAAAAAACATTGCCTACACAATTTTGAAAAAATAGTAGGTAGGACTAATTTTTAAAAAGTTACAGTATGCGTAATTTTAAGATAGATAATGTGTACATACATTTTTGTGTTTTTCTTGTTTTTAAATGAGTAATATTTTTTATTTTAGGCTTTATAAAGTAGCTTTTGGGTGTAGTTTTCGGTATATAAATCTTTAGACTTGCTACATTAAGTAATCCAAACTAGAGCTCACAATTTGTTACGGCATTGATTATAACTAGTATTATTTAAAAGTATTTTTGATCAATGGTAACAGTTTTAACATACATGTGTATCCAGACTTAACGAATCCGAACCATTTAAGGTTCATGTATTTAAAGTTTGGATATCTGTGTAGTTAATGTTCGAAAATCCTTCTTTTAAATTATGTATTATATTCTGTGTAAAATATGATACAATGTTGCGTCAAATTGAGTCCTAACCCCCTACCCCCAATAGCCAATATGTGCTTGAGTTTTGGTGTAGCCTCCTTCAGTCCTATATTATTTTAATAAATTGCAGAAACTATAGATCTTTCCTAAGAATCAAGTCTTTTTTAAATGTTTAATCGCCATTGAAATGCTGTAAATTTATATCTCAGTCTTTCTCTCTCATAATTTATGCTATCTTTGTGTACTTGTCCTTTTGGTTCCTACTTTATGTAGCCTTGTATTAGTTTGTTTCACTAAATTGTAGCAATATTCTATTAAATCTTCACCAATGTTTTATTTATATTAATTTGTATTTTTTAGTCTAAAGAATCTGTAGAATTAGCAATGCAACTTCAAGGTAAAAAACTTCAAGATAGAATCATTCGTATTAAACGGATAGAAACACATCCAAGTGACAAAATACCACAAACAAGAACTAATTTTAAACCTATTCCTTTTAAGAAACCCCAAAGTAGTAACAAAGGTCAATCTTACCAAGGAGAAACTTTAAAACCAAAATTCAAAAAGGTATAATTGCATATAAATGAAAAAAAATTGTCAATAATTTAATCCTCGACTTTAAAAAATTTATCAAACAACATTCGTGCATGCTACCAAGTTAATCTATGGACTATACATTTTTTTGTTTTTTTTAGAAACCCAAACCAACCAAAACTGATTTAATGAGAAAGAAAATAGCCAAGAAGTTAGCTGCTTGACTTTATTTGACAAATTAATTGCTATTAATAAAACAAATTTACTTTAAATTGTATTTATTTAGTAATCCTTTACACCGTTATGTAAAAAATAATTGGAAGGTATGTTATTTAAACATAAAGAAGTACACACTGGTGAAAAGACAATGTAGTATTTTGTTTTACTTGGAACACTTACTTAATAAATTGATTTTTATTATCTGGTAATGAATAATACAATTAAATTTCTCCACTCTATGTTTTACAATAATAGAGGATGCATATAATTTTTTTTTTTTATTTTTTTTTATTTCTTAAAATATCAGTCATAAGAAAGAAATAGATACATTAAAATTTTACTTGGTTATAAAATATACATATATACAAGATATAACAGTCATTATTAAGAATAATAATTTATTCCTTATCATTCAAATGTCGCCAAGTATGATTCTGATCAAACATCTTATGCTTATTAACATGAATAAAAATTAAAACTAAATTTAAACTTAACTATATTAATTATTCTTTGGCATCGCCAATACCATCTGCATTTATTGCAAACATCGCTTCTGATTCTGGTAGACAAGGAGAATCATAGATTTTGCAAATCCTGGTTTCTCCTCTACCTTTGCGTAAATACAGTCTAGTTGTTGATGCGTGTGCCATTATGTTTCCTCCGACAGGTTTTTTAGGATCAGCAGCAAACATTGATGCTCCATCGACTTGAGCTACTACTTGATTAGTTATTACAACAGCAACTCCAAACTGAAAAAATTTGGATTAGTTAAAAAATATTTTTGTATATTCTGGAATTTTGATAATGTATATATTAACTATGTATTAGTGTATAACATTCCATCATTATCAAAATGGATAACAAAGTCGTTTGAAATTAAGAATACCTAATATAAATAGTATCAGTCAAGTGCTTTAATAAGAATTGTAATGTAGTCATTTATTGTGTAAAAACAAAATTTGACAGTATAATTGTTTTGGTGGACAAGTACCGAAACATCTAAAGTAACTTTTTATTAGTAATGTACATAATTGAATGTAAAACAAATGAGAACAATATTCAAATTTCATTGTAAAATAAATTCCTATTTTGTATACAACATAACTGGGGCATTGAGGAAAGTTATTGGTTGATTTCATTTCAAAAGGCTGAGCCAGTAAGGTGGTTGCATGCGGTCTGATTATTAAACATTTAAGACCAAAAAGCAAGACAAAAGTACAACTACTTAGAATGGTCCGAGTTCAATTCTGTAAAGATACGAGTTCTTTGGAAACTTTACTAAGTTATGTAGAAAACAGATTTTTGATGGTTTTAAGTCAAAAAATTTGGTTTAGATATTGAAAAAATTGCAAATTTTATTTATTTAGTTCCAAGAAACTGAAATTTTTAAATGAAAATCGGCTTCCCACATAACAATTAAGTAGCCAAAGAACTCGAATCCTCATTACAAAATTGAAATTGGACAATCCTATGTAGTCAAATGTTGTCTGGCTTTTAGGTGTAAAATAAACCTAAACGGCTTTTACTTATAGAAAAAATGATTTATATTAAAAATAATACCTTGACCTTATACAAATTAACCGGTAAATTAATTGACATGGTCGACATTTTTTTAAAACCTCTTTTTTTCTTAAATATTGTCTATAGAAAACTTCTTAAAAACAGAGCGCATGCAATCCCCATAAATAATTTAGATTTAAATTTGTAATATTATTAAATAGGATCAGAGAAATATATTATATTATAGTCTTATTTCTAACATAATCAAGTAAAAACAGATAGCAAGATAAAAATTACTTCTACATTTTTATAATAAAAATCTTACTTCATCGGCAAGACGCAACAACATTCTGAGAAATCTGGCCAAGTGATTTTGTCTTGCTGATAATTCTCCTCTGCCAGAATAATCAGTTCTGTACAAAGCCATAGAACTGTCTACAATTAACAATGCATACCTAGAAAGAATATATTTAAATTCTAAATTAAAAAGAAAAAATACTACTTCCAATTAATTATCATGAAAAAATAAATTAAAACAAAACCTGGATTCAACCATCATAGCACCAGCCTGCATTAACAATTGTGTTTGCTGATCTGAGTTATAAGCTCTTGCGTAAGCTACATTATCAAGAACATCACTCCCAGTCAATTTATAACGCTCAGCCACGGCAAGTAATCTTTCAGGTCGAAATGTACCTTCAGTGTCAATATATAAGCACTTTCCTTCACCACCATTTTGATCAATAGGTAGCTGGAATTATTATAATTGCATTTATTTATTTATTAAGAGAAAATAAAAATAAAAATGATTAAACAAAAATTATCGTCACGCAATATAATTATATAGCAACACTAAAATGGATCATATAGGTATCCAGTCCATTAATTGTCAAATTGAAAATGTGTTGTTCAATAAAAGAATATGGCGTAATCTATCTCTGCATATTTAAAATATAGAAGTTTAATCTGTAACAGCAAAAATGAGTTTAACCAGCAAATATGTAAATTAAAATACCCTAAAACATTGAGTAGAAAATTATCTCGGAACCAAAATTGAATAGATATAAGTTTAGTAAAAAATTTGATACAATTTATAAAAATAAAAACTTAACGAGTCATTTCAAAAAACTACAAAAAGTAATATTCACTCTTATAAACCCAAGGTACAGATTTATGAAAAATAATTTATTCATTTACCATTCATTTTTAATTTAAAAAAAATAATTACCTGACAGGTCACAGCTAACGTATGACATAATTGAGTTTTACCAGTTCTAAACTCTCCAAATATTTCTGTTATTGAACCTGTTTCAATACCTCCACCTAACAAACGGTCTAACTCTCTTGATCCTGTAGTCAACTGAATTATTTCTGAGCGTTTCTGGTGAAATTCTGTAGCAGTAGTAAATCCAATTGGAACCATTTTTGACGCTTCTGCCTGCCATATTAATTCAAATACATTTACTAACAACTTAAAAGATTAGACACATGGTTTCTATATAGATTTATTATTTACCAAAATTTTATCAGCTTTCGCTTCGCTTATGCCTTTGATTGTAATTAAATGTTTCTTTGTGGCAAAAGCTATGGATTCCATAGTATGATAACCGGCTTCTTGAAGTTTTTTAATATCGCCACTTGTAATTCCTTGACCCTTTATCGTAATAGTTAGTGATTAGCATAATTAAATAAATTTAAAAATTAAGATTTCACTATGTTTCTATAGAATAAAAAAAAACATTTATAAGGAAGGAACTATATATTATGATAAATTAAGTTGAAGGGTTTACAGATAAATTTCATTTATAAACAAAAATTAATTCTTTTAAAAAGAAATTAACAAATAAATAAAAAGCAGTACAGTGGGATCGAGGCATAGTGGAGATGGAACATATTGGGGCGGGGAGTTTACATGTCTATATGAATTGTTACAACTCAAAATGATAAAATCACTATCAAATAAGCTCCTTGATGCGAATCTATAATGGTAGAAATACAAATATTGATAAAAGCATTGTACCTAATGACAATTATGTGTTTAAAAATGTATTTTCAATATTATGGTGGATATTTTTAGGGTTGATCGTCCGTTTATAATAATTTATTGCTATAGTAGTTTTTTATTTCATTTTTTGTGAATCAAAGTTTATCGGTAGTACTATGTCTAAAAAATATGCAATACAAATTGGGGACTAATACAATTAAAAAATTTATTGTACGCCGTAATTTTAAGTTAAAAATATGTAAATTTTCTCGATTTTGAAGGGGAAGATGTGAATTTCTTATATTTTTGGCTCTGACAATACCTTTTTGGTTTTATTTCAGTTGCTTCATGAGAAATTGATTCAGCGGTTTAGAAAATATTGTGGATCCAGACACAAAAAAAATAATAATAATAACACATCATTGTAAAAAGAATAAAAAATACCTTTTCAGCTATGCATCGAAGATAAACTAAGTTTATTTTTGTTTACAACTATAAGCAATTAATCTAATGGAATAGGTTAAAGAGATTGTAAACAAAAAGTTCTATCAAACTTTTAAAAATTTGTTAACACTTTTTATTTCAAAAAAAGGAGATTAATAAAAAAAATGTTTATTTTGAATTTAAAATCTTACTTCTAATTTGGCTATTGGTTGTGGTCCATATTCTTCATTATCTTCTTCAGTTACCTGGACAGCAGCTGTATGTGAAGACTGAGCGGCTTGCATAGCCATTTTATTCTTCGATAGCTATAAAATGAATAATAAAAATGACTCATTTTTAACAATTGAAAATAAATTAAAGAAAACTATACAAAATTAAAAGAAATCATAATTTTCATGAACTCAATAGATCACAGACTTGATATATTATGTAATATATATTTTACATCCAATCATACAAATCAACTCCTCATAGTTTTAATAAGCATTAGTTACTTTCAGACTTAATAACCAACAAAAGAACCATATTATAACTTTTATTTTAACAGCTACAACAACTATAGTTATTGTAAGTTATGTATGATTAAGTGTTCATTTAACATTTAAGTTTAGAATTATAGGTTTGGTAGTGTAGGTTAGGCTTTGTCATTAAAATTCGCAGCTGTTTACCCAGCGACATTAGACAGAACATTACTCTATTAGCTGTTAACTCGAATTATAAAATGTCACACATTGATGAATTAATTATAAATAGTTAAATTTGTTTTTATTATTGAAATTTAAGATTAAAAAATGAACAAACTTATTTTTTTTTTCTAATTGCTATCATTATAAAATTGTATTTCAACTTTTTTAACATTGAAGTTCATACATGAAAATGTAAAGATAGGATGTTTTAATGATTGAATGATGAAATGTATTAACTGTTTTTATACCCTACACATATTTTTTATTGTTTGTCCAACATAACCACTTTTTAGCTATGCGGCATCTCATTATCCTACACAAAACAAAGCTCAGTGCATAAGTGAACCAAGTCCTTAGTTCATCTCAAAACCGCAAAATGACAACATGTCATTGTTATCCAAAAAACAATTTAGAAACCATTTACTGGACATCAGCTGTGATGGACTTGGCTCATTTATGTGCTGAAATCTCTATTTATTGATACAATTAAGAAAATATGAATGTTAAAAACATACTATTTACACCTAAATATAAGTATAAACGTTTTTTTAAAAATTTGATACCCACATACAATAGTTTTTAAAAACCAACTACATTATATTTAATCAGGTTAAAGCCTAATAGTTAAGACATATTAACGCTTGACCATATGTCACTTGGAGTATAATGCATCAATTATAACTATAATTTATTTATTTTAAAAATGTGATGGTTCAACAAATATGCCATACTATACGTAAAGATTATATACGACATAATTGAAAATTATTATGCTTAAGTACATTGTTATTGGTTTGTAAAAGATATTGGCCAACTAACATTTTATAAATTTTGTTTAATAGCTAAATCGAATATGTGACAAAAAAGACGTGTATTTTTCTACGTCAATAACTTCCAATGTGTTTATGTTCAACAAATGAACAATAACAAAAACATAACTATAGTAGTAAGGGTTTAATATACATTTGAAAACTTACCTAAAGAAAATCAATAAGTTTCAACTTGTAAAATGTATACTTAAATGCGCCAAATCCTGTCCAAAATAATACAAATCACAATGACTCTGGCCGTAGACGAATGAATACAGATTACAGATTACTAATTACAATAAACCTATATCTTGCAAAAAAGGTTTTATCATAATAAAACAGATAGGTTGACCAACAACTTGTGTTGTCAATTTTTACAAAATGTCTACCAGTTATTCCCCGTATAGATACACGGCCCCCCGTGACACCAGCAACCATTTTGCGATTATCACACGTTATTGATATACCTTGCTTCTTTGTTTTTTTTTTTGATAGTACTGTTGTGTACTCAAATTCAAATAATCAACGGATCCAGATGTGACAACGACTATTGGACAGAAAACGACAGATAACCAAAAGGGGAAACATCAAATAGTACAAAAAATCCAATTCCAACTTTTTCCATTTCGGTGTGTCATGATGTGTTATCATGACTTTTTGTTTGTAGTTTTCACCATAGACCTTTCTTTAAACATAGAAAAAACTAGAACAGAACCTAATGGCTATAAATAATAAAATAATATTTAGAACACCATAACATAACCATAAAATAATTCACTCCGCGTATACGTATTACAGCAATCGGCAACAATGTTGTCATCTTCAGCGCCAATGACAGATTCAGTCTATCTTTATAGGTCTATTCTTTTTGTCTTTTTTTTAAAAATAATTTTGATCTTAGCTATGTAATTGTTTTAAAAATACAAATGAAAGTTTATAATCTAATCTATATATTATATAAATCGCGAGACTGTGGCAGTTGATACTTTGTGCGCTTTAAAAATTTCAGGAAGATTGGATATGTTAGATACTGTCCTATGATCAGTAGATTTTCAAAAATATTTACCATAATAATTATAAAAAAAATAATGTTAAAATTCCATGTTATCTAAGCACTATTTAAACCGAATTTTAGTGTAATCGAAATTTGAAAATCAAAAGGCTCCATAACATATAACAGCCGTTTTCACAAAAAAAGAAAAGAAAAATGGTAAAAAGTTAATTATTAGATTATTGATTGTGAAAAAGTTTTTAGTGTTCAATTTCACAGGGTTTCTGTAGACCAAATTAACACGTTAATTTTACATTTTTCCGTTTTATGTATAACAGCAAAAAAACATGCTTTTCTAAAAAATAGTAAAAAGTGAACTAAAAAGTAAAAAATAATTTTTTACAAGAACAATTTACCAATCAATTGTAGTATATTTAATTAAAAATGTTAATTACTTTGAAAACAACTGAAAATTAACTAAAATTTAAAATAATGTTAAGCATCTTTAATTTTTGACTAAAAAGAAAAGCGTGGGCCCTATTCAACAGTTTTTTTTTTTTTTATTATATTTTAATTGTTTCAACATAATCTTGTTTTTACAATATATTAATTAATAAGTTACATAATTAGGTAGGCATAATAGAGTATTAAAATAATTTATAAATTATTTTAATTTAGCAAATTGTACATAAATTATGAGTTGTTTTAATTAGGTCATTAATCTGATGATACCGATGATGAAGATGACGATGATGATTCTGGAGGTAGTAAGATATCTTGTGGGAGACAACAACAAAGTCTAAATTCATTGAGTTAAGTATTATGAAATGTTTGTCACACACAAATATTGAATCAAATTTAAATTACAAAAGAACTTACAATATAAAACATTATCTGATAAATGTATAAAAAACTTTGTTGAATAGGGCCAACGCTTTTCTTTTTAGTCAAAAGTTAAAGATGTTTAACATTATTTTAAATTGTAGTTAATTTTCGGTTGTTTTCAAAGTAATTAACATTTTTAATTATATGTGCTACAATTGATTGGTAAATTGTTGTAGTCAAATTATTTTTTACTTTTTACTGTTTTTAAAAAAGTTTTTTTTTCTTTATTTATTTAATAATTGGTGAATAGATTACTAAATTCATTTTAGATTTGAAAAAAAAAATTAATTTTAGTGAAATAATCCCCATATTGACCTCCGGCATTTGTCACCTGGATGTCTGGGTCCCAATATTTTGACGGAACATTGTATTGTTATCCAAAATGAGTATCTGGGTTAAATTTCAGCCTTCTATGATATCAGGAAGTAGATTAAATTAATTTTGGAAGATTTAAAAAAACATGAAATTTTAGTGAAATGACCCCCACATTTGACCCTGTGTAGGGCGACGTAGATGTCCGAATCCTAATATGATTACAGGATATTGTATTGTCATTCGAGATGAGTGTCTGTGCCAAGTTTCAGCCCTCTACGATATTGGGAAGTGGGTTAAATTAATTTTGCAAGATTTGAAAATTACTTGTGCAAACGTACGTACGTAACAATTTTAATAATTTAATATTAGGTAGTATACAGTTAAGCCTTGTATAAGAGGTGTGAAGTTATTCTTAGTAAATTAACCACAATAGGTCATTGCTTTTTAAAAATGTAATCTTAGTTGCACTTGAGTCTATGTGTAATGTGTATGCATAAGCGGAAATTCATTAACTTTTAATTTAACAATTGAAAATTTTGGTTTTTTTTTTAATAAGCGAGTACAGTTTGACAGGTTAAAAACGATGATTACCAAATTCTGTACTTAGTTTTTTTTACATATATAATTTTTTTATAATAGATAAATCAATTAAATTTAAATATTTAAGTTGAATTTATTATTCTTATAAAAAGAACTAGTTATGTAACTCAAAAATAAAGTATTTAAGTAATAATTAAAATTGTGAATTCAAAAAGAATATTACAATTTACTATTAGGTTAATAAATTTAATTATGTTTCAACTCAATAGGATGAGTGGGATTTTAATTATAAATTAATGTGAATTGTCAACAAATTTTTTTCTTCAAAATTAATTTAAAACTTGTTTTTAAAGAAAAAAATTGTTACCTGGCATTCCAATCCAATTATCATGTTATTATATAAACTACCAAATATTAAAAATAAGGAACTTTGTTCCAAAAACCCTCAAAATTTTGACTTGTTTCTACACTGTAATTTTCACACCTTGATATTTTGTTATTTAGTACAGGAATAGAAACTAAATAAATTAAAAACAATGTCAACAAAACTATGGTTTGTTGTATAATATGTTTAATTAAATAGGAACAGACCTCTTTGAAGTATGTAACTCCAAGCAAACTTACAAACGCAAATCTTAATTTGTTTAAATTGAATAATTTGTATACATAAAAAATGCGCTGCAGAAAAAGTTTGAAGTAAAAAAATAAAAGATAGACAAATCAGTCTTAACAATAAACATAATAAAAATAAAAACAAATTGGATTAATTTTTACAAAACAATTCCTATTTTTTTTATTGTTATTATTTTGAAAAAATTAATCGACTTCTTCCATGCGTGATGAGTCTTCAGCATCAGCGTCAATGACTGGTGTGGCTTCAACATCAGCTGATTTCTCTTCAACGACCGGTAAATCTTCATCGATACCCAAACCCAATTTGATCATTCTGTGTATTCTAGAAGCATGGACTTGTGGGTCTTCAAGTCCAAAACCAGAAGATAACAAGCTGGTTTCGAACAAAAGCATGACCAAGTCTCGAACAGCCTTGTCGTTCGAGTCTGCTTCGGCTTTTTGTCTGAGAGTCTCGATGATTGGATGTTCGGGATTGATTTCCAAGTGTTTCTTTGCAGACATGTAGCCCATGGTGGAGGAGTCCCGGAGTGCTTGGGCCTTCATGATACGTTCCATATTCGCAGTCCATCCATATTGAGAAGTGACGATACAACAAGGCGACTCAACCAATCTGTTACTAATGACGACCTTTTCAACTTTCTTGTCCAAGATGTCCTTAACAACTTTGCACAATTTTTCAAACTTGGCTTGGTCTTCTTCATGTTTTTTCTTTTCCTCGTCTGTTTCAGGCAGGTCCAATCCTTCTTTGGTGACAGATACCAAGTTCTTGCCATCATACTCTTTCATTTGCTGTACGACGTACTCATCAATGGGCTCAGTCATGTATATGACTTCAAAGCCACGCTTCTTCACAAGTTCGACGAATGAAGAATTAGATACTTGTTCGCGACTTTCACCGGTGATGTAGTAAATGTGAGTTTGGTTTTGCTTCATGCGGGCAACATAGTCCTTCAATGAGCAAATATCGTCACCAGTGACTGAAGTGTGGAACCTCAACAAGTCAGACAGTTTCTTTCTGTTTTGGCTGTCTTCGTGGATTCCAAGTTTCAAGTTCTTGCTGAACTGTTCATACAACTTTTTGTAGTTGTCCTTGTCTTCGGCCAACTCCTCGAACAATTCCAAACACTTCTTTACCAAGTTCTTCCTAATGACTTTGAGAATCTTGTTTTGTTGGAGCATTTCACGAGAAATGTTCAATGGCAAATCTTCACTGTCTACAACACCCTTGATAAAGTTCAAGTACTCCGGCATGAGGTCTTCGCAGTTGTCCATAATGAACACACGACGCACATACAACTTAATGTTATTCTTCTTCTTCTTGTTTTCAAACATATCGTAAGGCGCGCGCTTGGGGATGAACAACAAAGCTCTGAATTCCAGTTGTCCTTCAACGGAAAAATGTTTGACAGCCAAATGATCTTCCCAGTCATTTGTTAAAGACTTGTAGAATTCACCGTACTCATCTTGGCTGATGTCATCTGGGTTACGTGTCCAGATGGGTTTGGTCTTGTTCAGCACTTCTTCATCCAAATACTTTTCTTTAATTGTCTTCTTTTTCTTCTTATCTTTTTCTTCGTCTTTCTTGTCTTCATCTTCATCTTCACCGACATCTTCAATCTTTGGTTTCTTGTCTTCTTCGGTTTCGTCGTCCTTCTTTTCTTCCTCAGCTTCGTCGTCACTCACTTCTTTGTCGCGTTCGTTCTCAACAACCAATTTAATCGGATAGCCAATGAACTGAGAGTGTTTCTTAATGATACCAGTGACTTTTTCTTGTTGAAGGAATTCACTTTGGTCCTCTTTGATGTGAAGGACAATTTTGGTACCACGGCCGAGAGGTTCACCAGGGTCTGGACGAATAGTAAAAGAGCCTCCAGCAGCTGACTCCCACAAGTATTGTTCGTCATCATTGTGTTTAGAAACGACTGTGACTTTGTCAGCAACTAGGTAAGCAGAATAGAAACCAACACCAAATTGACCAATCATGGAAATGTCGGCACCAGCTTGCAACGCTTCCATGAATGCCTTGGTTCCAGATTTGGCAATGGTTCCTAAGTTGTTGACAAGATCAGCTTTTGTCATACCAATACCGCTATAAAAAATGTATTAAAAAAAAAAAATTAATACACAACATATTAATAATTATATTATTAAAAAAGTAACACTTACGTGTCAATAATGGTTAAAGTTTTTTCTTCCTGGTTAGGGATGATCTTGATGTACATTTCCTTGTTGGATTCCAATTTGGACGGGTCAGTCAAAGACTCATAACGAATCTTGTCCAATGCATCAGAAGAATTAGATACCAATTCTCGCAAGAATATTTCTTTGTTGGAATAGAATGTATTAATGATGAGAGACATGAGCTGAGCAATCTCAGCTTGGAAAGCGAAAGTTTCCACATCTTCGGTTTGAGACATTGTTACGTCTTCAGGCATCTGTAACAAAAAGAATTATTTATACTTGTTACAAAATTAATTTTGAGTATTAACTATTTATAAATATTTTATATTAATACTTCTGAACAATAAAATTAAAAATGAAATGATATTTGCTTGCACATGCCACTGTACTTGCTTACTAGTAGAGATATTTGTTGATAAATTTAAGGTACTTGTATGTTATCGCGACTACCTGAATAAGCGGTAGACTACCAATGGGCGTCACAATTCAGTGATCGAGACTACCGAAGAAGAATGCCATAATACTATACAATAATTTAAGGAACAAATGTACTTTACCGGACACTTTTTTTTTGCCATATAATAGTGTTTTTTACGACAATTACGAATCTGAAGTAAAAATTAGGCGGACTCCGTTAGTTCAAAAGTTATAGCTAGTTGAAATTTGTATATTTCCCCTATGTAACAGTACGCGGTGGCGGCTAAGCCATGCAGCGCCATCGGCGGCGATAACTGATAAGGACTGCAGGTCTCAGAGTGTTTTGGCTCTAGCTTGGCACCGTCGCTTCGCTCCGCTAACTAAAAATATCCTAGGTTTGCAGGCTACAGTCTAGGAGGAGATCACAGGTTTACAGTAAAGTGGGTTTAACTCTTTCCGGCATGGTGGGATTACAGTTGTCCCACATAAAAATTCACCTTTGCGGCATGGTGGGACAAATAATATACCACATATTATATTATTTTTCTAAATTTTATTTATCTCGTTTTCGTTTATTTTTAGCATTTTTCATACGACCGTGTGTCTATAGAATATTAATAAGTAACGCCGATTTGTCCTGTCTGTATTGAACAAAAGGCATCGGCATAAACACATATTTTTTTTTCCCAGAAAATTTTCAAAACTTATTTTGTTATTTGTGAGGGAAATAATCAACCGATTTGAATGTTCTTTTTTATGTTCGTTTCCATATTAGGTTGTTTATAATTAATGGTATAAAAGTATATTGATATGAAAAAAAAATACTTGATGCGAATGTTGTGCGCACAGTATGTGCGGTGGGAAATACGTAATCCCACATACTGTAACTCCTAGACTTTGCCACTAATTTTTTTTTTTTTTAATATTATTTTTAATGCATATGTAAGTACAAATCAACGAAAAAAAAAATTTTAAATTTAAGTATCCATGCATCTTGGGTATAGAAATTTTGAAATCTCTTGTGCATGAAAGAGTTAAAACGGCTCTAGAAGCCTTGTCACTTCCGGCAAAATAAAAAACCCACGAAAGGCACATAGGAAAAATATGCAAATTTAAACTAACTAAACTTTTGAACTAACAAAGTCTGCCTAATTACGACTTCAGATTCATAATCAGCGTAAAAAGGTATACTTATACCAATAAAATATTAGGTTATTATTATTTTAATTTTTTTAACTATATTAATAATTTTATTTAGCGCCTATAATTATTATTCTCAACATTTAAATATGAAACTTATTATTACTACATAAGAGTTCAAGTAGCTATAAGTTTTTAGCTATAGCTAAATATTACTATAAATAAAAAATCTAAAAAATATCAATAATAAAGGTGCACGATGATAAAGTAAACTTGTTCCATAATTTTATTTAAGTAAGTAACTCATTATTTTTTTACATTTTAGTTTGGAGCAACTCTCGTCGATAAACAAAGTTTAATAGTAAAAATTATAAATTAAAAAAAAAAACAATAAACGGTACTATCAGTAATTTCACTACAGTAATTAACAATTTGTCGTTAGCTTAAGTAAATTACACTTCTTTTTTTAAATATCAGCTACTTCAATCAAAATGATGGAAACCACGTGACGAACGAAATTGTTTTATTACGTACAGATCGTCAATCAATTGGAAAATAATATTGTTAATAAAAAAAAAACTAGGTAGGTAAAATAAATAAATTAATATATAAATGTTGAAATGGATACTTACAGTGTTTGTCTTGATTGTAATGGAACAAAAAAATAAATAACAATTTGATCGTATACGAATTAGCGCAAAATTGAACAGCGACTAATCGCAGTGGTTGCACAACGGTTGCTTGCGAATGAACGATGAATTCAGAAATGAGAAATGACAGAGTATTAGTTGGTGCACTCACTTTTATAATTTTCCGTTGGCGGTCACCGGTTCGCGTGCGTTCTTTGTCGCGGCTGTAGGTGGGCAGCGTTAGTCAAGGGGTGCGAATTGCGATGCGCAACACTCGACGTAAATTGCCAACGGTGAGCCGGCAATATGGTCCGCGGTGTGCACCGGTTCGACGAAGCGCGAAAACCGCGGCCACCGCCCGATTTGACCAACTCCATACCGACTTGCGTTTCCCGGCCGCCGACCGGCTTCGAGAATGTTCTAAAACATTCTATGTCTGTCGGCCGCCGGCCGGCTTTGTGTGTCGTGCATACAGAGCGTTATAAAAAAAACCAATAATTTGCGGTTTCAATACAAATTACAAACCACATTTGACATTTTCCACTAATCAGTCAATAAACGTATATAATTTATACATTTTCTCTCAAAATACTTGTTTTACACATTTATCAAAATGTTCGACTTGTCCTAATCAACAAGAATATTAAGCTGGGAAATCTGATTTACAAAGTTAAAATTTTCAAATTTTGATATTTATACTTATGAGTTATGTTACATAAAGCAACGATACTTTAATACAAAAAAAGTTTCAAGTTATATGTATCGAAAATTCATTGATGCAGTTAATGCGGTTTCCAAACTTTTACGGCTACGGTACCCTTAAAAATAGTAGGTGCTCCAACTCTAACTAAACACCAATTTGTCAACTATTAACTAAAAATTTACATTTAAACTAAAAACAACATTTTAAAATCAAAATTTTGTTATTATTTTATTAATAAACACTTTTATTTTAAGAAGGATCTTAAAAAATGAATAATTTTTATATTTCATATGTGAAGAATAAAATTGTTTCATTGTTTGACTTATAATAGTTTTAAAATTTGGTATTATAACTGACAGCTTAATTCGTAAGTCTGGATCCAATTTATTTCTATAGTTGTTCTTAGTGTAAGCATAAGCGGAAAAAACCATTATCACAAATGGTAGTAGAGTATAAGATAGCTTTTTCAGCTACTGATGGGTATTTGTCCCTAAATACAATCCAAAAAAAATTGAAAGATAAGGCTTCAAATTTATTTTTTAAGGATGACGATCTTTGAATTTTGATAAGGTTTTCATATTCGAGTACAGATAACATGAATGGTATTTATCAATTCACAAAAAATGTTTGTATCCAATCGATGTCATTATTAGTATCTGAAAATTATTCTAACAATTTTTTGAGATTATGTTCACAAATATTTTATCTTACATTAATTGTTAATGGCAACTCGTTTTCCTTTAGAAATTCCATCCATAGAGGAAAGCATTCAAGCTCTTTGTCTTTTACATACGTGATCCAAAAATTAAGTTTAGTTTTAAATTATTCATTTCGCCTTTAACTATAAACGTAGTCATTGCTTTTCCTTGCATTTATAATTTATATTTTCATAACAAATACTTGAAATTTTCATAAGGTGTGTGCCTTGTGATTCCCTTATCCCTAAGAACCCTTGTGATTATCGCGTGAAATCCTTAGGTTCCGCAGAACACACTATATGAATGGCTGAACTAGTGAATCAAATTACATTACGATAGCAAAAATGCTTTTTGAAACTGTTATTATGGTCAAAACATATTAGTTTTTGATTTCTAATTGTGTTCATACAATGTAAAAAATATGTTTTGACTGGTACATGTAATAATAAAATCCATAACAATTAGCGACAGACGTTTTTTGAAGTTAATGCTTGTTAAAAACAACTTATAATTTAAGTCTAACCTTAGTTATAGATTACAGTACATTATATTTATAAATATTCAACATCATTTGCTGTCTTGGACGTTTATACAATATTATTGTCAAACTAAGTACAAATAATACAACATAATACACAGTCAAAATCATCTTGTTAGTTGTTTTTACGCCAGTACCAAAACTTTTCATAACCGGCCACTAATTTTGAATTTTAAATCAACGAATAGAGATGTGTCTTTCCAGCCATAATACTCAATAATAGTTATTGCCTATTATTAATTTGAATTGGCTGAAATTAGGGTGTTTCTCAAAGGAATTACACTGTTTGCAGAAACAACATAGGACGGAACTATATATTGGTGTTTGAGGGTTCTCTTGTAAACCGTAAACGCCAAATCCAAATCCCTATTTAGAAGTTATCAATATATTTAGTATTTTGTGATAACGATAAGATAAACATTATGCTGATAAGTGATAACCGATGGTTATTAATTTTGAGTTTCCGATTGCTGAGTTGCTTACAGAATATGAATTAAATTTGTAAAATCATTTTCAAGTTAATTTTTCGATGAGGAAATTCATTGTGTAAAAATTACATGGTTAATTCATTATTTACTTATTTTTCTCTTATATTTTCGTGACATATTTTTTTTATTTAACTAAACCCTCCAAAATGATGCAACAGTATATGAAAGAAATGGAACAGGTAAAAATATAGGTTGCTTTGTAATTTCTTACAACATATTATTCATACAATTGTTTTTAATAGGATCCATATGATCCTGATGAGTTTGTTGAACGTTTGGCCTATCGAGTATTTGGAAATAGTGCTGATTGTGATAACATTCTAGTAGATGAAGTACAGGAAACGTTTGTTCAAGCCATAAAGTATTACAAATTGTTGTTTATCTTTCAATATTATAAAATGTTTTATTTATTTATATAATTTTCATTCTATTTAGAGATTTGAAATTTTTACAAGAACGTCAAAAGAAAAAATGTGAAAAACTAGAACGAGTTTGTCGTGATAAAGAATCTTTATATTTTGGACAAATTCAAAGTCTTCAAGAACAAAATAAAGTATTTTTAATAATTTAATTTTATGCTTTTGTAGCTTATTGTTGACGTCAAGTATTTTTCATAGGCAGGAATTATAGCATTTCAAAATTTAGATGAAAGAATAAACTATGTAGCAACTAAAGTTATTCATGTTGGCGATCAACTTGAGTCAATTAATACTCCACGTTCAAGAGCTGTGCAAGTTCATAAGCTTATTGGGTATCTATCTGAGTTCATGTCTGCTGGTCCCTTGTCAGTAGATATTTTTAATGATCCAACAAAAGTAAACCATCAAATTCATACTAATTTTAGTTCTTAAAAAAAAAACACCTAGTTACAATATAGTTGTTTAATTTTACAGGTTGATGAAGCTGCTGATGTGATACAAAAACTATTTCCCATAGCCCAAGAGCTGCCTCCTGGCAGGTGAGTTACTTAAAAGTACACAGTATGCAAATTAAACCTAAATACTGTTATATTTTTATCAGATACGAAGAAGCAAAAATGAAAATAGCAAAAAAATATGATGAGATTGAACGTTTGCTAATTGAGGAATTTATTAGACATCATTCACGAAAAAACTTGACTCGTATGAAAGAAGTTGCTTCAATATTAACTCATTTCAAAGGGTATTCTCAATGTGTAGATGCATTTATTGAATACAGTCAAGCGGTACTAACATACATAATTTTATTATATTATATATGAGTTATTTAACCAAGTACTTCTTATTGCAATCTCAAAATGTATGTTTGACAATCTAAAAATTAAAAAAAAATTGTTTTATTAGAACTCGCTTTCTGGGAAAAATTTGTTTGCTGATATAGTTCCTGTATGCGAGGAAAATCTACAAATCATCGCAGAAGTATTTTCTAATCCTGATCAAGTTATGGCTAAATTTGTTTTAAACATATATCAGCTCAAACTCCAGGTAAATTGTCCTAGAACATTTAATCGATCAACTAGTGTTTAGTTCTATTGAATATAGTTTTGAGTAAAAAAAAATGATGTTAAAACAATTATAAAACTATTTACAGAATCATATTGCTACAGTATTATCTGAAGAAAAGGGTACTGCAAGTTTTTTAGAAAAGCTTTCTCAGCTACATAAAAAGTAAATTTCTAACTTTTTGTTTTTAACATTTATTTACTTATTTTTATTTTTTTAGAACTTCCATATTATCAAAGAATCTTTCACATTTCAATCTAGGCAATGACGATATGTTTTTAAATAAACTACAGCATAATATATTTCAGAAGTACTTGGATTCATATTTTAGGTACCATATTTTAATGTTCTTAAAAATTATGTATTAATGTAATTTAATTATTGTCCTTTACATTTTATAGTTCTGAAATAAAGAATCTCAAAGATAAATGTTTAACAATGTTGCAAAAATTTTACGAATCTAAGGGTCATCAGAAAAAACAAATTCAAGCTGGAGGGTATTATTGACATACAACAAATAATATATTATATAATATTTATTAGAATTTTTGGTTGAGTGGCTAAACAAACATTTCGTACTTGAAATTAGGGTTCAACTCTCTAGTAACTATGTGATTTTGCTACAAGATCATTTTCTATGATTTGATGATACAATTAAATAAAAGTTTTTTATATTTATGTCCATAGTTTATTTATTATTATAGGTTAAACTTTTTTCAGATTTCAGGAGTTACGTAGAGATTTGCAAACCGTTATCAGTACACGAGCAAACTTCAACATTATGCGCATTGAAAATTATGGCGGTGAAACATTTTTATCAGAAGATGTAGCCGCATTGTTACTACAAGAATTCAATCATGCACTGGATAGGTGTTGTACGGTAATTTTTTTTCTTTTTAATTATATTGTATATAAGTAGATTTCAGAATATACTTATTTATTATTAACTTAATAATTTTTAATTAAAATATACAATTTTGTAGCTTTCTCCCTCGTCTGATATTCCTTCAAACTGTTTTCAAATATTTGAAGTATTAACGACTTATTTGATTGAAGAGTATGTGGACTATGGGTTAGAATTAGCAATACAGTCGGTGCCAATTCCAGAAGCTAAAACTCACGATCCCCCAAATGTTTACTTCTTCGATGTAGCAAAACAAGTTAATACAATAATTATTTTATTAGAAAAACAGTTTTCAGATATATTGGTTCCTTTAATTATGTGTGTATATCATTTTTCAAGTTATTTTATTGTAGATTTTGTTTAAATGTAGTAATCATTTTCATATGTTACTTTAGAACAACTCCTAAGTATTCACAGTGTAATAGTTTAAAGAAAAAGCAATTGGAACAAACGGAATCTAAGATTGATTTTGGTCTCGACAGGTTAGAATAACAAAATATTTTCTGTTTTCCATTATACACTCCTTAACTAGTTTATTTGTCTAGATCATTAAATGCAATCACAGGATGGATAAAAATATGTCTTGCAACTGAACAAAAAAAAACTGATTTCAGGCCGGAAACTGATATTGACACCATGACATCTGTTGTGAGTTAATCAAATATTTTATTTAAAAAAAAAAATTGAATTGCTTTTGTAATAAAACATTATAGCACACTATATAATATATATATACATACAAGAAAATAACAATAGGTTTTTAAGATTTACATTTATTGAAATGAGAAAACCAGCATTTAAAATATAGGACATTAGAAAAGAAATAACGTTAAGGGAATGAGAATTAAGAAGAAGTTAAATATAGTAAAAATTTAACCAATGGGGGAGAAGAGAGAAAAAAGAAAGTTACGACTGGAAGGAGAGAGGGACATTTGAAAAGGATATGTGATACATCACAATTCATATCCAACAGGTGCAAAAGACTAAGAGAGGAAAAATTAAGTGAGAGACAATAGCAATGGGAAGGTAGCAAATTGTGACCAGTGCGTGACCAATAGAAGGCAACTATAAGATGTCTAAGGATGTCCTGACCCCAGAACCACGAACGAGTTGTAAATGAAGGTGAAATATTTCTATGTCATGAAGAGTAATTAGGTGGGACTAAATTTGTTTGTTCTTTACAATATTTTGTGTGTAGTTCACTATTAGTATAATATGTAGTAATAGTATTACATTTTTTTAACATATTTCAGGCTTGTAAATGTGTAGTTCAATATTTAAATAGTAATATCAAACACATACGTCAGTGTCTTGACGTAAAGAATGCTGATCTAGTATTGGCTGAACTTGGAGTCAGATTTCATCGTGTAATATACGAACATTTGTTACAATATACTTACAACTCAGCTGGTAATATTTTAATATTTTTCTTTTAAATTGAAAACATGTAAGTGGTATATGTCATTATTTTTAGGTGCTATGTGTGCAATTTGTGATGTAAATGAGTACAGAAAATGTGTGAAAGATTTAGGCTCGCCTCTAGTAATCAACTTGTTTGATACATTACATGCTTTATGTAATTTGTTGCTAGTGAAACATGAAAATTTAAAACAAGTTTGTTACGGTGATACACTGGTAAATACTTAATATAATTATTCTAAAAATGATTAATTATTATACATTAACATAATTATAAACAATTTGAATACAGGTTGGTTTGGATTATTCAATTTTAAGTAATTTCATACAACTACGCAGTGACTTTAAATCACAAAAGTTATCGGCATTGTTAAAAAATTTGACATCTAGATGATATCCAATGGTATTACAATACAACCAAATTGCTTGACTTCATTACACTATACACAATGTAATAACTGGAGATTTACTTTTGGTGTTGAAAGTTATAATAAATTCATAGGTATAAATAATTTATTCTGTTACACTGTTAAATATTATTTGGTTATGGCCAATAATTCAGATCAATATAAGGATTGACATTTGTAATTTATAAATGATAAAAAGTAATTCAAACTAATGTCTTTAACAATATTTTATATTTTGCTACAAAAATGTTAATACTACATCAACATTGTGTCTACTTTAAAAAGAAACAAAAACATTTGTCTAGTTTAAAACTGCAAGTAATTTGTTTTTAATATTTATTTTAAAATAACATAAAGACATGTGGTTTTGTCAATGGTATAGTTGATAATATGTAGCATTTTATAATAATATATATATATAATTAAAAGTTTTGCATATATTATATGTTATCTTACTTGTGCCATTTTTATAAGTAGTTAACAAAATGTAATATAATATATATATATATTTTTATACACCTTAGAAATGTTTTATATTTATTCATTAATTTTAATATAAACATTAAAAAAAGATGTGTACAGTGTACATGATAATCTTTATAATATTGTTTAATGGTAACCGATCAATTTGTATTTATACAATATGTATGTATAAATAGTTTAGAATTTCACTTTTGTTCTATTATTGTTAAACAAAAATATAATTATATTGCAGCCGTTATTATTTTATAATGTATTTTTTATTTACTTATGACAAGTTAAGATAAATATTCTTTATAAAGTTTTTAGCATGAAACCTTAAAATTTAAGCATGAGAAACCCACTAACCTATAATATAACATATGTATTATTTTTCTATATACATTTGTTTTAAGTTTTTTTTTTACAGCACTAAATTGTTCATACTTCATTCTAATATAAGAGTTTAAAAAATATACATGTTTATCAGGTCGATTGTTTCATCATGGACCAGTCAATATCTCACTGGGTTTAATTAATAATTTAATAATTTTTTTATAATGTTTTTATAAAACGTGATATCAATTTTTCACAATTATTTTTGTTTTCACCCCATTTTCGACTTAGTTTTTTTGATAGCAACTTTTAAACCGTAAATGGTAACGTATATATTTTATTAACTTTTTAAATTGAGAATAATGTTCTAAAAATGTTGACTGGTCGATAACCAGTTTCGGACAACTATTTTTAAAGATATAAGATTTCAAAAGTTAAGATGGGAGGGGAAGTGCGGTTGGTAAATGCGCACAAATAAAAATACACTTCACCTTTACTCCTGCCCTAAACTTGAAACTTCAATAACTTCAAAAATAGTTATCTAAAATTGGTTATCGACCAGTCAACATTTTTAGTACATTATTCTCAATTTAAAAAGTTAATAAAATATATACGTTACCATTTACGGTTTAAAAGTTGCCATCAAAAAAACTAAGTTGAAATGGGGTGAAAACAAAAAAAATTGTGAAAAATTGATATCACGTTTTATAAAAACACAAAAAAAAATTTAATTATTAATGAAACCCATTGAGATATTGACTGGTTTATGATAAAAGGATCACCTGTATATATATTTTTTTTTGCCTTTCCCAAGCCAATTTTCTATACTTAATTTTTTTTTTTATTGAGTTAATAAATTATTATCACAAACCTATACTTATTAAAATAGTATATCTAATCAAATTTAATGTAGGGCGGTAGATGTTTATGTTAGACACGATTATAATATTATTTTTAACCAATACAATTTTAGACGAGTAAACAAATTACCATAGGACAAGTACTTAAATATTTTATGAGCCACAATGTAAAGAACTACAACGACTTGAATAGCTCAAAATCAATTTTTTTAATATATATATATATATATTTTTTTTTTTTGTTCTTTAGAAGGAGTATATAATAATATTTGTTGAATATCTATTAATACTTAAAAAAGTAAACTGACTTGGATAGGCCTACAATTTTTAACTTACTTTTATATTATAAATGAACAACTTAGAGCAAAATTTTTAAAAATATATATTTTTAGAACATCTTAATAACTACTAATTAAGAATTAAATTTTAAATCGATCAAGTTATGGTTTTTTAATTAATTAAAAACAGAGTATCAATTAACAATCTTAAAGATATCGCCGGAGTTTAACAAAATATTGATAATAGGTATTTGTCAACTTAGCTACAGCTATACAATGTAGGTATATTATGATCTAGACTCTAGAGTCTAGAATATTTAAAATTAATTTTTAAGTGTTTAAATGTGGAGGATCTACCTAATCGTTCCTGAATATAATCGTCATAAATTACAGAAAATTAATCCCTGGAAAAAATGCACCGAAAATAAATTCATTTACCAAGGAAAAAAAATTCCTATAACGAAATTTAACTAACGATTATATAACACTAAACTATTGTATATCTTAATCTTCATTTAAAATGTTTTTACGTTAAAAGTGTTGTTCCTCTATTGTCGCAAATATAAAAATTCGATACGATTGAATTTAATACAGACTCCTACTCTAAACCTTAGTATAAAAGTTTGTGAAATGAATTATTATTTTCAATTATAATTTTATTAATTTATTGTTAAACGTTTCAGCGTTGTGAAAATAATTATACGACGTACTGTAGATATATACATTAATGATAGATTAATTAAACTAAAATAAATTAGCTATCGTTAATATAAGATGTCGCCTGTCGGGTGATTTATTTTCTTCTTATCAATTAATCGACATGAACTATTAAGTGAACACTGGGATAATGATGTGCCAAATCGATTATTTATAATCAATGGTTATTACCTATATGTAATTTTGATACAATTTTCTCGCCTTCATTCAATGGGTTTTCAATATTAATGGGTGAAATGATCGAGAGTCGGTGATACACGACTTGCGAGAGGATATTAAACGCATATATTTTCCCTTCGTCATAATAAAATAACAATTCGCGACTATGTTAACTGTAAAAACATTTCCTTGTTCATTTACAATCTACATCGTTTAATTTTTTTATTAGTTTCTACAATAGGCATCTACGCTTATTTATGAGTTGTTTTATTAGCTATTACAATACCTATTTGAATATCCTCGCCTTCGTCTATAATTCAATCGTTATCTATTTTAACATAAAACTATAAGCAGTGTTTTTTCATTAGAAAAATAAATACTTTTATTAAAGAATATTTATAAATACCTATAATAGTATAATTCAATGGAAAATAAATAACATTCAAAAGCTTATCAAATTATAATTTCATTTACTATTTGATCAATATAATATATTTTGTAAGTAACTTTATTTAAAAAAGTACAGCAAACTGCTCAGGCTGTGAGTTACCTACCTTCAAAACACAATTTACCTTTCAATACATCAAAATTACGATTTAAAAACAGTAGTACTAATAAAATGTATACACGAATTAAATTATAAACAAATAAATGAATTACATAGAACACGAAAATAGTTGAAAATTCAGAACATAAAGTATGAGTAAATGCAAAATAATATTTCATAGTTTGAATATAAATGAAAATTAATTATGTACAATGTATCTTGCAATACAGACAGAAATAGAACCTAAACCAGAGTAGGAAAATTTCCCAATCTTCTACGTTATACAGACGGCTTAAACTTGGGGTACACGGGATATACCTTTATGGCTTTCATCGCTTCAATATGATTATAATAATTAAACTAGTATTTGCTTGATAGCTTCATAAGCGAAAATTTGGTGTAACTGCAGTTTAGTAACCTGTATAATTACCACATCTCGTGGCTATGACCGGTGATACTTATAACACAAATTTGTAAATATTTTGTATTATTTATTATACAGAGTTATAATCATATATGTATAAAAATAAGCTTTGGGGAGATTCATTTCTTCTTTCTCATCCCCTTTTTATATTTTATACAAACCCGAAACTTGAATAAATATTATTTTAAACACAAATGTTGGTTACAATTCTATCGAAATTAGGATATTTAAAATATATTAAAAATAAACGCTGTAATGGCCGAATAAAAAATGAAACAACTGTTATTTATTTGTGTTTGTGGGTAATTTTAACTTATAACTTTATTTAAATCTAGTTCTTAAAATATTTAGGAAGTAGGTAATTTTAAACTCGATGAAATCATTAGCAATGACTAATGTTTTCATCAAGTTTATAATTTTAATTACCTAGGTAATAACTTAAACATAGTGAATATTATTAGTAAATATTATTATATTTATACCTATAGACTATGTAGGATCTACAATGTATAGTTGGTAGGTGAATAAGTTCTTCATTCGAACATATAAATTCTTCTATTATTAAAATTATTTGAAGAGATTGCATGCGTTCTGTTTTTACGAAGTTTTGAAAAGAGAATAATTAAGAAAAAAGATGTTTTAATACATTTCGACTATGTCAATTAATTTACCGGTTAATTTGTATAAGCTTAAGGTATTATTTTTAATTTAAATAATTTTTTTCTTTAAGTAAAATAATTTTGGTTTATTTTAGACCAAAATGTAGGTTAGGTATATAGGACTGTCCAATTTTAATTTTGTGATGAAATTCGAGTTTTTTGGCTACTTTACTGTAAAGTGGATGCCGATTTTCATTTAAAAATTTCAGTTTCTTGTAATTAAACAAATTAAATTTGCAATTTTTTCAATATTAAAACCCAACTTTTTTATATAAAAAAAAATTAAAATTAAAAATTTTTTTACTACATAACCTAGTAAAGTTTCCAAAGAACTTTACGCAATTGAAATCGGACCATCCTAAGAAGCTACATTTTGTTCTAAAATAAACCAACAAATTATTTAGATTAAAAATAAACGCCAGGAAAACAGACCGCATGCAATCTTCTTAAGCTAGTTTTTAAAATTGTATCTGTAGGTAATTCACAGAAAACGCTGTATAGCCTGTAATCATGTATTATCACATTCGTGATTCTGTATTTAATAAAAATAATCTTGAGTACTTTTACTTTTTGATACTAGTGGCTAGCCTAGAGTTGTTGCCTGTTACCAGGCGCACTACCAGCAGCGAGCAGATATAAACACGTAGGCGGAAATCCATTAAAATTTAAGGGGGTTACATTTTTAACATCAATGCGAGTCAAAAAAATGTAGGGGCTAATGAAATATTTGCTAAGCCTCCCCCCCCATTTCCGGCTATGCTGATCAACATGCGCCCGTCATGGGAGTGGTCAATGGTCATAAACTGACGGGTGGTTTTCCGGACAGGTGCGCGGCGGTTCCCGGTGACCCGGTCCGCTAGCGCCTTTAACGAATGAGAGGGTGTGGGAGAGCGGGAGTCGAGGGCGAAGAGTGGCGGAATCCGGAGGTTTACATTCGGGTCAGGCGGCTGTGCGCATAGGCTGTCGTGTGATTCCATTCGCCGACGTCCTTATCTGTTTTTCTCGCGCGCGCGCTTCCCCGTCTTACCGCTGTCCGCTACACCTGCGACGGTTGCTAGTGATTAGCGGGTGAGTGGTAACCATAGACCGATTGTGTGTGTGTGTGTATATGTGTACAGTAATACGCGGCTGAATATTGCGATGCGCGAATTCCTCCGGGCGCACCGTCGTCGTGAAAAATACTTGATACTGTTATTATTGTGATTGTGGTATAAACAATTGTTATTGTAGTTTGTGCGGTTGACATCACTCGGTCACCACTCACCACCGCCACGGCCTTCGCGTCAACGTTCATAATAATTGTAATATTATCCGTGTGCTGTGTACCTAACACAAATTGTTCTTACCCGCCAGACCGCTGTTGCTCGGCTATTCCGTTTAGCTAGATATCCGGATGGTGCTTGGGCGCATCATTTCTAAATTGTCTACCTTGTCCACCCCTGAGACGGTACCCCCATATACATAAGAACATCAACCTTATAGCTATTTTCATTGTTGTGTAATGATGTTGAATTGACGTCTTCAAGCTCCACCAGCCGACACGATGCAAACGATTTCAGTGAACGACTGTCTGCAAGACTCTCCAAAATTCAGGTAGAAGAGCGTAATGTTTTTAGTAAATTAACTCGGTCAAAGTGATGTAAGCGAAGTATGTCCTAAAGGACTTTGCTGTTTGGATCATCGTTAAGACAAAAGAATTACTAGGTTCTATTCAAAATTGAAGGCATACCAAGATCTAGGCATCAATTGTTTAACTTATTAGAACAAAACTGAGGTATGTTGAAAGTTGCGGGCAGCAGCCTGGTGTACTCTTATTCTGTTTAAAGGCCCATATCGACTAAACGTGGCAGCCGTGCACACCATGTTTGATCGCGGCAAACTGCGCGAGCCAATTTAGGTAAAAACTTTTATTTGAGCACGGCAGCCCTGAGCAATTAAATGAAGCTCCATTTGCCGCTTTTGCGCCCTTTTAAAAAACTGGTTCACCCCGCGGCATGTTCGAGCGTGACAAAGTTTAAGTTGGCTCGGATGGCAACTCGGTATCCATTAAGCGCGGCTGCTGCGCGAGCCAATGTTCGAGGGTTTGCCGCGCGTAGTTGCTACGCTGCTTAAGAGTATTAGGTAGATTTAAAATGGACTGTCGCACACAATAACAATAATATTATCAGTATATTTACATTAGATATATTTAAAACTTTATCAGTTAAAACTATAGCCTCATAGTACACTGATCCAAAAGTAGTACAAATAAGCAAAGTTAAACACAAATATAGTAGTCAATTTTATGTGGGATTTGAGGGATACCTCAATTTGTATAGGCGTATGGTAAAATCCTCTGTAGACAGTGTGAAACCCACTTAAATTTGGTAGCCGTTATTGTGAATATCATAATTTATCTTTGTTTTTTTAAATTAGTGCTATAAGTCTATATGACCATAGCATACCATATTTCTTATGTCCACCAGCATATTTAAAGCTAGTGCCTAAAGGGGGGAGGTTAGTCAATTACTCTTCTGATAGGAATCAAATGAGATTCCTGTAGTACAAAATATCGATTGGAAAATAATGCCTGTTTATTTTTTTTATTTTTTTCTCTACAAAATGAATAGGATTTATTATAACTTATAAATATATACTTTTTTTTGAAGTAGTCACCGGATCGTTTGATACAATTTCAATAGCATTAGCATTTTTAAATTTGGAGAGAAGGTAAACATCACTTGGTTGTAAGTCATCTGTGAGCCAGGAAGTACGAGGATGGGTGTCATCATGTAGCAGGCAAACACCTTCCATCAACATTGCTCTTCTTTTGTTCCGTAGCGTAACTGACCTCCACACGTTTGGGTAAAATATGATTTTCACCTTTTCTCCAAATTGAATAATGCTTTGGCTGAAGAACGTCTCACAACTGAGAAAGAGAACAAAAAAGCAGTTTGGAATTGGGCTAGGAAGAAATTGAATGTACATTTGTTTTTATGTAATAGATAACAATGTGTTAGTAATAGCTTGCTTACATAATATAGCCAAATATTTTCAGTAGTATTGTCATGATTGTGACAAGTAAAATTTAAAGTTAAGGCTTGACAACCCTTAGCAGTGTTACAAATAATTATTTACATTTTGAAATCGGTCAACGCTTTTCAATATTTTCATCATAATGTAATTTTTTTTTTATTGATCTTAAAATAAAAACCCAGCATCTATGGCCATCAGTTACAATTTAATTATTTACAATTTTTTATTCATGTATTTACAAAAATAATGCTACTACTAGTAGTGATAACAGTAAGGACAGATAATATTATTAATTTCTTAAGTATATGTTTTTGTTTATATTGAATTGTAGAGGTCTGTTGATTTTAAAAAGTTAATTAGCTTGATGTTGTCTGTGGTGTCTGGTCCCAATGCGGTACTGAGGGTTGCATCTAATCCTATGTTTTGTCGATCTTGCTCATATTTAAGACATTCAGTTATGATATGTTTAACAGTGAGTTTAACTCCGCAGACTTCACATGAGGACGCTTCTTCTTTTGCCATTAAATGACCATGGGTGAGACGGGTGTGTCCAATTCTCAAACGGGTTAATATTGATTCTTCTTTACGTTTTAAAGAGTGGTTTACCCACCTGTCAATATTTCTTTTAATGGTATTTAGTTTGGTAGTTTTTTGAAGCCATAAATTGTGCCATTTATTATAGGTTATGACTTTAATATGCCTTTTAAAGTCATCATAGGAGGTCACTGGCACTGAAAGTGTTGTTATTTCGGAATTGGTAGCGGTAATTCTGGCCTGTTGATCAGCTATCTCGTTTCCTTCAATGCCCGAATGTCCGGGTAACCACATGAGAATAATTTGTTTATTTTTGGATAAAGCTTCATTTAGTTTGTTTTGTATTTTAATAGCAATATCTCCAGGTTTAAATTGGTTTTTTATGCTATTTAAGGTACTCAGAGAGTCACTGAATATTATATGATTAGGATGTTCTTGGCCTATGATTGCCTCTAGGATAGCTATTGCCTCAGCCGTGAATATGGAGCATGTATTTGGTAGTTTATATACTATATTTTTGTTTTTAAATATTATTGAAATTCCTACTCCGTCTTGTGTCTTAGAAGCGTCCGTGTACACTTCTTGATAGTCTTTATAGCTTTCTCGTATGCTTAGAAAGTGTCTTCTGTTATGGTGAGGTTTGTAACTTTGGAAGGGAGTTAAGTTCTGTATTTATCTTATACGGTACAGTCCACGGAGAATGTGACATTTGTTCTCTAAGAATTATTTGTAACAGATCGATGTCATTTTCTATTAGTTCATCATGCAGTTCAGTATTTTCCAACATAAGAGAATTGTTGTTTGATCTATATGCTCTAGCCAGATATTTAAGATATAGGTCATTTTTTTTGATCTCGGGTATAGGTTCACCGGCAATGTTATAGATGCTGTAAATTGCGCTGCTACGAAAGGCACCAATCGCTAGTCTTAAATCAATGTTGTTGATACTGTTGACTGTTTTTAAAAAGGATTGTCGTGCTGATTTGTATAAAATTGATCCATAATTTGGTTTGGATTGAAGAATTGATTTGTGAATCTTAATAAGTTTTTTGGAACTACCTCTCCAAGATGTGTGTGGTAACATTTTTAGAATATTAAGTGAGTGGTTGGTTGAGGTTTTTAGGTGGTGGATGTGAGTTGCCCATGTAAGTCGGCGATCAAAAAAAATACCAAGGATCTTAACTGATTTTTTGTTGGTGTGTTATCGAGTGTAATTTGTAGTTCACCAATATTTTTCTTTTTTGTGAAAATATGCAGTTGGATTTAGTTGGAGAGAAATTGAAACCTGTCTTTCTTGCCCATTTAGCTAGGTTAGTTGTTATTTGAAGGTGTTTTTGTACTGAGCTTATATTGTTGCTTCTACATAATTGAAATCATCAGCGAAAAGATTGCATTTTACCAGTAATGAGCAGCTTTTGGTTATGTCATTTATGGTTATAAGAAAGAGGGTTACGGATAGTGCTGACCCCTGAGGTATTCCGTTTTCTTGGGTAAATTCTTCAGAAAGGTAATTATTCGCTTTGACTTTAAAAGTGCGGTCTTTTAGGAAGTTGGTTATTAGATTAAGTGTCTTACCTTTGCATAGTATTTGGTTGAGTTTGACTAGGATATTATGTCTCCGTGTGGAGTCATAGGCCTTAGATATGTCGAGGTTAACTAATCCCCTTATTTACTTATTCTTAAACGTCTGATTTACTTCCTGATTAATTTGGATCAGATTATCAATTGTACTCTTGGTTTTCTTAAAGCCACATTGTTGCGTTGCTAAGTAATTGTGTTTTTCTAGTAGCCATATTAATCTGTAGTTAACAATTTTTTCCAATATCTTGCACATGGTGTTCAAAATGGTTATTGGCCTGTATCCTTCAGGCTTAAATTTATCTTTTTCTTGCTTTGTAATTGGTATTACTGTACCATTTTTCCATGTAATTGGCCAAGAGCCTTCAGTGAAGATTCTATTAAAAATTGCTAACATTAATTTTAAAGTATTTGGTCCAAAGTTCTGTATAAAAATATACGGTATGTTGTCGGGGCCGGGGCTTCGGCTTTTACATTTGGATAGAGTATATGTGAGTTCTTGCATAGTGATTGGTATGTTTAATTGAATTTGGTCCATTTGATTTTGGTCTAGATTGTTTGGGATAGTTTCCTTTTCACATTTATGTTTGTAGTTTTGAAATTGGGTTTTGTAATTAGTATTGCTGCTGTTTTGATAGAAATATTCCCCCAATTATTGGTTTGCTACTAGTTCTTCGTTACTTAATGAGTCGGTGTTTATATCTATAAGGTTTATTTTGCGGGTTCTATTGAGTCTTTTTAATGATTGAATTTTGTTCCATACGATTTTCGTGTCTGATTTTTCATTTATACTGTTTGTGAAGTTTTCCCATGATTTCTTTTTACTGGTCTTCATCTGGTTTTTGCTCTGAGTTTTTTTAGTTCTATGAAGTCTTCTTGGGTTTTAGAAAGTTGGAATTGTTTTAATGCCTTATATTTGTCTTCAATTGCAGATTTTATGCTCTGGTTCCACCAATGTACTTTAAGTTTTTTGTTTTTGGCGGTTGATTTGCCTATTGTAAGATTTGCAATTTGTATAATTGATTTGGTAAAATTATTTACTATTGTGTTGATATTTATTGTTTCATTGTATTCAATATTTCTAATTTCCTCTTCTAGTAGTTCAGTGTACAATGGCCAATCAGGATTTTTTAGGTTCCATCTTTCGCCCATGGAGGAATCGTTGGTCCGTGATAGGTATTTGATGATAATGGGGAAATGGTCACTGCTAGTAATGTTTTTGTATATGTTCCATTCTAGTCTTTGTGCTAACGATGAGTTGGAAAGTGATAGATCAATGTTGGACATTTGACCGTTGTAATTTTTTGTTGTATTGCTAAATTCCATTTTACTTTCAATATTTATTTTTATGATATTCTTGTAATATACATACTATAATTTAATTATTATCTTTATTGTTTATTTTACATAGGTAAATTATTGTTTCTTACAAACATAAATAATACAAATTCATATCTTTCTCAGCTCCATATCAAAGCTAATATAAAATATATATTTACTTGTTATGTTTTAAATCTAATAAAAATTTAGTTGTTGTATGCATTACTAATATATTTGTATACATATATATATTTGTTTTAGGAGCCAATTAGATCGCCATGAATCAAATATTGATCTATTAGAGCATAGGCTAGAAAAGGTATTTATAATTTGTAACTATGAATATCAACATTTTTCCTACCTTTATATTCTAATGATATTGAAGTGGCTAGTTGTATAAGTGAGGTTAGACTCCTTATTAACTCTTCTACTCATATCCTTAACTCTTAACCTTCTGCTGCTTTCTTTGGCCTACCTCGTCCTCTTATTAATTATAATAATATACAATATGTTTACTATTACTGATATATGTATTTATTCATGTTTCTTCTCCTAGGTTGTAAAAGTCTGCAGTCTTATGATAGATTCTGGAAAAACCTATGTAAGCCAACAGTCATTATTTGCCAATAGCCTTTGGGAAATGGGTTTATGCTTCCGTGATGATACTTCATCTACTAAAAATCTAAACAAAATAATACATGCACTTCAAGAAATGAACAAATTTTTAACAACATTCCTAGACCAAGCCTCACGGACAGTTTTAAATAATTTGACTGTCTTTGTTAAGGAGTAAGTAAAAAACAAATTTGTTTATTTAACAAGTTTTTCGTTAAATACATATTGCAATTTTTATTAATAGAGACATTAAAGCCAGCAAAGAATCAAAACATACATTTGAAAAAGCAGCATCTGAACTTGATAGTGCTCTATTAAGGAACTCTCAGGTTTTGAAATCAAGATTGAACGAAGCAGATGAACTTTTGAATCAAGTCGCAACAGCAAGAACTACTTTTCGTCATGCAGCACTTGATCATGTTCATTGTATAACTATGCTACTGGCTAGGAAAAAACCAGAAATCTTTTCGACTGTATGTTTTTAATTTTTTTTTTTGTTTTTTAATTTAAAAATGGTTAAGTTTTTGTTTAAAAAATTCAGTCTCAATAAATCAAAATTTTAATTGCACAAATTGTATAAAAAATTTCAAGTTCAGAACGTATAATGAAATTATAAAAAAATTGTGTTTTATTGTTTTATCACAGAATAGAACAATCAGAATGGACACTGATAACAAATTACACGGGCAGTATATGCCGCCCGCGTGAATCATTTAGGCCATTTTGTTTGTAGACAATCGGTGTATTTTTATGTATGCTATTCACTGTTATATGCATGTGAATTTTTTACATATACATATATAAACATTGATAATAACGTCTTAAATTAAAATGGCCGAAATGATTGTTATTGGCCCGCCGCCCAGAAGTGTCCAGATCCTGGTTTTATATAATAAACATGAGGTAAATTATTTAATTCACAATTGTTTTTTTATATTTTAGCTATTATCTTACATACAAGCTTGGAGCACATATTTCCATCAAGGATTCACCTTAACAGAGGATCTTCAAGAATTTATTCAAACCCTTAATGAAGAGGTAGTAGTAATGACATCAGATGCTACTAAAATGGAAAAGCAACTTAGTGAACATCATAAACTAGTTGATTGGTATTATTCTTTAAAAAAGTTACAATAATGAGTTATTTAAATAGAAAATTATAATTTTATCTTTCTTTAATAAAAGCCAAGATACAGTTATAATAAACAGCGATGACTCAGAAAATGTTCAGAAAGGCAAGGATGTGTCACGCATTGAAGGATATTTGTATAAACGCACTAGCAATGCTTTCAAGACTTGGAATCGACGATGGTTTTATTTAAAGAATAATCAGTTAGCATATCGGAAACGCAGTGGTATTGGCATGACAATTAAATAATTATTATTTTCTTGATATTGATTTTATTTAATTAATTATTATGGATTACCAAATTTTGTGGTTTTCTGAAAGTCTATTTCCATAATATAAATATAAATTATATTATTGATAATAACTTAGAGGAATAAATTAGATAAAACTTAATTTTATTATTTTTTTTTTCAAAACAAATTTTAAATATTATAAAAATTATAAAATGCCACTTAAGTAGAAATATTTGTTTTGTCTATAAATACATTTCTACATTCCTTTTTGTTATAAACAATTATAATTGAAGTTTCTCTAAGAATACTTCTTATATTGAATTTTTAGGTGAGGATTTATTTACTGTCATGGAAGAAGATCTTAAACTTTGTTCAGTTAAGCCAGCTAATGATGCAGAACGTAGGTTTTGTTTTGAAGTTCTATCCCCGACTAAGTAAGTGTACTGCTTATCAAATGTTTTTTTTTTTAAGAATACATGTTTATCATAATATTTAATAGGAGCCATATACTTCAAGCTGACTCTGAACATGTGTATAAGTCATGGATTGAAGCTCTTCAACAAGGAATTGGTGCTGCAATACAAGATAGTGATCAACGAAACACTAATCACTCTTCTGGAAATAATCAGCCATCCAACGATTATAATAGTTTAAACAATCGACTGTCAAATTCAAGTAAACTCAAAAAATCCAAGTAAGTCTTATTACATAGTAATTAACTTTATTGTATGTAACACAACTATAATAATGTACCAATATTTGAATGTAATTATTAGAACGTTGGAAGTGCTACTTAAAATTGGTGGTAATGAAAAGTGTTGTGACTGCAAAGCTCCTAATCCAAGTTGGGCTAGTATTAACTTGGCAATTACTTTGTGCATTGGTAAGTTTATAAGATATCATGTAACAAAATGTATATTGATAAAATATTAGAGCAATTTTTAGCTGCTATTCAATGCTGAGCCAAAGCATTAGGCGTTTACAAAAAATTAAATTTATTAGTTTATTTCACTTAAAGTAACTTAAATTAAAATTAAAATTTTGTATATTAAATATTTTAAACAATTGTAGTACAGTTTTATTGAAAACTTAAATTAGCTATAATGTTTGTGTTTTACTTGGCCTTAGCTCGTGTCACAAAATGTTGACACTGGACAGTACTTGCCTTGTCGATAGTGAGGAGGCATAAGACATGAGAGTTCCTCCCAAATCTAACAACTAACTGCAGCTAACTGTATTACAATTTTTGGTTTTTTTTTAGAGTGTTCTGGTGTTCATCGAAGTCTTGGTGTGCATTATAGTAAAGTCCGTTCATTAACACTTGATGACTGGGAACCAGAAATTTTAAAAGTTTTGGCTGAAGTCGGAAATGCTATAGTCAATGATGTATACGAATATAATGTCCCATCCACTGTTGTGCGTGCTTCATCTAAGTGTCAAGAGTATGTTATCAACAAATTCTGCTTTAGATTTAAATGAATGTTGACATTTTTTTCTTTTCCAATTGTAGTTCAGTTCGTGAACAATGGATTCGAAATAAGTATGTTGATCGTCGATATGTCAAACCATTGCCCAACACACAATTGATAATGGAAGATCCAGATACAAAGAAATGGAGCGTGCGCAAAGTCCGACGACGAGGAACTCAATACAAATCTATACGAAAAACCACTACAAAAAGTGGGGCCAAAGATAATGTTATGATAATTGGTGGTAACACAGGCCCTATAGCATTAGATACAATTAGTAGTGATGATGATTCAACAATTAGTGATGATGGAACTGATGGTGAATATACATTTATATAAATAGTCAACGTACAGAGTGATAAATTTAATGTAAGACACTCTCGAACAAACAAACAATTTTTCTTGAAAAATAATTACTATTTTATAGTATTTATTTTTGAAAACAATTTTATTTAGGTTATTGTACTATATAATAAAATTACTAATTATTTACCTTCTTTTGTATTTTCCAAAGTGCTATAAACTTATGAAACTTAAAAGGTAAATATTAGGTTATCTTATAATATTGTACAATAATATAAATACAAATGTTTTAAAAAAAAAAAACTTTAAAATTGTAATTATTTTTCATGAAAATGAGTATTATACGTTAAATTGATTACCCTGTATATATATATATATATATATATTATACAATTTTTACTTTATTTTCTAAGTTGAGTATTATGTATGAAATATTTTTTTTAAATATATAGTTGGGGAAGAAGATATTTCTACCCTGGAACCAGACATGTTGCTCTATAAAGCTGCATCAGCACATAACCTTCCAGTAATGTGTCATGCAATAGCAATGGGCGCAGATAGAAATTGGAAGAATCTTAACGACAGAGGGCGAACTTGCTTGTACCAAGCTATACAAAGTGTAAAATTTACAAGGATATAATATAAATGTGTAGTAATTTTCATGAAAAAATGTATGCAATTTAGGGTTCTGTAATGGCATGCGAGTATCTGATTCTAAATGCGGCTAACATAAATGTCCAGGATAATGACGGTCAAACACCTTTGTTTTACGCAACACAAATAGGTATGTTTGTTTTATCATAAAAATATTTTTCTTAAATATTAATTATGTTTTAGATAAATAGTATCGTTCTATAAACAATTACCTCACTTCCATCATTAGTTGTTGAACATATTGTATAACTATATATTTTCTTTTCAACACTTGTTCTGCATGCTTTTTCTTATTCAACTACCCAACCTTAAAACTAAACCTAAGAAAACTAATATTTTGAATAATCTAACCCTAACTTCTTTCTATTTTCTCCATTTTTATTGATATTCATGTATAATTTTAAAATATATTTTATCTTACTTTTGTGTGTATATTTTTATGTAATGGTTGTTCTATTTCCATCAAGTTCTCTCTTCACGTAAGAGATTTTATATTAGGATTAGTTATGGGTTGTTAAGGTTAAAATTTATAATTCAGACAGGTTTATAGGATAGACATATATGTAGCTAATTTTTTTTTAATCTACATTTAATATTGTATTGATGAACAACGCCCCTAAAATTTATTTGACGTTCCTTTTTACGGATTTTATTATAATTTTAACACAATGAAATTTTGCAATTCAGGTGAAATAAATCCATTTGATGTCTGGGCAGAAACTAAAGTTTTTAAATGGTTTTGGTAGTAGAATTATGGGATTAGTCATTTTTACAAAAGGTACCTAGAGCTATATCTTTTGGAGAGTAATCAAGATAAATTTAAATTTGTTTTGTTGATTCATGCAATTAGTAGAATTTGAATTTACATATAACTAAAAATACCCACTTTTTGAGTTGTTAGTTTAGATCTAGGTGTGCGATATAATATGCTAGTCCACGTTTATAGTACATTTCAAAATTTTGCCTTAATGTTATTAAAATTATGTGTTTGAGGTGGGCGATCGCCCTCTCTTGGCCCAAGAAAAAAATTGTTGTAATCAATTTCGACCATGTCAATTAATTTACCTGTTAATTTGTATAAGCTTCATGGTATTATTTTTAATTAAAATAATTTTGTCTATGAGTAAAAGCCATTTTAGTTAATATAATAGTACTTTTTTTGTTCCGTCGCTGAAAACAGATTTGAATTTATCATAAAGTTTACTTGAGATTGGTCAGCGTACTTTTTAAAAAATTTCAAATTTGGAAAGGGTTAAAATTTTTAATTGAAAAAAGTAAACTTGATGGCGAATTAAAATCTGTTTTCAAATTACTTATTGGATTACTGTTTCGGCCTGTGCGATGGACAAAAAATGATGTGTTTTGACTGAAAAAAACGGCCGGTATTGAATCCCCTTAAATGTAGATTATATTATTGAAGATTTGCAAGACAAAAAAAAAGTGTATTGATTTTATATTATTATAAGTATGTATTTGAATTTAAACAAACTTGTAGCTATTTTTTATGAATGTTTATTGGGTCAAAATTAAACTGAATTAATAATGATTAATTAAAAAATAACTAATCGAAATAATTATTACATTGTAACATATTTTGTAGACAATTAATAAAAAGTAAAAAACAAAAAAGGTAATTTTATTTTACCTACAAAAAACGAAAATTCTCATCCCCCCCCCTTGGGCAACCCCTGGATCCACCACTGTCAGTGTTTCAAAAAGTTATTTTGTTTTTAAAGTTGGCTACTAACATTTTTTTTTTTTTTTTGTTTGCTTAGGACATACAGCCCAAGTATGTTTACTTCTGAAACATAAGGCGGACCAATATCTTAAAGATAATGATGGTACTGAACCGTTGGAAGTGGCCATCAAACAAGCTAATGCTGACATAGTAACTTTGTATGTATTTGTTCTTCTATTTGAAGAGAGTATTTTAACCTTAAAAACATGTTTTTTTTTTTTATTAGGCTCAAACTAAGCCGTTTAAATGAGGAGCATGGAAATACAGAAGATTCGTTTAATGACGCGGTACGTGATTTCACCCAACTTACATACAGTCCATTACATAAATGAACATATTATCAACGTGCAACGCCAAAAAATCATCATATATTTATAAGACTTGTGTGATAGTCTTTGGCAGTATACCTCTTAGATTTATTATGAGTTATGACTATATATTTCCGTAATGAACAAAAAAAAAAATACTTAATAACTATTTCATGTTTTGAGTATTTAGCTTAATATATTATTTGTTTATACGGCATTTTTTAGTAATTTTATGTTTTAAGTACTATTGTTAGTTACCCATTACATAATGTTAAAATAATATAACTACGGTTATTATTATTATTTATTATATTACATTTTAATTGATCATTATTCCTAATTTTATTTATTAAAAAATGCAAAATGTTATATGTTTTATCGCATTATTTGTGACTGTTATAAATTATACTATTTTATTCCAAATCATTCTATAATTGATTTTTGTAAAAGTCTATACTAATAATTACTTATGTGTTCAATTGGTAATAATTACTGGACTACTTCAATTAGTGTTCTAATAATTATTTTATTTATCTTTAGGATAATATGCAAAACACACTTTTGTCGCTAATTTAGTGAAATAACATCAATATTTAAACGTTATAATAATTAAAGCTGATAAAATTTGCTTTCAATATTACTTGTATTATTTGTAATAAATTTATTGCATTTGCAAGTATTCTTTTTAAAAGACTTATGTGCCTAAATACTTAATCTCATCATGTGAATTAACAGATTTTTTTAGAGCAAGTACCTAATATTTTTTTGAAATTGAAAAAATAAGCCGATGGTAAGTATGGTTTGATTTATATTTTACCGTAAGTCAAATTGTGAATGAATCGTAACACATACTTGCCGTTGACTCACAAAAGTGGTTCCCAAAGCTCGTTTACGTCAGAGAGAATATTAAATATAGCATTATCCCTGTTAACAATAAGGTTAGTTGTAAAAAATCTAGATATAATTTCTAGATCTAGTTATATAAATACATTTCAGTAAAAGACCAGGTGATAAAACAATGTTACTGTTAAACAATACTGAGTGGTTATATTTATATTACAAAAATAAATATTTAACATATTTTATAATTACTATAATCAATAATTGGTAAAAACAAAAGTTGGCGTTTCGCTAATTTTTTTGAGCATATTATTAACAATTCATATAATTTGTTCACGTTATAGTAATGGAATAATGTTGGATGGACTCAACTTAAATTATTGCACAACTGTCTTAAAATTTAAACATTGAAAAAATCAAACTTTAATATATCTTATAGTTTATAAACAGTTTTACAAGATAAACGGTATGAATAAATGTGATGTGATGAGTATAGATATTCAACAAATTGCTATTTTATCCAAACAGTAGGTTCAAAAAAAAATAGTGTTATTTCGTATACAATAGAAATAGGATACTATATGTTCTATAAATACAAAGCTGGAAGGTTGTTATCAAAGAAAATTATTAAAAAATATATATACAACTAGACCTTATTGGGTTTAAAGACCATAGCGTATTGTAATTCATTATGCGCAACAGAGTTCAACGATCGACTTTCTTCTGTTGAATTTTTTTTATTAATTGTACCATAACCATAGTGTGAATCGTCAGCTTTGCGAGCGGGTAACATTATGGTTTCTGTTTTAATACTAGGTTTTTGTTTGGTCAATGAACAAATAGGGTTAATTTGTCTGTATCCAGGGGCTGTTTTAGATATAAAACCAAAATGTTGCAGCCGGTCATAGTTTTCCATACAATCATCTATTGGTACCACAGTATTACTAGCATATGATTGATCACTATGATTTGGGTCATCAAGCCCCATAGTCCTCCATGCGTCATTTCTGACTTGAACATCTTCATATGCTGCATCTGCAGTCGTATCCATTTCTTTTATTTCACTAGAAGGTTCGTTAATCAAAGGTGTAGGTAATTTTTTAGACAAAATCTTTGGTTTTGGTTTTAATGGCGGAGGTGGAGGAGACTGTATAGGAGGAGGAGGTACCAAAGGCAAAGGCATTAACGGTTTGATTGAACTGGATATTGGACTTAAATCGTTATCTAGCATCAGTGGAGTAGTACTTGTGGGTGATGGTGGTAAAGGACTTCTTGAACGTGCCATCATAGATAAAGCTGCTCCTAACTGGATGTCTCCACACAAAATTGATGATGTGCCTCCTTCGCCATTTAACAGTTTTTTCATACTCTTCATTTTTGACGAAATACATCTAAATATTTCCTGTTGATTTGAATGTTCTAAATGGAAAACTCCTTCACCACTGGCACACTTGCGTCCTGCTTCAAAAGTAAATCTGCCAGCTCTATAACCATAACGTCGTATAAAGCGATAAGGCCAGGTTAATAATAAAGTGTCGTTTTCATCCGATTCTCGTAACTGCAGAGCAACAGGTGTTACCACTAATGTGTAAGGTTGTTCTTTTAAACCGCACCGTACACTAGCATCCGATGATACTAATTTAACACTGAATACCCCAGCTATAAAGTATAAATATGTATCAAACTTACAATTAAGTTTATGATTATATTAATATAATTTTGTAATTGATAATTACCATCTCCAGATGAACAATACAAGTCATTATCTTCTTCGATTGTCTGTCTGGAAACATTATCTTTGAAAGCCACCGCTTGCAAAGCGCATATCCATTCAGTCATTTCTTGTTCGGAATTTGCAGAGAAATGGTGAACACTTGTTTTGGTCCATACCTGTTTGAATGAACAATTGATAAAAGAAAATTGAATTATTTCACAACCACAATATTAAATTTAGTATATATTAACAGCAATAATCAAGATCTCTTTACAATTGATATTGTAAACATACTTTGCTTACAGTAAAAAAGAACATTTAAAAATATTATTCAATTCTTTAGTATTAAAAATATTAGTTAAAATCTTTAGCTAATATTTTAATTAACAAACAATTTAACAATTGAGAGCTAAATATTAATATTATGATATGTTCTAGTGACTGATTCATAGTGTATTTGTTTTTTAATCAATTTTAGATAAACAAAAATTTTAAAACCTGGCAGAAATTAACATACCGCAAAAACATTTGGCTGATGTTTTTGAGCATCTTGTGTTATTTTAACACAGCTTTCCAGTGGTATTATAGAAGCTATCGTAGATGGCTTTTGATCTTCAACACCATCAAACACTTCAAGGCGATCAATCCCATGTTTACTCCATTTGAATAATCGACAATATCGCTTCTGCCATGATTTCTAAAATAAGTAAAAAGAAAAAAGAAATTTTTTATTTAATTAATATGTTGTCTGTTGCCTATGTCGAGCATAGTACAGCTAGCAATAAAATATCTTATGTGTTTGTAAATATCTTACTGTTCAAAATCATAAGACTATGTTATTATGGAGTAAAATTTGTTTTAGGAGCTATTATAAATGTAACATTATCTTCTAGTATTGTATTATAACAATTTAATCATAACATCATAGACTCGAAATTGTTTTGCACACAACACAATAAAAAGTATGGAAGTAATAAAAATAATTTTAAATACCATATTATTGTTTAATCATTTTTTAGAAAAAGCTTTACATATTGCAGATTTTTTCAGAAACAAAATTATTTGTCTTTAAATTATGTTTCTTGTAACAACATTATGTTGTAAAAGTTGTGAATAAGTTATAGTCAGAGAAATGTTAATCAACAGTTGTGATCTTACAACAATAAATATATATATATATATATATATATATACCTAATATAAATAATAAATATTTTTCAAGTTTACCTATTGAATAATAACTAATTTTATTAATATACCTATAAATAATAAATTTGTCAAACTACATTTAGTTTATTTCAATGATAAATGATATCACAAAAATAATAAATATTATGTAGGTATTTGTTAAACTTTGACCGCAGTGTTTTTACTTATTTTTCCTATCTAGTATCTTATCAACTTAATTCTTATATTATAAATGAAAGTAATTAAATACTCTTAAAGCCAATTAGATATAAAATAAACTATATTAGTTAAAAGTATTTAACTAATATAGTTAATTTGATAAGTCGATAACTTACAAACAGACATTTGTTTATCAGATTTTTTTTTTATTAAAACAATTTAATTAAATAATTTTATCTTAAATATCTACATACTGAAGGTTTAGTTACGGCATTTTAAAATATTATATGATTTAAAATATCACATAACCAACTGCATTAATAACAAGACCAACAAATAAAGGACTAACTAAATATTATAAGGAATATTAGTCAAACCTAACTAGGAGATTAATATTAACTAAGAACCAAGGTAAAACAATAAGTAATCCTACCATCTTGGATTACCACCCGACTACCCACACAATGGCTGTTATCATACTAGAGTTCTAAGGAAAGATTTAAAAACCTCAAATTAAATTACATTTAAGGCTCTGTGGTTATATTATAGACTGCCTAGTACACTTCTTACAAAAAAATAATTATTTAATAGTATAAAATCCAAGAAAGTTTGAGAATGTCAAAAATTTAATTCTTGACAGTTTAGAGCAATTGGTTAATAAGTTGAGCTACATTTTATCAAAAGAGAAGAATTATGATGTGCACCGTGAGGCATTTTATACAATAATTAAATGTTACAATATGCTGCACTGAAAATGCACTAAGAAGAGTACCCCGCTCAATGGATAAATAATATCAAAAACATTTAATTGGTATAGATAGGAATAACAATTTAAACAATTTATATAACATATTCATTACGGAAACTGTGAGTTTAAAATCTGCCACACTCTACTACCTCTTTAAAATATGATGCAGTGAATACAGCACAGGTACATCCAGTGATGGTAAGGTAATAGGTATAGCTATTGTCTACTAGGAACTGGGATAGTGGATACTGTCGATTTTTATGAATTATGTAAAAATCTTAAATGTTCTGACGGTACTTGCCTTGAGTTGTGAGAGAACACCATGCGGCGGGAACCATAGATGTCCTTCTTTGTATGGGTCGTCAGATTTCGCCATTTACCTACTTGGAAACCCGAATTCCAGTGTTATTAATCCACACTAAACACTTACTTTGTAGACTCAGTGCGCAACAGGTCGACCCCGGGCATTCCGCGAAACACCGTACGAGTTTTTGTATAATATTGTTCTTCTTCGTCTTCTTATCAATAAACTTGTATAAAAAAAAAAAAAATTATGACGACGAATACACAGTTCCACTTGAGAATGTGTGCTGCGAGTACCGAGTAGCACCTAGTCAGCAGCTGATAATCGAACGCGGGCATGTCAGTGGTGGTGGAATATTTGTTGTTGTCGTTTGGCCGCCGTTTATCATTTATCAGCCATGTGTATATCAGTGTATCAGTTCTGACAAGCTGTCGTTCGTTGTAGTCAGTTATCAAATATCAACCGGAGAACGTGAAAAGCCCGATAGATAGCGTAGAGCAAGACTGGTCTGTCGGGCCAAAATTTGTCCGGCGGAGTAGTTTACTAAAGGTGTCTTGATAATCACAGTCCACACCCTTGAGTAAATAATATACATACTGCACAAGTGTAATTTACTTATCTTTGTGTATTGCTACTTTGTCTTAGCATAGATTACATACGTAAATCAAATATTATATTATGTCATAGAAAAGAGATTGTATTATGTTAAAATATATTTAATCATTTATACCTATGGCTGAAAATATTTTTATAATATTGCTTGGCATCTAAGAATAGTACAGACATAGATTAAATACATGTATTAAATCTATGGTTCAGAACACAATGACGGGTTTCCTATATTTTACATTGCTGTGGTCCTTGCTTTTTGTACCTATTTAATCAATGATACAAGTATTAATAGGAAAGTTAAACTAAAAATGGTCTTATCCATTTTTGTGTATCAAATATCTCGATTAGTAATGATTAAACTTTATAGCCTTATTATCAATGGCTTGCGCTTCAGAAGAAATTCGTGTCCTCAATAGACAACATGTAGTAAGAAAAACTATACCCTATGGAGGACAAATTTATAAAAAAAAAATTGTTATCCATGATTTTAGTGATAATCGGACATTAGATAACTATAAGATATTTTTCTTAATGCACCGACCACTGTCACTGTCTTTAATTCTCATTTTGTATCGTATTTATGTTTTTAAAATCATTCTATTAAATATTAATAATTATTTCTTAATTTTATTCTTTTAGATATGGTATGTAATTGTGCAATACCCACATGCAATAATACAGGAATTAAAAGCTGTGATATTAAATTTCACAAGTAAATCTGTGCCTTGGTCCTAAAAGGGCCAGTCTCACTTTTTTGTAACTTTCGGAAAATGAGCTTTTTAAGTTTTTATTTTCCTATTAAAGGATGTTTTAATTTTAGCATTTGGCTGGCTAACTCTTATGCCCAACATTGATATTGGCCCTTTTAGACCCAAGTTGCAGAAATTTAACACAAATCATATAGTTAATGTCGGCTATAATATAGTATTATCATTGATTATAAATAATATATATAAAAACAGTATGCGCTTTACAACGGCAACAATTAACAAGCATTAAAATATACATGCCAGTGGATTATCTATATTATTTATAATCAATGGTATGGTATACAATTTAGATTTCTTTTAAATGAGACAAGAAAGGCACAATGGATCGCTTTAATACAAAAAGCTTATCCATTTTACACTATGTATAAACACATTTTGTAAGTGAAAATCATTTTCACACTACTGATTACAATTACTAATTACGATATGAATGATAAAAAAAATGTAAATAGAAATGTTATTCCAATGATATTTGAACCATGAAAGATATAAGAAATTGGTAATATATAAAACTAAGTACTATGGTCTATGACTAGATTATATATTATATTTTTGTATAACAGACAGTTAAGTCAATAGATTGTACGTAGGTAACAGTCTTCACACATTTACAAAATACAGTGCACAAATTATGATAAATAAGTATACAAACATAATCAACTGTATTTTATATTATTATTGAATAATTATAATGTGTATTGTGTACCTAACCGTCTAGTACTAGGTGTAACTCATAAGAAAACGGACAAAGCTGAAATTAAAATTAACAAAATGTATATAAAAACTAAAATAATTTTTTTTTAATAATTATTGTCTCCCCTTCTAGTGGGGAGATGTGGGGGGGGGGGGAGACTCTTGTTCAATAAAATCACGCCTAATAAAATTATTACACTAGTTTGAGTCGATTTCACCATTTTTAGCTAAATTGTTGGCAAGACTTTTAAAACTCTTACCCCCTATGTACCAACTATATGAAGAGTGAAAGTGTCAAACGTTCCAAGTGCTAAAGTATAAAAATTGAACTTTATAATTTGATTTGTATATAATTCATTACCGGAAACACTAACATATTTTTGAGTTTTAAATATGGTTGTTTTTTTTTATAAATAACTATTCTTTACTTGAAAAATTTACAAAATTGTTTCCGGAAATGAATAAAATACAAATCAAATTATAAAGTACAATTTTTATACTTTGGCACTTGGAACGTTTGACACTTTCACTCTTCATATATATTACTCTTTTGATAGATGTGTCGCTCAAGTAAATCGGAACAGCGGTTTGTTAAAAGTTACAGACTACAGTACGGACATAGAAAAACACTGGCTCACATAACCTGGACCGGCTAAAAATATATATTTCTAAAATATAAATAATATCGGATGTCAATAAAAGCAGTATAAATAAAAATAACTATTGTTAGCGTCAGTAGTCATTTATCGTTATTAACTACCGCCTAAAACCGGTTTTGGCGCCGTTGTGTTTACGTGAATTGGAACGCCGCTAGGAGCGCCAGTAGCAGGTGTAAAAAATATTGAAAATCAAGTAAAACATATCTAAGTCAAGACACTTTTTTGAGGAACTGAGCAGGTTTAGCGTAAAAGTACATTTATACAAAATTAAAGATCGAGACTTTATCTAAATTTTGACTTAAGTTTATTTTTGATAAAACTTTTAGAAACTGAGTTATCATATGTTGAAATTACAGTTTTATAATCTTTATAACTTTGCTAAAAAACTGTTTATCAAAAACCGTCCATGTAAAAATTTGGAATAAGTCTTAGTCTTTAATTTTGTATAGATGTACTTTTACGCTAAACCCGATCAGTTCTTCAGAAATGTGTCTTGATTTCGACATGTTTTACGCGCCGAAACAAAGTGGTGTGACGCCCTCCTAATATTAATATATTTATAATAATGAATGATAATAGGTCTATTATGAATTCTAAGCCGAATCAATTATTTTTTATCTAAGCGTATTAGATAGATAGGCTCATAGATGGCTATGGGTTTATCATTATCAAGAAAAAAACCAATTTGTTAAACCAGATACTTAAATAAAACTCAAATTTATTTTTTCACACTTAATAATTATTTATACTTTAAAGTGAAACACCCTTTGAAAGAAGAATCTCCGCTAATTTTAACAACTAAATAACTAGATAACTTACATCATGGCTTGTAGTATAATATATTACACCTACCTACCTCCTACTAGTTACCTACACAATAAGAAATGCATAAAACTTAAGTATAAGTGTATCGATTTTTAAAAGAAATTTTAAGATTTTCTTTACTTGCTTACTATTGGAGGTAATTCTATCTGTTTGGTAAATAAAAATTGATGAGAATTTTTGAAACATACAAATAATCGAATTCTTAAATCTCCAGTAAGTAGTATATAGAAATGTATTATTTAAAATTTTAAAGACATTTTAAACCAGTCGCACCAAAATATTTGTATCATTATTTAATAATACGGATATTTACTTAAATAGGTCTTAGACTTTATACTATATTCTATAATAGACGGAGTATGTATATAGTTCCAGCGAGCTAACGTGAGGGCGCTCTTCAGTTTGTTTACATGTCCTTTGCATAGGCGCATTCGAAATCTCAGTTTGGTAATTATATCTGTATCTATATTAACCTATACTTATGTACACAACGATAGCCATGACCGCAGCACACCCGAATTCTCCATCTAGTAGTATAGTCTATGGATATTTAGTGATAAGGAGATGGGATATCAATAAAATGATGGCGACTGATTGAACGGAGCGCTAGCCGCTATAATATAGCTGCTAGCTTGTCGCCGCTAATTTTCGGCAATATTCCTTATCTTACCTGTATTAATTATTATTTACTATTTAGTTTTTAGTATATTTTACACTATTTGGTCGGGTTTACACGTTATAAACAAATAAAATGGGTCGTCGTTCAATAAATACCACCAAGAGTGGTAAATACATGAACCCGACGGATCAAGCTAGTAAGTATACGACTTTATTGATGTTTATATTTATTCAGATGTATTATAATAACGGCTTAATAAAAAAATAATTGGTACGTTCTTGTATACAGTAATCCACGTTAATAATCTTAGAGTGTTGCTTAAGTACCATTAACCAGTATACATTTATGTATAATCAATCTTTTTTCTGTATTGAAAATTAATACTGCCAAATAATTGAGGGATGTGATTGGGGTTGATCATTTCTGCTAACAGTAGACAATCTATGTTATGCAAGTCAGATTGTATGTTTTTATGTTGTAATCAAATTTTTTGTATTATAGAAAATATTTCATAAATAAAATGTCCATTTTCATGGGATAAAGCGAGGTAGTAGTTATACAAAAATAGAAAAAAAAAATGACGTTATGCCAAAACTGACTAGGCGCAAGATGTGACCAAGTGAAATAATATTATAAAATATGTTATTTGAACTACATTATCGTACAAAAAAAATATTACAAAAACTATAAAAATACACTTGTTCAGTTTTTTTTATGCCGACGATGATATGTGAAATAAATAAAAATGAAGTTTCTACTATAAGGCAACCTCATGTTCTAAAGAACATCATTGTTGGGCTGTTATAATCATTAGATCAGATAAAACATTGCTTTGATTAACTTGATATGCTGCTATGTGGTATACTTTATTTCACCATTCAGTCAATTGAAAGTTAAGCTCTCATAAAAGTTGTAACATTTACAGGAAAGATGCACACCTGTAAATTAACAACCAACAAATGTACTGTTGACAATAAAGTACCAAACAAATTTCATTATAACTATCCAGTTTATCTCAGTCCTTGGCTTATGTTGTAAAATCACTATATCTAAGATTTTGTAAGAATTTTAAGCAGTTTATTACATATTTATATTTCTTGCCGATTCTTAACACTTTAACTGCCAAGATAAATAGCTACATAAGATAAATAATTGAACTGGGATCGCCGGCACTACCCATGGCAGTTAACGTGTTAAAGAATGTGTTCTTTATCGTTTGTTTTTTAGATGCCAAACTTAAAAAGTGAAAAAGGGTATTTAATGTGCTAATTGAGTGCAACTGGATAATGTATTTGTTTTTGTATTTACATAAGATGATGTTATTACTATCCATTTTAAATATAATTTATTCTTATAAAATATACTTATTTTCGTTCAATTATAGGAAAAGAAGCAAGGAAAAAAGAGTTGAAAAAAAATAAAAAACAACGGCAGATTGTAAGAACTTCTGTGCTCAAAGGAAAAGATCCATTACAAATACTCTCAGAGATGGAAAAAATTGACCATATGGGTAATTTAACTAATTACACATTGGGTGTCCGAAATTTGTTACTATAAAAATAAAATAATCTATTTACAACTTTTTAATAAATTAAATTTTATTTAGAATACAATGTTGTGCAACCTTCACCTCTAAATGAAAAAGTCTTACGTGAAAAAAGAAGAAAATTAAAGGAAACATTTGATCGAGTTATGAAGATGTATGTAAGTGCTTGGTTTAATTTAACTAGATGTATGTATATTTGTTTGATAAACACTGTTGTAGTTTTCTTTTGTTTGTTATAACCCCATCTAGTTTTTTTTGAGCCCAGTTGTCCATTTTTTCATGTAAAAGTAATAAGCGAAACAGGCTCAAGATGAATTGGATAGTTATAAAAAAAATGTTACTTGCCAGCATAATATTTTCCCTAGTATTATTTCATTAGCATATTATCAAAAAATTACTAACGTATATCTAGGTGAAAGACGAACTTGACAAATACCATGAAATTAAACGAGCAGAATCAGAGTATGAAAAGCGGCGTTTTAAACTGATTTCTTATTTTGACGCTGTTAAGACTGCACAACAAGTTTCAGTAGACGAAATTCCTTTACCAGTAATGACATCAAATATACCATTACCTGCATCTAATATGGTACATGGTGAACTACCAATAGGAATATTGAAGAAACCTCCTTTATACATGTAAGTAATTGCAATTTTTTTATACAAATTTTCTTGTTTGTAATCAATAAATTAAAATTTATTTAGGAGTCCACCATTGTCACCTATATCAGGAACAAAAAAACGGCCTCCTGGAGTTCCTCCTGGTGTTCCTCCTGCATTAACAGATGAAGAAAAAGATGATGATGACAATAATGATGATGATGATGATGATTTTAGTGATAACGAAACAAGTATGTTACGATGAATTCTGTAATGATTTTCTATAGATTATAAATGTTGCTGGTTTTAAATCTTTGACTTAATTTATTAACAACTAATAAAAATATATCAGTATACTTTTGATAACATTAATGTGTATAGCGTAGTGGTGTTAAACTTTGTACTAGAGGTACACCATGTCTATCAGACATCTGGTTCATTTACACTAACTGCATAACAGACATTGTCCACATAAATCTCTGCTTAAGTGAGGGCGCTAGAAAAATAAAATAAATATTACACATTATATTATTATCTATGTCTAAGTCCGCTCTTTAGAGAGAAAGGTATAATTTTTATAAATTAAATATGTCAGTTTTTTTTATAACCTTATTTGCCTGTCCATGGGTTTAATCTTAGTTTACAGCCTTACTGTAATTTCTATGTTAATCCTATTTTTTTTTTTGCTTACATATTTATAAAATTGAATTGTTAAGATGTATATGTTTTGGATTTAATAGTTCAAAAGCGGACACGTAATTTACGATTTGCTGATATTGAAAACTCTGGCAAAGAAAATAAAGTAACTGATGATATTGAAATGTTTATGAGAGAAGTAAGTTTAAATTTGTAATACTACAAAATTGTTAATACAAATTATAACTCAGTTTTTAATTTTTTTTTAGATTGATGAAGTTCAACGGAAAAGTAAACCAGAAGAGCATCTTGCGTCATTACATGTTCCTACGCCATCAGGACACTTGCCTCCTGGATTACCACCAAGTATAAAATTTTAATTTATAGCCTATATTTAATTTAATTTTATATCATTTTTTTTTTATTTAGGCCTCCCAGTTGGTGTTCCTCCACCAATGCCATATCATGGACCTGGTGGTCGTATGCCTCCAGGTCCACCACCTGGTAGACCGCCAATGTTGCCTCCAGGACCACCTCCAGGTTTACCCCCTCGTATGCATGTACGATTACCTCCAGGGCCTCCTCCAGGCATACCTTCTAGGATGATAAGGTACAACACTAGTATGCATCATCCTCCTCCCACCGCTTCTTTAGCAGCAACTATAACACCTAATATAGTCAGTGCGGAACCTCAACTCATTAATCGCGAAGAACCCCATCAAACTGGATCTACTATTGAAGCTAAACCAAAAATGAGGTATGTGTATATATTTTTTGTAACAATTGTATTAAGAAATTCCATATTTGTTTATACTAATTCAACGATTTTTAATTGTTTAAGAAATCTTGCGGCTGACGTCACTCGATTCTTACCAACTTCAATTAGAGTTAAAAAAGATGATGGAAAGACCAGTCGCCGAGATAACATATGGAATCAGCAAAAAACATCAGAGTTTAAAACAAATACTGCAGCAAGTAGTCAACAAGGTGGACAGCCAACCAAAGATGATGCTTACATGCAATTCATGCAAGAAATGGAAGGATTGTTATAAATTTACTTTTACTATTTTACATTTTTTATGTTCATAATATTTTTTTTTAAATTGTAGAAGTTTCATTAATTTTTTTTTGTATTAAGATAAAGGTATGTTAAGTGACTATGTATATGTTTTTCTTAAGTACAATACTATAACTGAAACTAAGTAGTTGTCATTATTAACTGTTGTCCAGCCTCTTCTTTGTATCAAGTCGCACCACAGTTGCAATGTATTTAGAATATATGTAATGAAACTATTAATTATAATGAAAAATACATCATAATCAAGTTTGCTAGTAAAGTAACTCTAAAGCTTATTATTCATAACCTGTATTGACCATTTATTATATTATTGTAGTATTTACAACATTTTTTAATATTATTGTAGCATTTATAACATTTTTAAATATTATTCATATTTATTTAAAAAAATATTGGTTAAATAGTTTCCTTCTATTTTTAGAAAACAATTTAGTTTACTAAAATTACATAGTGATGGATTTCAAAGCCAGACGTTTCGTAACTATGTCTGCGTCGCAAGTAGCCTTTATTCAATTTTATTGAACAAGTTATATTGTTAAATATATTGATATATCTGATATCCTCAAAATTTTGTATATAATATAAATGAACCCCATACAAGAAGGCATGGCTTCATTCTTAGTCAAAACTTAGCCGAATTCTTATTATAAACCTACGGCTACATTATTGATTATAATATTATGTGTTTGTTATCACTTATCTATAATCTATGAGTATTCGGATTTCGGTTGCTTATCATTTTGAATTTTGGACACAAGCTCATCATGGAAAAAACAATATAAAACTCAATCAAATTTTAGTGATAAGCAGCCAGCGACGAAAGCGCATCCGGCATCGTGATTTGTGGGAAAACACGACAAAAGGTTGCCCGACAAAACGCCGCCGGACAAAAAATCGACAAAACGTCGCCGGACAAAGATCGACAAATCGCCGCCGTTAAAAAAACCGCCTCTCAGTAATGCCAACACTAACAATACTTGTATACAATATACGATTATTAATGGTGTTAGTTGTGCTGCCAGCATGACATATTAAGGAGTAATTATTTCACATTTTATTCGTTTTTATTCATTAATGAGCTAACGACTCAAACGAGGCTGTTTTTAAAAAATATTTCCAGATGGCATTTTGAAAGTCGGATAAGAAGTCCGAATGTATATTTTTCACCACAAAAAAAAACGATATTTTATTATCTCTAGAAAACTGTTTACCTATTATTGAACTGTTATCTTTGTTTATTTTATAAATGCATGTAGGTATTACCTATATATTTTTAGTACTTATTGCAAAGTGTATAGGTGTAAAATGGTGTTATTGTTTTAAAGAAAGGCAAAAAAATTATACACAATAATTATTCGTATACCAAACAACACATACTAGTACATTCCATTCGATGGAAATGTTCACAAAAAAAGTTTAAAAAAATAACATCTATCAATAACATATAAAATCAAAAAAACTTATACATAAACATGTAAAAATAAAGTTAAATTTTTACTTTAATTAATAACAGTTAACTGGTTCATTCATTGACTTCAAAATATAGATGATAAAACACAGGGCAAAACCGCACACTTTTTAAAATTGCTGTATTCAAATACCGCACATTTTATAATGACGTATAAACTATTATTTATATATATATATTCAAAAAAAATTTTTTTGGTAAAATTTATATGTTGAAAAATTTAAGATATAAAATTAAAAAAAAAAAGAATTTTATTTGCTGAAATAATTTCTAACGTTTTAAAGAAATTTCAAACGATCCCCGTCCTTAAAAAATTCTTCCCAACATTTAAACAAGTGTTTCTAAAAATGAACCCAATTTCATTTAAAATGATGTATTAAAAATATTAAAATGTGCCTATTAACTAACTTGTTTTTCAATTGGACGGACAATATTTGGAATACTCTCATTAAGCTTACGTAATTACTTCCTATTATCGTATTATTTTCTATGGATGACATCTCTCAGCGTTGGGTTTCATTTCTAAAACCGTGGTTACCTATAGCCGATTGAGAGTCCAGATCATAACGTGATAAAAACCAATGTCTAGGTCTCTATGATAATAAGTGATATCACAGTATAGATTATAGAAACTGTACAAAATAAACTGATGTGATCTGATGGAACACAAAATATACACACCATAAGTGAAAATAAGAAAAAAATAACTATTGTTTGAAATCGGGACAAAAGCGGGACGTCGATTAAAAGTCGGTACATTTTACTGTCCCGATTTGATCACCATATTTAGCGGGACACCTGCTTGAATATCGGTACTGTCCCGCCAAAATCGGGACGTCTGGTAACACTATGCACAGATTACAACCTGAAAAATATTATAAGGTTAGTTGAGGTTATACATAATATGAGAATATCGGTTTACCGATATAGTGACAACTTACGCCCGCGAAATCGCGCCTGGGGCTCACCGGTGCCGCCACCCCTTATTCTTCCTCGGCCTTTCCTACCGCCACGACCGCCTTGACCGCCACGCCGGGCTTTATAAATTACTATGTAAACCACCTGTCAACATAAAAAAAATAATGAATTTTATATTGTAATGATAAATCAAAAAAACTTGTGAGCGACATTGTGGATCCGGCTTATAAAATAGGGGGCAATGTAATATCTTTAGTCAATAATTCATAATTAAAATATTTTAAAAATGTTCGTCTACATATTTATGTAGTAACATCAGATGTATCCCTCTGTATAATTAAATTTTCATAAAAATTAATTGCGTTGCCCAAAAAATAAATAAAAAAAAAAATTTTCAGAAAGCTGAGAAAATTTTACAAAATGTGTGAAAGTTTCAAATTGAGTACTCCCAAAAAATGCTTAAAAATTAGGGGAAAATAACCAAAGTTATGAAATTTGTTCAAATAATTACGTGTGAAATTAATTTTCAGTTTCATAATAAATTATATTATGTAAAATTAAGTGTAAGTCTTTTGGAATAATAATATGCTACATAGTTTAATAACACGAGTTGAATAGAATTTAACATTTTTTCTCGCCGCTATTTGAAACTTATTGTATCGAAAGACTAATGCAAAATATGTATTTTAGATAACTTACTTTTGTGAGGAGCCGTCCAATTCAATTGCAGCCTTTGCACTGTACACACTACTGAACGAAGAGACGACTTGAGTCCGCTATTAACCAAACTTTTACCACCGGTGACCAAACCGACTTTTTATCGCAATTTAATAATAAGGTTTCCACGATAATATTCAGTCGTTTAGTGAACTACATGAATTATGTTATTACTTATTATCATTAAGTTATATCAAAATTTAGCTACAGCTTATTATTATTACTACAATATTATCGGGATTAAAAGCGGACGGGTGTTAACATCAGTTTTATATTACAGGCAATATTTAATAAAAAAGGGGGTTTTAATGAATTTCGACCATATCAATTTGTTTTTTTTTATTACTTTTTCATTTACTTAAAAAGACAAGAAAGTGAATATTAAAGTTTTATAAATTTGAGTAATTAAAATAGTATTTAAACATAATTTTAATTGATATATTAATAATCGATTCTACAATTAGTATAACATAACAACAACAACATAGTATATTTTCTCAAGATTTTAGATCTAAAACGTCCAAAAAACGTTTATATGGGGGGGGGGGGCTAATAGGCCGATTTTTAATTAAGTTATTAGAAAATAAGTTGGAGAAAAACTGTAAAAATATAAATGATTATAGTTATAATTAGTACAATTTTATTAAGTTATTATTTTGTTGTTATAAGATGTATTTGTTATTTAAGCGCCCATATAGGCTGAAGCAAGCCTAAGATAAATTTAAAATATTGACTTTAACATTTCATAAATTCCATTGCGGCCGTCGTGTCACACGTGTCACGAGATAAGTTAAATATCATCTGTATACTATTCGTTGGACGGGCTTTGTTTTCTTAATATTTCTATTTTAAAACTAGATTTTGGAAAAATTGTGGACACAATATACGGTTACCGCTCAATTATTATTACTCTTGGTTTGAGCGGATAATACAAAGTTATTATTACTTTAAAAACGTTCATTTTTTTAACATTTTTATCATCCTACAAAAAGATATTATTTTTTTTATGGAGCTAAAAAACTGCTTTTGGAGTGAGTAAAGGGCTTATCACATAAAAGTTAGAAAAAAAATGAACAAAGTAATAAACTTTATTAAACAATGGTACTTTGAACTATATATTAAAATACATTTTACATTACCTTAGATTAAAGGTTTTCACAAAAAAAAAAATATAAGTTTAAAATCATAAATATACCTTAATTTTTTTGTAATAAAATTGTTTTTGTTTGATATGATGTTTGATTATAAAGTTAAGGTGGAACAAACATGGACAAATAACACGCATAATCATTAATCACCACTCTTTAAATTGGCCACTCTTATATAGTAAGTATTTTGTATAATATGTATACTCTATAGAGTTGGTTTAATATATTCGCAAACCAATTTTTGAAATCCGTCCTAACGGACGGCTCATCTTTGAAACAATTGTAACTTTAATGGATAAGGGGGAACATTGTTTAAAATAGTTTCGGTCGGCGGTCGACCGGCAAAACCCCCGGTGCCAACTTTTTTCATAGAGACGAATTTTTAGACATTTTAGTAAGTTTTCGATTGGTTTAATCAAATTTAGGGGACCTCTTCCGGAACATTGTCAAAAATTGACAAACTGCCGCCGGTTTCGGTCGGTTGGCAACACAACATACACCAACGCCATGACACTTTCTGTTATCAAATATTGCTGGCTCGTTTATGGCTAACTCCATAGATTAAATACACGTATTTAATCTATGCTAACTCCACGCACGTTATCAATTGCCATAGTTGATGATTACGAACGGAGATAATTAATTTTTTTGTGAAAATAGTTCACTCGGTACTGGCAATTATAATTGACAAAAATGTGATTTGAATGCCCATGTCAAATAATTATTTTATTATTATTTCGTCGTCTGTAATAAATTTATTTTAAAATGGCCTATCAGTTATACAGAAATACCACATTGGGAAATACTCTTCAAGAAAGTATTGATGAGATGATTCAGGTAATAGTTATATTAAATTTGATGTTGCCTAACTCAATAAGATACATAATCATTAATGAATAGATTTTAAGTAAATTTATCATTTTTCAATTTTAGTTTGGACAAATAACGCCCGCTCTTGGAATGAAAATCCTATTGCAATTCGACAAAGCTGTTAACAACTCGTTGGCTACACGAGTGAAGTCCAAAATCACATTTAAGGTAAATTTGTACCTACATTTAAAAGATAAGTTGCTAACAAGTGTCAAATCCTATTCTTCTAACTACTAAATGAATACCAATTTTTAAATATTTAAGTGTTTCAAAGTTAATGGGTAAACTCTTAGATTAATACTCTTTTTGTCGAGAGAATATAGTTGTGCAGAAACAAAACTGCATTACTATCGTTTGCACATGCGCAGACAGTAATAATGCATTTTTGTTTCTGCATAACCATATACTCTCGGCGAACGAAGTATAGCCAAGCCAGGGTCCCAAGCCCCTTAGTAAATTTAGTGGTTTATACAACGTCTCCAGAATTCCATGACGCTGTTTCCATACAAATATAATAAAAATGTCACTGGCTCTTTTATTTTACTTTAATTACTTTTATTTCCTCTCCTAAAAGTATCATACTTCGTGATGAAATCTTTTTAGATTCTTATTTTTTCAGGACATTCTTAGCTCTCTATAGATGCTAGAACTATGGTATTTTTCATTGTAACTGTATGTAAACTTTGTGTTGAGAAAATTAAAGGTTAATTTTCGTTTGTTTTAACAAAACAAACTATACCTATTTATTAATTTGTATTCTTACACAATTAATGTTAAATAACAATATTTTAATACTAATAATCAGTGGTATAAACAACAATTATATATTGTATTCTGTGGTTACACAATTTACATTCTAAGTACACTTATTCAGAATAAGGGCGGTACCAGGCGGCGACCGGTTTTCGTCGGTGGCGGTTAGATGCTTCTCCCACCAAGTCAACCACTAAATATATAGCTTCAGAACAAAGCCACGCCCTTGCGCACAAGTCAGCCACCCGGTATTGCTCATATTCTGAATAGAGAAATAGTACACATACATGAAAAGAGAAGGTTAGGTTAGGTAAAGCCAACTTAAAAATAAAAACTTGATATTTCGAAAAAGAGAGAAGTGTATGCATTATTCAGTTAAGTCCTTGTGTAACTTTCGCCCATCTGCTTGTTATGTCAGCTTCTTAAATATTTTAACTCTATCTAATGTACAATAGTGCCGTAGTATAAGCAGAGCCCCTTGCAAATCCTTTAAGGAAACTGAAGTGCAGGTATTTTAAATTTGAAGCCCCGACAACATAAATATATAAGTCAGATTGGGTTTGGGTGAGCCCTGACATGAAGCTCTTTGCGGCTCTTTCCTTTTAATAGAATTTAAGATCATCTGATTTTGGTTTGCACACCTTGAATCTTATACCACTCCCGTTGTAATAAAAATTATCTGATGTTAATTTAATACTTAAAAATGTGTTTTATTTCTATTTATATGTACCAAGAATATATTATATATAACTTATTGACGTATTGAAAAATGTTTAGGCTGGAAAAATGGACACATACCGTTTCTGTGATAATGTATGGACTTTTATGCTGAGTGATGTAGAGTTCAAAGAAACACAAGAAATGGCGAAAGTTGAAAAATTAAAAATTGTTGCATGTGACGGAAAAAGTATGTATTTTGTTTAATTAATTTCAATTAAAAAAACTTTTTAAAGCAAATAATAAAATTTTAATTTTAATTTTAGGTGTGACTGAAGAGACCTCAAAAAAAAACTAATGTTATCACCTAGTTACTAATATACTTTTATGATCTTATTTAAGTCAGTGTGTATTAGTACTTATTTATTTATTGTTTAATTTATAAGGAAGTAAAATTTAAGAGTAAAAAAATAAACAACAAATAATTATTCTTTTAAATAAAATATGTTTTCATCCAAGAATATAGTGTCTTTATCTATAGACTTAATTATAATTAAGATTTTTTTACATATAAATGTTATTAGAATATATAAGTCAGATTTTTCCATTTATTAAGAATTTGCTTTACAACAATTAAACTAGTTTTGGTTTTAGGATACATGTAGTAATTTATTTTTATATTTTAATATTTTCATTTTTGCTTAAATTTAAAGAAAATTCTTATAACTGATATTCTTATATCTGTGATATTTTTACTTTTTAAACGTGCAAAGTAATTATGCATTTGTAAAAAATTTATAAATTTTATTTAGACAACATCACATTGTTGTATCAATTAAAATATCACACTATAGAAAACAATAACTTTTAGTTGTTTTAAATTAAAAAAATACAAAAAAGCATTAGCTTTCGAAGTTAATATACAGATTATGCTAGGCAGGTCGTGTTAGGTAGTGTGAAAAAACCAATATTAGTCATTCTTGCATTAAGCTGTTGATCTCTTGCACTATTAGCTTTTTGTTAAAACTTGTTTAGTTATTGTAAAAGGATATTTTTTAGTTATTGTCTTACACAGAGTTGAAAACTTGAAGATTCAATTAAACTCAACACATTTGTATTATGCAAGTCTTAGCATCTCCATATAGGTTTTATCAATGAAGAGCTCGATTTGTTAGTGGATGTTTTGCATTTACTGGTTTTGCGTTTGAAGGGAACTGTGTGTATAACTTCCCGTGATGTCGTTTTCCGATTATTCTCTTCGGGTTGGGACTCCATTATGCTTTGGATAAACTTTCGCCGGAGTAGTTGTGTCCTAGTCACTTTCCAAGTGAGTGCCGGTCTTTCGTTACGATTCTTGCTCTCAGTGGTCTTGGCCACAACCCTAGGCCTCTGATCTCTGGGTACTTTGACTGGAGACCGCTTCTGTGTGTTGTCGAAACTGATGGCATTGGCCGAAGTGGTTACAGAAGGACTAGGTGGAGGACATATCGAGCCCAATGATCGAGTGTCCATCATTATTTCCTCGTTGGAGCTTACTGAGGTGGTATAGATGATGTCCAAGTGCATACTTGTATTGTCGATCACTTGATTTACAAGTGCTGGAACCAAGTATGCTATATCCGATCCTATTACCTCTGTGGCCGTCCGGCAGTTGTGCCGTATCTTTTGATCTTTTTTATCCATTATGTGCCGAAAACACTCTACCTAAGGTGTCACACCAAAATGTCAAATGATATTTTTAAAAAATATTTTTTCTTTTGCTTGTTTAGACCTCATTGAGCTGATACAAGTGTGAAATTATGTCTCGTCATTTATTTAGATTAAAAAAAAAAAATTATAAGGCTTCAGATATAATGTATTTTGCTTAATACTTGTTACTTTCAATTATTCGGCATACCTTATTTTGAAAATTTAAAGTTAAAATAAAAACCACCTAAAGGCTAGGAACTTTTATGAATTTAAGAGGAAAAAGGATCATCCCAGTAAATACGATAATTTCTTGGTAATCTTAGCAATTTGGTTCTAGTTACTCCACTGCGGGTAATCTATATATCAATGTTATTTAATCTGCTGTTGGTACCTACATACATATGAAGGGCACAGGGGAAAAACGGTAGTTTTCACATTATGAAAATTTTAGAGTATAGCAAAAACAAAGTTCGTGAATTCCTCTACATCTTAGATAAGAACAAAAAAAAAACATAAAATGCTACTCTAACAATAAATATATTTATTTAAACAATCTATTGACATAAATAAAAAAAATTATTGGCATAAATTAAAAAAAACTATTTGAAAAAAAAAATTGTCATAATGTGACAACTACCGTTTTTCCCCTGTGCCCTTCATATAATATAATAAGTAAAGTAAAAGTTAATAGTTTGTACAATATACTGTATACACGTTACTTGTTCGACGCTAACGCCTGACGCCTCAGTAAAGACTATCCACTGGGATACGCCAGTCATACCTCCTATTTTTTTCGCTTTTCCCCAATAAATGAAATATTCACTTGAGCTCTTGTTCGTCAACTGGCTAAGCTGAAAACTCGGAATGCTTGCCGTTTGCCGGTAGGCTCGTACACCATTCAGGTAGGGGGTTACCATTTGTAAGCCCTCGTGCGCTGCCCGATTGATCTATAAATGTATAACAAGCGAATTAAAAGTTAACTGAGACTGAAGATTTTCTATGGCAGGAAAGATAATAAACAGTAAACACAAAGTTTAATTTTTAACCTCTAAAAACTTAACAAACCAACAGGTAGATCTTTGATTTACTGTCATTAATAATTTATATTTTTTTGAATAAGAGAAGGAGAGAACTGCACCCCCTCAGTCCTTATTCTAAATACGCCACTGACCTCTTATTTGTTTTATTATGGTTGGTTTTATTATATTACTTAAGGTATTTGGATAAATTATGGTTATTGTAATCGCTAGAAAACTTTATCGAGCAGAGAATTAACCAAGAATCTACTAAACTATTGTATATGTAAGTAGGTAGATAATACATATCGGTTGGGAGTATCTATAATGTATATAGACTATAGTAGTCTATTAATTTAAATATATCTACCTCAAACAAATAAGCTAGTGTGACGGAACCGTTGTGTAGCACTTCGGCGTCTATCAACGACTGACACGATCCTTTATAAAATATTAAATGCATTTCCATTGAATAGCTAGACGAAAAATAAAACACCATAAATCATAGTAAATTGTTTAATTTTTCATTATAATTAGAACATATAATATCATTATGTTATATTATACTTTTTAACTTATGACGGTATCGGCGTAACATTGTACTTTGTATCCTACATACATATTGTAAACTAAGTAAACGGCTGTAACAAAATTCCGTCTGCACATTGAAATAGCATAACAATCCCATTCCAGAAATTAAAATAAATAAAATGTTCAAAGTATTCTTTAAAAAATTTCTCCGGTTTTCGCCTACTACCATTTGGCAGTGGCCATAGAACATTTTTGTGGAGAGCGACGATGGCCAAGTCTAGTTTTAATGATGCGGCCTTTTGGAACGGAAAGCGCTATTTATCAAGGAGCAAAAGATAGGCAATATTTGACAAAAATTGATCTAGTAATCATTGTAAGCATGCCGACTAATTTTAATGTAAAAAGATATTAAGTTTTTCTAGTTATAAAACGTATAAAGTTATGTTTCTCCGAGTTATGGCGACTTCAGAAAGTGAATTCTTGTAAAAAATTTGGCGCTTTCTGTTCCCCTTAATATAACAGACAGAACGAAATAATAGTATGTATATTTTATTTTTAGTCATTAATTCTTGGTTTTAGCTTTTGCACTGCGCCAATACCGAATAAGTATCATAAAACGGGCTGTAGTTTGCCTGGGGTGTAAATTTAGCAAACTTCAGAGTGTTTTACGGAATAGATAGTTACTATACTATGAATATTACACACAGTTGACCCAGAATGATTGTTACGAAATATAGGTAACTTGTCAATTATTGCGGGCTTTTAAAATGCAACTAAACACTTACTTAAACGATTTCACAAATACATTTCCAAAAAATAATTTATATATTTGGGAGTTCGTTATTTTGGGTCTGGTGGAATGTTAAGTTTTATATAATTAAACAACCTGTTATAGATAATTTAAAAACAAAAATCTGATTTTTTAGAGTTTTATCGTCACCTCTATATTGTCCCATGGTGCTTGAAATTTCCCATAAAAAATACATGGAATTCTTAGTAAATTTTAGTATTTATTATTACGCATGATTTATAGTTTGAAAAAAATATTAGAACTATGGGAGTCCCTTTCAAATAATAGACATTTAAAGGCACATCTTGGTTTGAGCTTAAAATGATTAATTTTAGCCGTTTTTACGTTTATTAGAGATAAAAATTAAATATGGAAACGCTGAAGAATAAAATTTGTATGGTAAAACCATATGTAATTTTTTTTTATTTTCAACGTTAGAGCTTGAACAATAATGTGCCTTCAAATATCTACTTATTTGAAAAAGATTCGCGTGGTTATAGGTTGGTTTCAAGCCAATAAGCTATGTGAAATAATTTAACCAACATTTACTAAGAACTCCTTAGCGATATGGGGGTAAAGATAATAATCAGGGATTTTTTTTAAATTATTTGTAACAGGTTTTTTCTATATAGAACTTAAAATTCCACCAGACTCAATATAACCATTAACCAACGATTTCACAAAACATTACTGTTTGGTTATGATTTATGAACATAGCGATTTACAACAGTCATTCTGAGACATACTCTGTATTTGTACTTGTCTTAAATGTCCACTCGCCATTTGCCGTCGATGCTGTGCTCGCTGCCGGTGTCGTCTCGGTCAGCCCAATGAAAGTGCAGGTGTGAAAAGTAATACTTGTCGGCCAAACCGGAGCCAGCTATGTACGGCCGTTGGTCAGTCCAACTTCCGATCAGAGAAACTATTTTTTCACAAAAAACTTTTAAACCGTCCGACTAGCGGAGAGGGATTTTTAGTTTATAATTTGTATTTCCTATTTTCTAAGGGAATAGACGTCGCGTCGTTTTGTTTTATCGTATGACGCTTCGCCACAGCTTCTTAGCTACCTACTAGTTTACTAGATTAGATAGAAGCGGCCTACCTGTTTAAAATTACTTACTAGAATTCAAGAGACAATAATAACTCGAAATAGGATCGGGGGGGAGGGGGGGGGCTCTTGCTGATTTAGCGTAGTCAAAGACATATTGTGTTGATGGGCAAAAAAAAAATAATATGCCTTACAACTTAAGGTATGTAAGAAAACAAACAAAAAATTCAGTCTCCGGTCAAAAATCAAAATGTGATTAACCCGTTACACTTAAAAGCGTACCCGTTCGACCATTGTTGGTTAGTTTCATTTTGCACGGTTTTTCGTCGAAGTGGTAGAATCTCAATGGTGGCAAATTAATTGTTGACATGTTTTTGGTGGAAACCGACAAGGGCGAGAAGGGCATGTCCGGATCGATGGCACCTTTGTGTACCAACTCCAACGATTCGACTGTAAAATATGCATGCTAAATTAAAATGTTAAATAGTTCTTTAGTAATCTACTAATGTTACATAATGGTGAACAGCAACTCATTTTAATCATAATATTGCATAAAGTTTAAACACTAGTAAGTATAAAAAATAATAGCGGCGGATGTTAATTACCCTAAGGAAAAACAGATGAGTGTAGTTGTAAACCAGAATAAGAATTAAAGCCACAATAGATATTTAGTAGTTTTTGTCTTAAATTATGTAGAAAATCATCGGTTGTACCTTCATCAGAAATATTTTGAACTTCGTTCATAGTTCACTAATTCTCAAAATATCTTTAAAAATTAGATATGTTGTACAATATATTATATAGTATTTAAGCATTGAAACATGTATTATAATACAAAAACGTTGAAATGGTTCTTAAACTATTATAGGTTGTCTAGGCAATATACTTGTTGAAAATATGTTTAACTATTATAATATTATCATAAACTATTTTTTTTTATAGTAATAGTTATTTTTTTTAAGTATAAAATTTGAAATAAATAACCAACTATGTTAAAATATAAAAATTAGCCAAAACCAAACTACTAAAAATAATAAAATGTGATACTAAAAAACGAACCAAAAGAACGAGCTCATTGCAGACACAGTATTATTTTTAAGAAATATATATATATATATATATATATATATATTTATAAAAGTATTAAAAAAAATTAGAACTACTCAATTTACCTTTGATACATATTTATTAGAAACCTAATTTGTATTTAAAAATTTTAAAATAGTAATAATGATGATTTGTTATGCAGAAATAACGGTAACAAACATATTTTATAGTTATTTAAATAATTTTGTTAGAGCTATTTTTCTTTTTATTAATTGTATTTATAAAACAACAATTTAATGTGTTAAATGAACTATATAATATGTATAGTATAGAATACAAGTGTTCTGTGTTACACATTTACACAAAAAAATTAATAGAATTAAATACGAATGAAGATTTTTAATACACAAATAATAGAGACCCTTCTATCTCGTTATTCATTATGGGACAGATGATTAGGTCACTAAATCGATAATTTTAGTTATTATTTAAAATTCAATTTTTACATACATTTTATTTTTTTCGCATGTGTTAAGATAACGCCTTATATTTTAATATTAATATTTTTATACTCTTCACATAAAACCAATAGTTTTTTAAAAATCGCCTGCTTAAAACTTCTTTTAACACTTTTTTGCATGTCAAACTATTTTTAAATGAGTCATCAAACGAAACCAACCCTCTAAATTATCATTCAATTTACTAAGTATCTTAAACTTCACTTAATCAAAACACATTTTTATTCTGTAATTAATTTACCATTAAAATTTAAAATTGTTTGATATAAAATTGACTATTGAGCAGTAAAGTGCAACGAAAATGTAACTGAAAAATATTAGCCAATTCTTCTTGACACATATTTGTTTTCTGATCTAAACAGGAATTTGGATTTGCCGTTCACAAGAGAAACACTATTAGTAGGGAGAAGTTTTTTCCTTTCTCAAATGACTGATTCAATTGACATAAGACTCTTTTGTCAATTTTAAGTTCAAAGCTGTTTACAATTTCGATAAAAAAATCGAGGGGTTTAACACATATTATAATATAAGCCTCTTTTCCCATGTTTTTCTCTACTAATTTTCTTAATGTGAGCAGCAACTTTGGAAAAAATACAATTCATATTATACAAAAAATGAATTTGTATATAAAAGGTTAATTGTTACAAAAAATAAGTATCTAAAAGTTACTTATCAAAACTAATCCTAGTTCTAGAATTACTAATTCTAGTTTTTTATGTTATATAAATAATGAACATGTAAAAACAAAAAGTTAATAATACAAGAAAAAACGTATATAATTAAATATTAATTAATAATACATTTTTAGTACTAAATTATATGGCTTTGTACAAAATTCATTTGAACAATTCGGTGTTCTTTTATAATTGTAAGTATATAAAAATAGGAAATCTATCTCTTGAGAATGGTATAAACAAATAAAATAAAATAGGCACACTATTCACGTAAATACAAATAATAATAAATTAAGAGACAGGGGACATGTTAAAGAACTTAAAACATTGAATAAAATATTATTTTATAGGTTTGGCAATTTCAACATCACCAATTTCATTGACATTTAGTGTCATTGTTTGTGTAAGCGACAAGGAATGTTCATTAGTTAAATGTAAAAGAGCAACAAACACAAGAGGTACAGTGAGTTCTTCTCTTTGGTAAAAATTCAATTTTAATAATAAGTCTTTGAAAGCTAGTACACTACTCCAATTACTTGAGGACTTTAATACCTGAAATATACAATAATCATACTTATAATAACTTATTTAACACATACAACTGTTTACCATTAGCTACTTACAGTACACTCTTTATCAATTATGTCCATCATTTGCTTTTTAAGGGTGCCAATGTCCAAGCGTACCTCAGGTTTAAAAGCATCTTTTAAACACTGTTTATTTTCCATGAATGACTATAAGAATATGTTGTTATTATTTATATATATATATATATATATATATATATAGTATAGTAAAAAACTAATTTAAAAGTTGTCAGTAGCATTTGATGCTTGGCGCTGGGGCTAACCACGCTGGGCATTGCTAATTCTCGAGAGGGTAGCTACCTGAGAATTGTAGGAATCGGAAATGATCCCATTGTATTCTAGCCCAATTGCTTAACTTAACAAGATGTGTATTTAAAATTATATTTTTACCTGGTCGGAAATATCATTATCACAACAGTTTTCAGCTATAGCCACGTCTTCATTTTGTGATATTTCAGGATTGTCATTAACATCATCATATTGGTCCACAACATTATCAAAATTCAATTCGTTCTGCTAAAATTTAATATTATGTTTTACATCTTAGGTTTGGCAGATACTTCTCTTTTAATACACAATAAAACATTTACAAAAGTATCATCAGAAACATAATCAAACCACAAATATATTTCCCCCTGATTTATACAAACATATTAATCTCGAATGGTTTAAAACTATTAATAATATTAATTAATATTAATAACTAAAATAATAAAGTTGAATTAATTATTATTTATATCTAATAAATAGTAATGATGTGGTATTTTAATACATAACTATAAAAGTTAGCAAACCAATAATTTCTAAAAAGATTTTCATGATTTAAAAAAATTGTCTAATATGTTAATATTATTTAATGAAATATGTTGTATAAAATATATTATGTACTTCATGTGTAAATGATGACTCAGTTATTGTGGTATTCTTATCTGTTCGTTTTTTACTTTTCTCTTGTTGCCACCAGTCAGGCCGAATCTCAGCATACTCTAAGAACGTAAATCTGAAAATATTTAAGTCATAAATTAACCAAACCAGTGGCGAGGCGTGGGTCTTTAGGTCAGGGAGACATTAAAAAAAATTAAGCTACACGCCTTGACAGGGGGCTCCACCTTTCTGGACTCCCTTGTCCGTTTTATTTTATCTATACTATAAAAAATATATAACTTCAAAAACTGGATACAAAATTGACTTCTTATATTAGAAAAGGTAAAAACGTTTTCTATTTAAAAAAAAAAAATGTGATAACACAAAAAAACAAAATTTTCAAGTTGTTTTTCCGTATGTAGTCCTTAATTTAAAAACGAGAGTTAGACTTTTTTTTCTTTTGTACGAGTAGTTTTGAATGCCATCTTTTAAAACCCAACTAATTCAATTTTTGTTATGTTCAATATTATTTACGCTCATATTTAATTTATTTGTGGTAAGAACTTGGTCCTTGGAGAAATAAATAACAAACTAAACAATAACATAACAGAAATATACAAACTTTAGATTAGTATGAAACAAACCACAATAACTAAGTTAGTTTAGTTTGGGTGGGCTGATGACACGACGTCAACAACTGATAATAAAGATTACTGAAAAACAAAACAAAATAAAGAATGGCAAGACATGTCTCATAGTGCAACAAGAAGCCTTGCTCGTTTTCCTATTTCCCCTGCACACTACACCCGGTAAAATACAACAAATCCGAAATTTTCTCATATCCATTCTTTTACGGTACTAAAATGTTTACTGTCTACTAAATTGGCCTGCAGGGTACAGCAGCCCGTAACTACACTATTTTATAACAAAGAAAAAGGGTGTAAAAAAAAATATATGTATATATATTTTTTATTAAAATTTGTAATTTTAGTTTAATAACACAAAATTATTTATCCATATTCTAAGCGGGTAGAAATTGTCTCATTGTCTCAAGTCTACATTTCCACTAAAGAAAACTAATAAAATATATTTTTAAACTATGCACAAGAAAAATAACCCAACTCAGTTAAATAAATATTTTTTACCACTTAGAATGTCTAACCTTATTAGGGAGACATGAGTATAGGCGGTTTTTATTTGAGTATTTTTATAATAGACGACGCCAAACAAACTGGTGGCTACATAAACTATCCAAGTTTGGCAACCGTAACCAGATTTTTTTGGTTTTACCTTAAATTAGATTGAGGGTAATGGTTAGAGGGTGGAGCTTCAAAACATGCCAGTTTGTTAGACTTTGTCAATAACTCATACTACTTACTTATATATGATATCAACAACAGTGTGTTTATTATCGCCTATATTATCTAATGCATCCCATTTTTGTAATATACGAGGTAATACTTTTTCTTTACTAAGTACATTTTTTTCTAATATCTCTTTTATTTCATCAATTTTCATCCAGTTCAACTTGATACTTTCGTTTACTACTTTGTTACGTCGTTTGGGTGTTTTTGGGAGTTTAAACTCTTGGCTTGGATCGTCTAAATCATCGTCATTCGTTGGTGAACATAAAATGTCTTTACGCTCATCTGATTACATTAATATAGTATTAAGTTGAGTAAAAAATAAAAGAAATAACATAATATGAATTATAATTTGGATTTACGTGGTTTGCATGATTTTAGTGCTTTCACCATAGCTTGCGCTTTCCATGATTTTGGACCCTTCCATTTTGCCAGAAGTTGAGGGTTAAAAAAGCTATAATCTCTTTGAACATCATCGATACAATCAACTAGTGCATTTATGTCTGGTTCACTATCATTGGTAGAAATTGGCTCTAAATAAATAGCTTAATTAATTTAAGATTTTTATTAAAATCAAACCACCCTTTACCTAAAGCATCAAAACTATCAACGTCTTGAATAAAATCGAGCACTGGCGAATCATTTACTATATTTTGACACAAATGGTTAGTTGGGTCAAATTGATTTTCGATACCATCTAGATCTGGAATTATTTCTTCCATATTACATTTATCTTTCTCAGCCAAAAATTCGTTATAGTCAGGACAAATATATCTTTTGGAAATTTTTTCTTGAATATTAGCTAAAATATAAATAATATTAATTTGTGTAATACCAAATATTATGTTAGTTTTTTTACAGTTGGTTTATTATCATAGTTCAAATAGAAGTACATTTAGCAATGTATATTTAGGGTGGTCCTTAATAAAGTCGATTTTCGAAATTTAACCTCGACGCCCACTAAAAAGTTTTTAAATACAATAAAAATATGATAAAAAAAAAAAAAAATAATTTGAAAAGTATTAATTTTAAACTGTGCCGCACAATGGTAGTGGTTTAAATGGGATTTAACATAGGATTTACGACATTTATGCACATATATTGTTATATTTTCATTTTCTGGCAGAAATTTTGACAGGTATGCACTTTTGGGTATGGTGTAGGTGTTCAGCAGACTCCAAGCTATATTACCGTCAAAACTTAAGCTCAAACTAAGAAGTAGGAAGAAAGTTATGCATTGATTTGTGCACAAGTATCGAAATCCTTTGTTAAATCCAATTTAAACTTTAACCCTTGTGGGGCACCGGTTAAAATTAATATATATATTTTTTTGATCTTATTTTTATTGTATTTAGAAACTTTTTAGGGGGTGTTAAGGTTAAAATTCAAAAATCGACTTTTAAAGGACCACCCTAATGTATATGGCTGTTATTTTATATAAAAAAAAAAAAATAATAACAGCCTGAGTCAAGCATAACATAATTAATATAAATAAATAATTATAAAAATTATAGACTACTATGGGAGAAGAAGTATAGAAGATTGACTTTTTACTAGACTTATTACATATCATACATACGCATTGGATAATTTGTTTTTGCATTAGGTGTGTTTGTTGACACCAAATTGTCAATTTCTTTTTTTAATGGCATTTTTGAAAATAACAGTTCTATATAATTTGAAGGTTTGCCCATTTCAAATACTTCATTGTATTCAATAATAGAATTTTGTTTCATATTCAGTCCAGTCATTTGTTCTACCTCAGTGTATTTCCGTTTTAATTTTTCAGATGAAGTTAACATCATCTTTGTTCTCTAAAAAAACCATAAAAACAAAAAAGATAAAAACCCTACTCATTTTATACGAAGAAAAGCTTACCTTGGGTTTATGAACTTTAATGGGTTCATTTCCATCATTTACTTTTGCCATTTCTTTTTTATAGTTTATTGCTCTAACTTGTTCAACAAGTCGCGATGTATTTTCTGTAAAATTGTCCACTCGTAACCCATAAATTTTAGCGCTTGCTTCTAAATTGTCAGCCATTTCTTGGAACTATAAATAAATAATTGGTAATTTTTCATATTATATAATTTTAAGTGCAGGGTGAAGCAAGAATAATTGAGAACTCAAATACCATAACTGATATTAGAAGTTATATAATTTTTCAAATCAATATTATTCTATTCTAATAATCTAGTGACCTTATAATGTAATAGGTGTTTTAAAACAGTTAAAAAAAAAAAAAAATTGCATAGGTACCAGATATAAAAATTGTTTTTAATTTTTCTTAAATTAAATATTTAAGATAATAAAATTAAAATCAGCCGAGAGTAGTTTACAATAGTATATTGGTTATCAGACAAGTTATTCGGACATGCTAATTTCAATTTATACTTACAGAACCAATATCTTCATTATCTATGTGTTTTTTTTTTCCCAGCCAGAATGCAAAATGTCCAATCAAATCGATGTCAAATGCATTGGAAGCATTTATTTTCTAAACATAAACCATTTTAAAATATAAAACAGTCTCATTAATAATTAGTAAATACTAGGTACACTGGTAAACCATTGTTTAGTATAATGATACATATTTCATAGATAATTATATATTTATACTATATTTTAATGCCATACAGTTATACTCACATTTTCTAAACACAAATTTCGGAACATTTTAATTTTAACGCTTAACTGGTCGGTTGTGAGATGTTCATAGTAGTCGTCATCTTCTGTCAATACAACCTGTTCCTCCTGCATCTATGCAGTGAAGTAAACGAAAATAAGAAAGTATAAAACATAGAGTACCAATAATGTATAGTTTGCTTAAGAATATTATATTCTAGGTATATAGTTACTCACAGTATTATTATTTTCTTTATCTTTTTCTACTCTCTTTAACGATTTGACAGTACCGTTAGTGTCGTCGGAATTTGAATTGGCGTTAAACAAAACCATTTTTTATCGGAATCAATTGATAATGCAAAACAAAAATTAAATAAGTTGTAAACAAATATAAACATGAAGTAAAAAAAAAATTATATTTGATGTAAGTTTAAAAGTAAAGCCAGCAACCAGCGATGGGCATCATTCTTCGTAAGCATTTCTTATTTCAATTTTCATGAACGAATAACGAATTATGATAATAATTTTATATTTCAAAGTGATAACTGCCGTTGGCCACCAACCGCGGTGTTGGATAGTTGGATATAATATTTATCATTTTTTTACTATGCTACCAAAATCGAAGAAAAACTAGGTGTGTTAGCGATTTGTTATGACCGCAGATTGGCTGTTGGCGCTTTCAGGCGGCAGTGTATATTATATGGGCGCAAATCGGTAGCCATATTGTAAGAACTGAAACCATGAATTGCTGACTTACCTATGTCCTATAATCTTTTCTCAAGCACAATTGTCACAACTCGCAGCATGCAGTTAATACACACTGAGCATGCGCGTTCTTCGTTTTTTACTCAATCCGGCTCGCTGGGCTGATAAGTGATAACAGCCAGTAAGTAATAAACGTTGGTCGTTATTACTATGGGGCATAGTTAAAATATATACTAGTATATTAATTAACCTATGCTATTACACAGTGGTTAATAAAATATAGGATCAAGGTGGATTTATAAATCCTTCTTTATTATCTTTAATTATTTTTAGGCAATATATTATTAAGCTAAATAATGTATGGCGGCGTCATATTATTTCTCCAGAACTACAGAATACAACAGTTTGTGTTAAAATTGTTTTAATCATACAGTAATAACTAGAATCTAATCTGTAATATTAGAATATAAATTTCAGTACTTAGGAAATGTGTAAAGTAAGAAATGATTTTTTTTAATTCCCACGTTTCAAAATAATTCTAGTATATGATTATGAAATTACCTGGCCATAGGTAGATTTAAAATTATGATTTATGTTAATAATTATATTTTCTAAACGTTCTTTTAAGCTTATGAGGATATTAAAATATATTATACAATTTATACAATAGGTACATAAAAATTAAATTTATAAACAAATTTGAAATTAAAACATTTTTTTTTTAGGTATTATCATCACTCATTTTTCATGGTATTATTTCTTCCATGAGATAACCAGCAAATCACTTTTTTATCGAATCTCTCTCTACTATCAGTCCATTTCTTTATAATTCTATGGTTACTTGTGTACGAAAAACAATGAATTGCTTCAACTTGACAGGTCACATGCCGATTGTCCAAATTGTATGATATTCTTATATCAATAAAATAATAAAACATGAAATTATTAACTCACAATTTGCTGTCGTCCAAATGCCTAAAAGGCGTCAAAGTCGGATATCCACTCCGCATTGAGGTGAGAGTAAAACTAACATTGTCTTCCTAATAAAAAAAAAAATTGAATGTTTTTTCACATTATTATTCGCAGGCCCAAGACGTAAAAATATCAGAATCCGAATTTAATATGGAATTTGTTGCGAAAATGGTTCCTAAACTTGATTGGAAGGTGCTTGTAAATGCTGCGATACAGGTATTATTTTAAACTTTGGTGTATTGTATATTGTATTTTTCGATACAAAAATTGTTTTATCCAATTTGCTTTGTCATATTGTGTGTGTACTTAATGTAGGCGGGCCATGGAAATGATTTGCCTCAAGAATTAATTGAGAACTATGAAAAAAATGAAGAATTTCTCAAGAAAATTCACCATGTACTCATGGAAGTAAGTCAAACAAAATAATTATAAACATTACAGATACTAAAACTTCAAAATACTTTTAATTAATTGCTTTTTAATGTAAACTGTTTTATAATTATAGGTAGAAATTATAAATGGGTTTCTCATATGTCCGGAAACTGGTAGAAAATTTCCAATTACATCTGGTATACCTAACTTGCTTTTAAAGGAAGATGAAAGTGGATATGTATAAATACAAAGAACCAAGATTGTATTTCTATTTTTGTTATTTTATTGTTAATACTTCTTTTGCATAACATTTAAAATTTCAACAACTATAAATGTTATATGAATCCAATAACTCAATAATATAAAATAGTTGTCATACAATATGTTCATTGTCAGTAACTCTTTTAAACGTAAATACTCTTAACTACAAACAAAAATAATGAATGCATGAATTTAACTTTTACATAACTATGAAAAGATTTAAGGTTCAATATATTGCCTTGGGACATCAGTATTAATTTTGTGTATGATAATTTCATTTTATTTTTGCACTTTTGTCCCCATTAAATCCTTAACCTTCCATTAGTAATGCGATTTTTGATCACACTTAAATACAATATGACTTACATACATTGTTTTACCTGAGTCACAGTGACTAAATGTGATTGCGGTCGTTTTGACTGTAGTATGGCTATCAGTGACTTAATCTAATAAAATTATATCTTTACTTTCTAGAAATGTTTTCAGTATAATAAACTTTAAACCAATTTTACTAAGTTAAATACATTATTAATAGTATTGATCAAAACAATTGATCCTCTGAGTAAAAACGGGAGTAAAATAAATTTAGAAAAGAATTTATATAATATTTAACTTATAATTGGCCGTCATTAAACCGGGACATAATTTAAATAGTTATTAAAACTGTATTTTCGCTTGAACAAATATTCAAATAACTATTTCTAATGAATTTAAATTAATTTAACTAAAACGATAATTTAAAATAATTAACAATAAAATAATATACATTTTCATTTAAAATTATGAGTTATTTGAAACAGTAAAATTCCAATATATTTAAATTATATTTGAAATTATAATATAAATTATTTTTTATAGTTTTTGCCATGTAAGGAACATTAATTAGAAATGAGATGGAAAGGAGGGTGACTTTTCTGACAAAAAAAGTGTTAAAACTTTTCTTGCACTAAGCACCAAAAAAATTAGCTCTCTTTTTAACGAGACTTTGCGTGAATCAAAATAAATACTTATAGCAAACGTTAGTAGTAAATTATTATTTATTATACTAAAAACTACCATCAAATGGCATAATTTCGGAAGGTTTTTAAGATATTTTTTAAATTAACAATTGATTTTCCAATATTTTTTCTAGTTAAAATAGTCTTAATATTGAAAATTCCCCCATCTCCTCCAAAAAAAATCTTAAGAGCAACATTTTTTTAATAAATTATTTTACTGTCTAATATCTCCAAGTGTTCTAATTTTGGACACATAATATACTTAAATGATATTCTTATGTATTGGACAAATTAAGAAAAAGTAGAGGTAAACAGTTTTAATAAAAACAAAAGAAATTCTAATAAAAACATAAACATTAATACACGTCTTCGGGAAAAGTTTGAAGTCCTCTTGGCTCTTTTTATCTGTTACGAAAAGAAAATATGATTTTTTCCCGGTAAAAACGTATTTGATAATTGAATATGATAACGCACAATTGACAAAAATCAGCACATGGCAATGTCAGTGTAGCCAATAATACAATAATATTTTTGGATTTGGACCAAATAAAAATGTTCTTAGTTTTAATATTGATTATAAATAATAATAATATAATTTAAAATCAATGGTTTTAATCATTTCGTTTGGACAATTATAAAAAATTAACAACTATAGGTACGATGATCCAGTGATCAAGCTTATTTATTGATTTTGTTAATATACTTACACACAATTTTTTAGTGGAATCAGTAATAAAAAAAATAATAACAATTTTTTTTGAACTAATGCTTGATAACAAATGATAAATTCCGAAATTGTGCCATTCGAAGAAATAAAAACAAAAAGGGGAGTAAACGTATTAATATAATATTCATATAAATACTGTTAGCCCACCATACGTGAACAATTTTTTTAGGATCCGTAGTTAAATATTAAAATTTTCAATCAAATGTTTATCTATTTTTTTTTTAATTCTCTTTTTTAAAAATTTAATTGCCTTAAAATTTAAATGGTAAGTATATATGAGGCGCAAAGGGCCAGGAAACCATAAACCCTATAAAAAATTGAATTTTAAAAAGTTATTGAGCTTGAATGGACTATTGTATTTACATTAAACTGCCTGTACTCTGGACAGTCTACAGTAAGCCACAGTACGAGGAACATCAAACTACAGTTGAAGATGGAATGTGCAAGTATTCCGAAACGTTGGCAAGATGTGTAAATAGTGTAAAATTTAATTTTTTTACACTAAACATTTTAAAACATTATAATATTTTAAAACCATTGATACAAGTTTCAACTCTACAAAAATGTTCACTAAATGGCAGAGCTTAATTTTTTTGGGTTTGGCCTTCAGATTCTATCTATAATTGTAGTTTTTGTAACAGTTAAAATTAATTGATAAATGATAAGACATCAGGCATAAGCAAATATTAGCATGCATAACGTGAAAATACATTTTAAGATTTGAAGTCAGGAAATAAAAAAATTATATTAATAATTAAATTTAACTTAATTTATAAAAACGTCTAGCTGTTTATATGCTTTGTTTGTATTTAAAGACCTCACAATGAAGACCTGTTCAATTCTGTTATTATTTTTTTAAAAAACTCGGAACAGATGGTGCTCAAAATTGTGACTGTATATTCCAATTTATCGATACTGTTAAAAATGCTGTAAGTTCACATTTATTGAATTAACTAATATCTATAATTCATCCTTAAGTATTAATAACCATTGGCAAAATTTCATGGGGTACTAGACATATTCAAAGACCTAAACTTCTACTTGTTATAAAAATTACATTTTGAGTTAACTTATTTGTAGTAAATTGTATATTGTAAGTTATATTAAGTATATCCTTTTACTAGTCAATATTATAACACACATTTTTTATTGGTTTCAGATAAATTTTACTATACATGTGAGAAAATAAACGATAACAAAGATAAAGGAGTTGACTTTTTCTACTTTTGACCCACCAAAGTACCTAATTGTAGACGATTTCAGATCTATAGAGGTGCTACATGAGTAATTCGGTCCACAGGAAAAAAAGTTATTGAGTCTACCAACACAAAAAAAAAAACATATATTCCTTGAAATCAGTCCTCTCCAACGCTTGGCTCGACAAGTGGTCTTCGCTTCCTCCTTATTTTGCACAATAGCTTCAGCTTATATTTCCTTCACCCCGTAATTGTCCTTGGTTCCACTAATTAGATTTACCCGTAATATTATTTCCTCCTTCTCACGCCTCAGAGTTGTCCTTAATCTCCTACCCGGTTTTGCCTAAAAATTTTCCCTTAGTTCTATTCCTATCTGTCATTACATGTTGAAGAAGCTGTCGGTGATATTTCTCACTTTATATTCGATTGACCTTCTCTTGTTCCTAATAGAACCATTCTCTTTAGTTTCTTTGCATCCCATGGTATCCCAAATCCTGATCCTTATAACATCCTCAATTCCTGTTCAGGTCCTATTATTATTGCCACCATTTCTTTCCTTTTGAGCACTAGCTGCACAAAGTAAATCTACTATTTTATTTTATTTTACGTTTCTCTGTGTTCTCTTTTGGTTTTGCACATAATATCACTATTTGTTATATATCCTATAATTATTTATGTTTGTATTTATTTTCACTAATTTGTATATTTTGTCATAGATTTGTTTTAATTGTTGAGACGTCATATTTTAAATAAAAGCTAAAAAAAAAACTTGAGGTTATGAAAAAGTCAATATTATTAATTCAATCGATTAACTCATACTTAAATAACTCAATATTTTTTTTTCAATTTATACTTTTATGATTTACGATAAATGTGTAATTTTGTGTAATTGGGATACTTTTTAAATTAGAGATATTTTGTCTGGAAATTGGAATATTCTGACATCTAAACAATATATCATTTTAGTGAAATCAAAACAACAACATTATTAATATACTTCGTTTTTAAATTTTAATTAACATAAGGTTTTTGTTTTTGGTTTGTATTTGTTTTTAAGTATGGATTTTGTTTTATAAAATTGTGTTTTGAAAATTTGTTTATTCCTCGATTTGTACGATAGATACTCTTAATTATTATGACAAAACTGTAGTAAAATAATTTCTTAAAACCTTACTTATATTTTACACCCATACTACTAACGATAAAAACAAATTTTTATGTAATTCCATGCGACTATGCAGATATAAATTTTTCCCTAAAATTTACCGGTATGGTGGTTCGGTTGTCTAGATGAACTGATTAAAATATGGTGGTGGTTGGGTGTTATTGTTAAAGGAATTTTTTCCTCGAGATACATTTAACGTAGATATCTGAAATTTACGGAGTTTTTGTTGTTTACTGAACTCGATATATGTTAAAATTGTCAGCTCTCTATCTCAATAATTGTAAAAGTTATGAAAACTGTTATGGTTATCGGTCAAATTTGCATTAAATTTGTAGACCTCGATAAGATGTTACCCAGGCGTGATGACGATTAAAACGAAATAGGGCGGGGGGGTCATGAAGCGTGCGAATATAGAATGTCCATTCTTGTATTTAGGCGTTTTATGATTAGTTCCTAAACCTAATGTAATATTATTACATATTATTGTCACATAGGACTGATGTCGCCGTCAAAGGCTGCCGGAAAAGATAACTCTGTTATAAGTCTTTTCGATGCAATTTTATAAATATGCATATGATAAATTACAAATGTTTTTCTTTATTATCGCCCTTAAGTTGTACACATAGGTGTGTGCATTTTTGTCTTAAGGGTTTCAGCGACTCTTTGAGTCCAAATAAAAAATAATTTTTCAACGAATCTGTTAGTTTAGTAAAATTATGTGTTTTTATTATTTATCCGAAAGGTAAAGTCAAAAAATGAAAAATTGCTCGCCTTCCCAACTGAAATCGAGAAAAACACCAAACATTTTTTACATTATTCAATCCCTTATTTAGCATGTATTCATATTTTTTTGGCATCCCTAAAATTTGCGACGCCATTGGTGCCCCAGGACACTTTCCCTTTGTTTCCACCCCCTTAGCATGGCCCTGAGTAGCAGAATCTATAAATTACTGAGTATGGGTTCTATAGATTTAGCTAATTAGGTTAGGTCTAAACAAAACTTACCTATAATTTAGTAAATAAAGATAAACGCGCCAAAAAAGAAATAACGCGTATAAAAAGTGCGATTTGTAAACAATAATATAAAAACATTTGCCATTAATTGTCTTTTTTTTAGGTTTTTTGGAATATAAATTGGATAAAAATAGATAAAATATTGGTCACTTAAGTTTTAATTTGGATATTCCCGTGTTGCAAGTTTCTATCTAAAAAATTAGTTTATCGCTTTGTTCATTGGCTAAATAATGGTGTAAAAATATGACCGATATCCTACGATATTTGCAGCAAAATTCTTCTACCAATTTTATTATGCCATTCAAAATATTTCAAATTCGTTTTTAGAGAGAATTGGCTCTCTCTAGTCTTTAAGTGTATAATATATGTATTTACATTTTTTTGTTGCGATTTTGAGTTGTTTGATTTGGGATGCCTATTTGTCATACAGTAATACTTACAATTAGTAACTATTATAAATATTGTTTTTTTTTCTGAAACGTGTAAAAAAAATTCCAATTAATCGATGACTAAGATAGGGAAATTAAGTGTCATCGAGAAAGTTTTGTTGTTTTTGTGTTTTTAGCTGTAATTATAGGACCTTTTAGTTAACAATTTGTCAGGAGTTAGAGATCATATGTATCTATAACTTATTAAACGAAAAAAATGGGCACTATAATATTTTTTTAATTACCAGAAAACTGTATTTTTTTTTTGCACGCTTGTTTATAACATTAGACATCTCCTCACGTCAAAAATGACTAGTTACGCCTTTAGTGTGCACAATACACATAGCCTATAGGTATATAAATTATGCATACCTTAATAAATATTTTCCCTCGTGGCCAATACTATGATGGAATTTTTTATGATGCAACCCGGAAGGAATCGAACTGGGTTACTTTAGGATAGAATGATTAGGATGAAATTAGATCCTCCCCGAGCGCCGTCAAACAGCGACGGAGTTAGTTTGAGAATTTAACTAAGATAAGTCAAATACATTTAACATTAATGTTCCATATATTTATTAATAATGAAAAGTTTAATTATAGAAGTATTGATTGTATAGTAGTCAGTAAATCTTGTTTAACGAGTGACTTGCAGTTACACGACTATACGAGTATAAACAGACAATATAATATACTAAGACGTACATGTATCAATGTATATTAAGACTTAAAATTTACAAAGTATGAATCCATATAGATTAAAGAATTATTGATGCATATTATAATAAATTCATCTAATAATATAGCGAGTAGTGACCTATTTGTATAACAAAGATAATGTCGTTCCTTACAACTCAACCGTGTCAAATAGGAAGTCTTTTGTGAATTAACAAATAGAGACTAGAGTAGGTATCATAGTTTTCATTTGCCATTCAAGTAGAATTTTTTATAATACACATAAATTAATATAAGTACCATTACCATTTCTTTATTCACTCCAAATAGCTATTATTTTCATTACAGCAACTTCCTTTTTATTTTTATATATTTTATTAAAATGCCAATACGGAATACTCACATTATCTTTGCTGGTCTCACCGCAGATTTGTTCAAGTATTCGTTTTACTCTAATTGACACTTTTCTGCCACATAAATTCAAATTCTTGCATAACATTTCCAAACACTTAATTTTCTCTACTCTATTTAACAAATGTTCTTTAAGTATAACAGGTCTCTACCTCCTTATAGAATTGTTTTGTAGTAAACTTTAACTCTTTAAGTATTCTGTTAAAATCTATATTTATTTTCAAAGTTCCTTTAATGAGGAAAACGCAAACCAAGGGTTAGTTCACGAGAGCAACGCGATGCTACAGTTGTGTAGAGGTCCCTGTGTATCGTCTTATTACTGACCTAATTTCCTTATTCATTTCATAAATGAAAATTTGTTGTCTTTCTTAAGTTTAATGTTATTTGATTATATATGTTTTAAAAAGCTAGAACATATAAAATCGATGTAATAGTTTTATCCAAAAATTAAAGATTATCATGCTAGTATTATTAAATCTTAACAAATTAGGTTTTTGGAAAATAAGCTAAAAACAAGTCATATTTTATTTCTAGGAAACAATTTATTGTTTGTAATTATAATAGTCAATTGCCAAATAAATATTACATAATATGCATAAATGTTACCGTCGTTAAAATTTGACGGTAAATGAAATTAAATAACATTTTCTAATTATAAAATAAATAATATATCTAATATAAATTAATTAATAATAAAATGGCCACTTAATACCTCTGGAGGTATTTAATTTTTTGGTTTGGTGTGACAACATTGATTATCATCGTCTACTGTGGTAGGCACCACTATTGTAGCCAGAGCCAGATGGTGGTCGGTATTGTTGCGGGCTTTGATATTCGTACTGAGCCGGTTCATGATGCACCCATGGGCTAACCATAGGACTGCTTTCTTTCGATTTCTTATAGGTCATAATGAACTGGAGAACTTGGAACAAGAAGCTGAGTAGGGCAATAGTGACACCCTTCAATTGTAAGAAGTGGCCGATGGCTGACATAAAAGTGCTGATTAACATTTTGATATAGGTCAGACCCATATGCATCATTTCCATTTTGCCTTTGCCCTTTTTACCTCGACCTGCAAAATAGTGAATTCTCAATGTTAGATAATTCGACAGTGATAGGATCTAATTAGCTGTATACATTGTTGGTAGAGTATTTGCATTTTATATGCAAGGTATTTGGGTACATACTAGAACCATGGAGAACAATCGGAAATTTGTACACATTTAACATAGAGCCTGTCTTGGGTATATGGAATTTAGAGTACTCTCTACTCGTTTGACCAGTATAAGGACTCAATTGAACATCGTTTTCAACTAAAAATGCGATGGGATTTGGGCAGAAATGCGTAGTTAAAAAGTGGCCCATGACATACAAATAATATAACATCAGTGGTTATTGTTTGTAAAGACAAATTATGAATCCTAACTGTTAGACAAGCTTTAAACCCGTTTAATTAATCAGGAAAACCGTATGTTTTTGTTGTTAAACCAAGCCCGTTTAAGGGAAAAGGAAAGGCAATTTCTAAAATTACAAGTTAATACTCGGAGACACTTTCTAGATGGAATTTAAAGTTAAACGTTAATATTAACATTTTGCGCTTTGTTTTATTTTTTTACAAGTGGCGTGCGTTAATAATGGGTAAACTTTATTATCATGGTAAAGAAATCGTTCAAACCCGTTTTGACAGTCGATTTAGCAAAATTATTCCCATTAAAGTGTGTTCAAAACGGGTTTTGAAGTATTGACATTGTATAAGTATAACATTGTGGCCGATGTATCCCTCAATATGTTTTGTATGAACGGCCGCGCGCGTGTCGTCTTCGAGTATGAAATAACAAGCACGCATTACAATTAATCCGGTCGATTTCTAAGTGCAGTCCAACCGGATGATGAAGTCGGGAGAAAGTGCTAAAGACTTGTGAATTATATAGTTCCTACGATTCTCGAGGAATATTAAATCATATACAGACATAGCTAGGCCGAGTCATTGGTATATGTATTATATACATGTATAATGTACTGATTAATGGTATAAAGTATTTTTATTGTTACTAAGAGCAAGGCTAACACACCCATCAGAGAAATATAATTGTTAGTTATGATAAATTATTTTTAAATTAAATTTACCACTCTTAATTTACCACTGTTGCTAATTTTTAACGATTTTATAGCTTAACCGTGTACTAAAAATTAATGAGGAGAACCTGTAGTCATTTTAGACGTATTTCAATAAACGCAAATTTATTTTTAATTTATGGTACATGCTAAATTGAAGAACAGCCCCTATTATTTGGCTGGAGAATGGCAAAACCTAATAGTGAAATGTCAAAGTAGCTTATTTGGGAATACATAATTGTCGTACCAGTATTTTTATATCATTAGTTAAAATAACTCAATTTAACGTAACTTAGCATGAACTTTACATATTGTAGCGGAGTCATGTTAAACACATAAAATGCAATAAGACTGTATCGTGGTTTCTTACCGGATTCTGCGACGATTGCGGTCTCAGCTGTTTGTTTCAGGTCTTCATCTACTTTATTCGTTTGGGATACAGAACTGGCTTCGGCATCCGAACCGGATTGTAAGATGGTATCTACTTCGGCCGTAGAAATGGTCTGGGAATTAGGCTTGACTTCGGTTTCAGAATCGATTTTGGCGACAACAGTAGTGGGATCCGATCGTCGGTCGCGGTTGGGTACAGCGCTACAGGCTGCCACGGCCACCACCAGGATTGGTAATAAGATTTTATTCATATTTCTTTATTATCTGAAAAAAAACCACCATACAAATAAATTATTTTTCAAGTATTATTATCCTTATTGTACATCGCTATATTCCATGGTGTCACGAATAAATTTACACGAACGATTACCAACGACAACGTTGTGCTTCAGTAAATAGCTGCTGCTTTGTCGTCTAAATTTGGACAAATTTATGGTAGAGCGCGTTAAAAAAAAAGGACATTAATACCGTTATAGTATTGTACATTATACCTCACAATTCTTAACGCCAGACAAAAAGCGCACAAACGATTGACCCGAATACGGGAAACCAAACCGCAGTACATTACAATAAGATTAATAAATATACAAACAGACACATAGGCATATAATGTGTATATAAAGGCAAACCCAGTATACCACTCTTACGCACACACACACCACACGCTTCGCTGCCCCTAATTATTTGAGTCGGTCCAGTTTTACTTTTATTATATATTTTTCTGCTACGGGAAACGATCGTTAGAAATTAATATGTTTGTGTTCTCGTTGGCGATATTATATATATATGTATAACATGGATTCTATAGCTGTCTAGTTCCGGATCAATCCGGATTTCCAATAACTGGATATGGAAACGCGGCATGTGATAAATTTCGTCGTATCGATTAACAGTTTGCCGATATAAAAGCACATAATACAAAAAGTAAAATCTTTTCTGTCTCTGAATCACGCTTAAATAAACTACAGTAAACTCAGTGTTGTAATAATATACGCACATTGTCGACGGCTATACATACATATTATATATTATTATTAAGTCCTTCATAACTGTTGAGTTTTGGGTGCAAAATAAGGTTATATGTATGCAAAATACATATATCGCGTTTGTTTTTCCATTGCCTCGGAGCAACCTTTTTGGATCTGGACAATTATTATTATTTACTTTTTCCTTCGCATACTATAATATAGCGGCCTGCGCATGATTAGTAATTGTATTATGCTTCTAAATCCTAATTTATAATTTAATAATATTGTCATCAACAACGACCGGTCGGTCTAGTTTGCACTTTCATTGAATCCCAAAAGACCGTGTATGATCGTTTATTTAAACATGCTTCCGTTTTTATAACGCTACACTATTTGTCGTCCATTAGATATTGTAGGTACAATACATAATATTTTAATGATAAAAACGCGGCCACACCAGGCGCGGACCGTCGTACAGTTGGGTCACGTATAACACGCTGTATAGTAATAATAATAATTATATATTATTATGGTTGGTCGTCGTTCGAACTCCATCGCCTGATTTGTGCGAGTATCTGTGTGCAATGCTAACACTATCACAATAATTCGTATAGAAGAGATACCAAGAAAAAAAAAAATTAAATTTTGTCGCGCTTAAGTAAACGGATGTATACGGGAGGATAGATCACAAGTCCAACGGAACGACTCCTAGCACGCACACAATAAATACTAGACGAGCCAAAAAAACTGTTGTACAAATAATGATAATAATAATCGTTGTAGGACAATAAAATACAAACACACGAGGAGTGCGGATTTAATATGCACGAGTCGACGATGCGTCTGATTTCTATTGTTATTTTCCGGCATATAATATGCGGCCTCGCTCAATATTGCTATATAGTATACACACGGCAATTAACACTAGTATTGTTATTATAATCGATAAATCGTATCGATCAACACTGACCAAAAGTACCGCGACACGTAGGTATGCTAACCCCGTACCGACTTCATTCCGGCCTCGTCGTTGTACTGCAGCCAACTGCCACTGCACGATCAAAAGAAAGCTTTTGGTTAACAGCGATCGCGCTGATTACAGTGATCGCACAATATGATTATTAAACCTATGGTATTATTTTACTAGCTTCAATAGGATGTTGAGAAGGTATTTATTTTAAGCATTTTAGTAGCAGGTTTAAGAAGCGCCGTTGTGTAGTTATTACAGATAATACATTTTAGTAATGCGCTCAGTGCATTATTATTTATTACTGTATTATTAACAGACGATAATCAACGATTGTGTTTAGAGAATACCCGTGAAATTGGATGGACAAATACGACAAACAATGAGCAAACAAATTCTATTTGAACATCATGACTGTAGATATAATATTATGCACAACATAATATTTGTGGGACGTTCAAACTACATATTTTCTTGTATCGTTATTACACACCAAAGTGTAAATAGATCATTATTTTAAATTTAAACATAAGAACACTCCAAGGTGATTGTCAATAATTTCAATGTATTGGATAATTACGATTTTTTAATATTTATTTGGGGTTATAATTGGTTTTTTATTTACTATATCAAATGTTTATTCACAATCTATGTAACGACAATGGAAATAGTGTTCATTAATAATTATTAGCGTACATTTTTTTTGGAAATAATTTGTTTTTCGTCAGAGTCTCCGCTACTGCGAAGTCCACTTATCCCGCCTACAAGTTAAAATTATAGTAACTCCAAAAGTAATAATTTTTGTTGGTAACCAAAGCTGGTTATTGACTAGTAGTATTTTTTTGTCAAATAATTTAGAATTAATAATAATTTTTAATTTATATGTTGCTATATGAATTTTAAACATGTTTAATAAATTGTTTTTCAAATAATATTATTATAAAAAATGTACACGAAAAAATAATCTAAAATGAAAAAAATATGAATTATTAATTATTTCCAGAGAAAATTAGTGTCTTGTATCCCTATTCTTTATAGTATATCACCATGTACACTTTCAAAATTATTATCTTTATACCGTGGCTGATAATCAAGTAATGACCGTCGTTTTTTCAAAATTGTTTTTCTGTCACTTAACCTATAAATGTTAACTTGTTTTTCAGTTTAGTATTATACAATTTTTTTATATGAACTGCTAAAAAAGTGTTATTTTTTACTGAACATGTCTGTATTTGTCAATAAAGTATACATATTCGTCACTCATTATTAAGTGGTTATAAATAAAAATCAGTTCTGTGACACTTGAGAATGCATAATGTGCACAAGAGTATATAATTTAAGAAAGTGTCATTTTCGTGTTCAGGGTTAAAAAAAATCGCTTATAATGTGACAATTGAATTGATATACATTCAAATTAAAAAAAACATCTAGGTAGTCGTATAACATCAATGAAAACCGAATACAAGTATAATTCAAGTACCTGTAAGAGCAAGTATAACAATTAACATCGAGGCGCCCGTTTGCTATATGTTTTATAGTTGACTATTATAGTTGAATGGCTAGAATGGTGTATGTACGAACGTGTATGGAATAAAATAATTACTCGATAATAGAGTGATTGAGTAAAAAAACGCATATCTTTCTTCGACATTGTCATTCCGCGGTTTTTTGATTCTTTCCTTTATTTTTTGACACGGTCACGGCCACAGAACTCTTAGATTTCAACTGTTACGAACAGACCAGGGAGACGAAAAATACTACTCGATTATAATATGGTATATGATAGTGTGACACATGACATCAGATGTATTAAATGCATTAAAGGTTTAGGACGGAAAAATTACACATTGACTTTCACCAGAAATGATGGAACACACAATGGATGGATCGTTTGGTTTTGGTTGGACCTGGGTCAACTATTTTCATAATATTACGACGATTGTCGCGGGCATTTGAATAAATAGGTGTACTGAAATATATTTGTTTAGAAAGAGACAAAGAGGAAATAATTATTATCTCAATCCCGCAAGACAACTGAATGGCAGGACGATTCATTAGTTTTCATTGCATTCGGTTGTTTATTCGCGGTTCACAGGCGATAGTGTACAAATTCAAGAGTACCAATTCTGTTGGTTCTGTAAATCTAGCACAAAATATTGAGGTCCAAAAATGATTAAGAGCTTTGCCTTTAGAGACATTTGTTTTCTTCGCGATAACATTCACTTTATAATATACAGATAAGACAAGCTATTATTAAAAGTCGCATCAGAAGGAAACGTAGATAATAATGCGGATACACTTATTACATTTGTCCCGCTTAATTGCTTACAGTATAGGATGGCTTCAATATCGACGATACGTTTTAGTTAAAACACTGGCAAAAACTTTAATCAGAAACGAACCTAACCGTTTGAAAAAAAAATGTTGTTTCCAACCAAGGTTAAAATTTACTTTAAATGTAATGATAGAAAAAATTTACGGGAGTTTTTGAACTAACCATATTTGAAAATATTGTATACGAGTTCTTTTTTTGTACATTTACAGGTAGTAGGAGAGGTCCAAAAGATAATGCGTTGACCCTTTGAAGAGAAGGGGAGAATTATGCCTCTTGAATGATGTCTAAAGTTGAATATAATAAAACTTGAGATTTCGAGAGCTGCGGAGAAAGTCCACGAGTACAGGGTGTTAATAATTTTTAGTTCTTCTGATATATTTTCACCATGATATGGTGTATGCCGCAGTTGTTGTGTTATAGTATACACCAGGACATTGATGGAACCTCATCGTTTGGCGTTTCGGTTGATTAACAGCTCGACCGACACTTCCTACGCTTATTGTCTCCGCTTTAAGTTTTCCAAAAGTTTTAATGTGCAATTTACTTTTTACGCCATCCAAGTACACGCACATATTGTCTATTTGTTTCACCGAATCAAAACCGTCAAAAACTTCTGAGCTGAGTGGGTAAGCGACACAATTGTAGTACTAAATTTTGAAGAGGATATTAATGGACACACATAACTACGGTCGGTTAACGGATTGCCAGTGCTTTTTTTGAAATAAAAATAAAGTTATAATTGAATTTTAAATTGCGAGTAGATAAAGTACCTACACTTTATACAGTCAAGCACGCCAAGTAAAAGTTGTAGCCACCGGCTTAATCGTGGATACATCACACATGACGTTATTGTTTTTGTGACTCAAAATTCTATCAGCAGTTTTACGCTGATGTTTTTATGAGGAAAATTTTTATAATAATAAGCCCACGTTGATATTATTATGCATAAACTGTATGGTATAACAAACCTGGGTTAGTACCTACTCAATAAAATAGTTTGAGTTTTGATACACTTGTTTATATTCTCTATTTTTAGCAGGATGTTTGTACAGTGGCGATGATTAAAAAAATATGTTTGTTCCAGTTTTATTATTTTACATCCATTCAGGCCGTTATAATACATCGAGATAATCAGTTTTATTTGGTACAAACTAAAAATATATCACAGCGTTACTTTGCCACTTATTTGCCAAATGCATCACTATTTTTTGCATGGGTTATTTTTGTTATGCGGTTAAAAAACTGAACGTTTTAAACTATCTATAAAGAAGTTGTTATGAATCTTAACTAAAAAATTGCATGCATTTGAAAAAAAAATATTTGTGTAGAGTCTAAATTTAGAGTTCTCTTAAGTATTTTGAAAATCAGTTTCATAAAAAGATAACATGTTTCTTTGCTTTAATTTATTAGAAATAAGAAATTAGATCACTGTCGAAAAGTAAATAGGATTTAAAAATATTGCTTAACAGCACAAGTATGCTAAATCGTATGACAAAGTCGATAATTTGATTTACCAGACTATTAATCTAAAATAAATTACATATTTCGTGTACTTAGTCTTGTCGCGTTTTTCTAATTTATCATCGATTAACTTAATATATATGATGACCTGCTGTATATTATATTAACGTTGAAAATTGGAATGTGATTTGATATGTTCTAAATTCTAAATCGAATCGGTTCTTTGTAAATCCAATGATGATAGGCAAAGACGATATAGATCAAGATAATGAACACACTTATTACTTGTAAATAATTAAACTAATATTTTTATCCAATTAGGTGCCGACAAATTGTTTACATTTTACGTTGTCCTACATTTTTATTTGGATGTCTACAAATACTTCATCCCACACGAGGGCGGCCTTAATTCCTTGTATCTAGAGGGGTCAAAATAAAAAATAAAGCCATGACGTTTTATTTTTAAAACATTTTAAGATATTGAAAACATTTGTGGGGTCTGATAAACATATACCCTATATAACTGAAATTTAACTATCCACGGTAGTCTGCACCCAACTGACCGGAAAATGCATTGAATAAAAGACAGATTGTTTCGTTACCCCTGCAATTATCCAATAACAACAACAATTTCAGGTAAAGTAAGGAATTGCAGATTCAATTATAAAAATTAATAGCAATGCAAAAAAAAAACATAAGTAGCTTTACTTTATACCATGTTATAAAGTAATGTAACATTTTCGTATCAAATGAATTACGTTACAATTATTATTGTAGCCATAGTTACTTTTTTGATATTGGAACTTGGCAGTTGACATATATTGGCATGGTTGAATAAAAATGAAAATATTGAGTAAACGTTGTCAAATGTATACCAAAAACTTGAGCGTGAAAACCATAAACGGTTTGAATGATGTACAGACATTAAACAAATATATAGTCCATGGTACAGTTAAAAAACTGATTGAAGTAACCTTACAAATTTTGAAATATATCTGAATTTTTCGTTTAACCAAGTTTTAAAAAGAATATGGTTTCTATACACTTATAAATTTTTGTTTTCTGTTAAACAGTTTAAATTAATACTTAAAATTAAGTGGAATTCGAAGTGATTAATTTGTTATGTCATTAGGAATAATGAAATTAATAAATTCAAATATTGTATATTGTATATATTTAAATTTGAAGTCACTGAATCATGTGTCTAAAATAAAATTGCGTAAAGGCGTTATAATATTTTATTGTTTTTGGCGAAGTAGCTGCCAACAAGGAGGCGAACACTCGGGTCTAATACCCTGGCCTCGCCGCTATAGAGTGGCTGATTTGATCGTCTATCATAAAACCTAGTACACGTTCCACGTAGTATTAGCAATTGTTAGGAAAACCCCTATTACGATTGTGTAGTAGCATACTACACATAGTACAACACAATAATATAGTACCAAATTCGGCTGTAAACAATGGCAATGATCTATATGTGGCGGTGCGCGCTATAATGTAGAATAAGAAAAGGCGAACGGTTCACGTTCCAAAGCCTTCCTTAAACCAAAATAAAATTTTCAAATTTCTAGGGAAGGCTCGTAGGTACTGTTCGTCGTAAAAAAACATAGCAAAATGGGTTTTTTTTTTATTTATCTTTACCTGGTATCGATGCTGTCGGTTGATCCGGCTACGAGTGCGGCGGTGAACTGAAACAAAACCGAAATTGCGGACAACTGAATTTTGAATTACGTCCCGAAAACTGTGAAGACGATCGTGTTGATTTCGGCGACAAGTGCGTTCATCGAATGTCGAACTCAACGGGTGTGCACGTTGTATTTAATTGATTCCCACCAGCTGAATTCGGAACGACCGGCATGCGAAAGCGAGCGTGGAAAGCCAACAACAGCCGACGACCACGTTCTACCGGTTTTTTTTTTTGGTGAGAACGCCGCGGCCAGACAGTGTGTTGCAATCTGACCAAAGGCAAAAAAAAAATCGTCTAAGACGACATCCGGATTTTTTGAACGTCGGCCCCGGCGAAATACTTGTGTGCAGTGTCTCTTGGATTAGCATACCGATTATATTGCTGGTCGCCCCGAATTATATTTAAGCGGGGCCAATAATATACGTATAACAATTAAAAAAGAACCTGACGGTCAAAGGGTCGCGATAACTTTCGAGATAGATGACTGTGACTGCGATAGAATCCTGTGTCAAAATCCGTAACTTGACTTTAATCGTACTAATTATGGCTTTTGCACATTGGCTGTAATCACAATAGGGTACGTCGGTATCCTTACCGTCCGAAAATAGAGACTAATAATCGCACACCTCGAACAAGACCGCCACAGTTTGAAATTCATCAATATAATTTCGAGTAGTAAAAAAAAAATAGCTCTATATGTTGCCAGAACGTCACATTAAATATAATTTTTAATTTTTCCAGCAAGACAGTGTGTTAGTATTGATTTTTTTTCATTTTTAGTTAATTATCAAAGCATTAGAGACATATTAACTTTATGGTAATACTACGATTTTAATTTTTCCAAGTATCGTTCTTGCATTAAATAAAAACTGAATTTTGTGTAATGTGTTGAGTAAAAAAACGTTAACTTTTAGAGTTGTAGCCGTATTGCATTTCATAGTTAGTGGATATTTTAGCCAGTATTGAAATCAATACTATCATATTCAGTATACTATTATGGCGTTCTTAAAATAAGGCGATCTTGCATTAAAAAAAATGTAAAACGTCATAAGTCTAAATTTTCGGGTCTTGATATATTGTAAAGCATGCTTGTAAGTATTAAAGTTTTTAGTTTCAGATGCGCTGCCAAAGAACCCTTTATAATATCTTAGTGTTAAACTTCAAATCGATTTTTCTCAAAACTATATATTATTTTGAGTCGTAATGATCCTGTCCTAGGTGCTTGAATTATAGCCAATATAATATATCCGCCCTTGTTATAAGTTTTAAAATGTCTACTCCCTTATAGGAATAAAGGTTATTATTTTAAAATGTGGTTAATCAGCACTTAACGAAAGACACAATTTATTTTCTAAAAATAGCGTTTGATATTATTTACAAAATTTAAGGATATACCCATAGTTATAAATCAGATTTCTGGCCCATTTATTAATATGTTATTAATGTTTTTATAAACTCATTAGTTATCGGTAAATGTATTAATGATTAATGTAAATTTTGTAAGCAAATATTATAAAAAATAATTTGTTAATATCAGTTTTCCGATGTTTTCTTTCAAATGAACTGGTTTTGCGGTGATTTTGGTGTTGGAGATAACTGATAACTAATATCAATGAACCAACTGAATTCAAACTTATGCTTGATATTTATACATACATCGGTACTTAATAAAATGATATTAAAACATAATACGAGTATTAATTCTGAACTACGTACTTTGAAGTTTTAACTGTAACTAATAATATTTTTTAGTGACTAATTTTAATAATTTTTTGTTTGACACAAATTATTTAAAATAACAGATTTCAAAGGAGCTAAAATTTTATAATTCCATTTTCTCAAAATAATTTTTTGCCGAATACTAGTACATTGTCATAGAATAAATATCCTAAATTTATGGTTGTAATTTAGTAACACACACTAAAAAATGCCCTATACTTATTTAACTAAAAATATCTTTGATTTTTGAAATAGTTTGAGTTGGAATAGTTTTTGAAATTACTTGAATGCCCACAAAATACTTTGTAAAGATTATAAATAAGGTAGTTCATCAGATTGATCATATTTTGCTTTCCCTGGAGTATCTTCCAAGGCTGTTATGCGCTTCAAGAGACTTCCTGGAGTTCCTCCCCCGTGGGAATACTTGATATTATGAGCATTGTAATATTAAGGGTCTCTAAAATAGTGCAAGCAAAGAGCCATAATTTAATAAGTTATTATTAAACTCATGGCACACAACCCAATTTCTGAGAACCCAAACATCACAACCACCCTGGTCAATAATATAGTTGTATATTAACTTACACTTGGTAAATTAAAAAGTAAATATTTCACGTCTAAAACCAAACTATTTTTCCATATTTATTAGTCAAAAACTGATAAATTTATTTCTGTAACGAAATTATTTTAGGATTTATAGGTATATTATGGGCGCATTTTTAAGTTTGAAAAAGAAAGCTATTATGTATCAGATAACCTTTACAAATATCTTATAATGCGAGTGTTCGATGAGCTATCTAGTTGTTTCTTTACTTTTACTTTATTTTCTTGTTTAAATGTGTTCATTATCGAGGTCAAAATATGTATTACAACGTAGTATTAGTATTATTACACAACGGAGTATATTTGTGCAATTATGAAAAACACATAAAATCGTCATTGCAAAAATAGTAATTCTTTTGTTAAAATTGCAATGTACTTGAAATATTCGAACAAGTTTTATGATAATATTTATTTAAGTATTTTGATAAATAAAAATACCGCAATAGTTCTAGATAATGACCTAGTTAGTAATTACTAATAGCCAAAATGGGTACCTATACGTTTCACATTAGTATATTTATACAATTTTAAACCCATATTGTTAATAAACAGTTATCTTGAATCTCTGTAAATATAATTCCCGCTTGGTACTCAAATTTTCCTAATCGCGTTTTCCGAAAAAATAATTCATCGTTTGCACCAGAAATTAATATTAAATCTATAATAATGTAATAATTAAAATATTCATTTCCATTGATAGCTGTTTCCGTTAAAATGAAAAAAGGAATTATTTTATTTTCTGATAACAACCATTTAATCCATCTACAGGGTGTTTCACTAAGAATAATACACTGATTTTATCTTAAAAAAATTGCAATTTTGTAGTTTCGCTTCCTGAAGACACTTTAGCTTATGTTATTTAACAGTAATAGACAATATTATAATTTATTTTTTTTTTAAACTAAAGTGTAACACATTTTGTAGGTATATATTAAATGAACTTTTTAAATTAAAAATAATTTAACTCAGTTTAAAATTTAGAACAAAAGGAAGGGTAGAGTGTAGTATTATTTTTATTTAGTAGTTTTATAATATTGTGAAAAAACACAAAAAAAAATGTTTTTAAAAAATCCTACAACGTTGCAATTATTTAAAAATAAATGAGCGTCTTACATTTAATAATTCATCTTGTAGATTGTAGTATTAAGTATAATACAATTAATTACAATCTTATAAACTAATTGTGCTTAATCGAATAACGAAAAGTTTTAAATTATACTCAAACTGTAAAATGTTCAATTGTCTTAAACCAAAATAGAAAACAACGAAAGTTATACTTGGAGGTAAATACATATACATGACTACACACAATTATGATGGTCACAGGGCGTGTTGTTTTCTTTTTCACTAGAATACCTACTATGTTTTTTATAAAATACAATAATTAACTTTACCCGGTAGACTACAAAAATATTTATAAAATTATAATTGACATAAATTACAATGGCATACAATTATATTTTTTAAAGAAAACATTACCCTTAACACAACTGAATAAAATAGTAATTAAATAATTACTTTTTATAGCTCCAGCATGATGCTCTAGAAAAGTTGATTTTATAACTATTAAGTTCTTCTAATATGTCTGCAGAATATTTCTTGTTAGGTAATTTGTTTGAATACCTATTTGTGAATTTCTTTAACTATCATATAATGACATTATATAGGTCTGTTAGTAAGTCATTTAGTATAAAATAAAGGTCAGCTCTGTCTTGAAATGTAAGCCATTAACTTATAGACTATAGTAAATTGAATTAAAAATGTTAGCGAAAAAGTAAAAAACCAATATATTATGTCTGTCTGAATTGTATATTCTAGCAAAAGGTTACAAAAGCTCAAACTATTATTATATTTCTTAGTGCACAAGTTTTTTTTTTTGGTACCTTCTTTTATGTTCCAAACAGAATATTTACTACGTGTTTTATAGTAATTATTATAAGTAAAATATCTGATGCTTTGATAATAATTTATGTATAATTTTTAAATTTATAATGTCCAGAAAATATGATTTAAACGGCATGTTTTTAATATTTTATATTTTGACATTATAGGATGTAAACATATTTTAACTATGTCATAAAATATTATGACAATTATTGTTTAAAAAAAATTATTATTCAAATATTCCATAATATTGTCAAAATGTTTTGCAGGTAATGTCTGTAGCAACACAAAACATTTTTAAGGGAACGGTCGATCTGCGAAGATCTAAGCCGATCATGGAAATTAAACGGGAAATTCCCTTTGTTTAGTCTATTAGAGAAAATACCATAACAACATGAGGAGTTGAATATTTTTTCCAATTATTAGAAATTAAACAATTATACATAATATTTCCAAAATTTAAACAAATTGTGCGATTATAATATTTTTACCAAATCTCAATAAACGTTAAAAATATAATATTTTTTAATTAAAAAATCGTTTTTTCATGAAAAAGTTATCTGCTATCAATTTTAGTGGAACAAACATTCAAATCGGACTATTACCTATAAAGAATGTATTAAAATACACATTTTTTCCAGCCAATAGTGACAGTCGATTTTCTTTTGGCTGTCCTGAACAATTTTAAAATGTAGACTTATCTGGTTATTGCACGAAGCCCTACAGTTGCAAAATATGATTAGTGATTAACGCATCAGTAAAAAAATCGCTTTATAATTTTAAACAGTTTTATGTATAATATTGAATATAGGCTCCGCGTGAAAAACCGTTTTGAAGTAGAATATATAAAACCAGTTGCGATAACTTCAATCGTCTTATATTCGTACAAAAATTTAAGATGAATATGTT